GTTGACTCAGCCTGAGGTTCCTGTGCCCATCTTATGTGCTGGCATCCATGGTGGAAGGGGATCCTAGGTTGGATTCTCTCTCATTTGCTCTTACGGTTTACTTTATTTTGTGGTTTTGTTTTAATTTTTTTGTTTGTTTGTTTATTTTTGAGACAGAGACAGAGCATCAGCAGGGGAGGGACAGTAGACACAGACACAGAATCTGAAGCAGGCTTCAGGTTCCCAGCTGTCAGCGCGGAGCCCGACATGAGGCTTGAATCCAGAGACCACGAGATCATGACCTAATCCAAAGTCAGCCACTTAACCGACTGGGCCCCCCAGGCGCCCCTGGTCTTAGGATTTAAAGCAATGGCAGTGTGTTGCTCAGAATCTCCCACAGAGCAATAGGAAACACAGTGCTAATTGTTAGAGTTATAAAACGCCACAAGTCATTTAAGCTGATCATCAAGTAATGACAACAAGGACTCAAAAGGGGGCTTACTCTTTGATCCACCAGGAGTTTCAAATGGCGGTTATCATTAATTCTTGGATTCCCTCAGTCCTGATAGAAAATGAAGGCAACCAGAAACTATCATTTTGTGAACAGACAGCTATTAAAAGCACATTAATAATCTGTAGTGGGTATAGCATATGCCTTTTAAAAAGATTTGCAGCTTGTTTCTCTGTGGTGAAGACACAGGACTTCTCCAACCTAATTACAAAGCAGTCAAACAATTTAATTAATCTGGAAATCACTTTCTTAACAATAACTGCCTCTCAAACGAGGCACCCTGTGCAGAGCCGTTAGGTAAAGCCCCAATTTGTTGTATTACTTGAATGTTGGCTATTCTAGCCCTCCCCCAACCCCACCCCTGGGGATCAGAGAGTTAATTACCTACCAAATGCCTGACCACTACTAAGGTTTACTTTACCAGGTCAAAAACATCAGCGGTGATAACAGCATTCTATATAAAGTGTCCTGGCGCTCAGACATCCAAGAGCCCGCAAATCCCTGGGAGCAGCAGGATTTGAGTTATAAGCAAGTGCTGCACATATGGGCAGAGAATTAACTGGCACCAGTTTTCGCTTGAGAGTCTCTCAGGTATTGCTTTGCAGATGGGGGGATGAATTCAGAGAGCAGTGCTGTGAGGAGTGAAGGTCATATGTAGGACTCTGGTTTCAATCCGTCTTGCTTTCTCATCCTGGGGATGCACTGTGCGCGTCCCCGGCAGTCTGGTCCTCATTTCTTCAGTTTATACGTATATAAGATGTGCTTTTTAATTTGCTCTGTTCTAAGTGGTATTCTGAGCAGTGGAAGGCTTTGGAGACTGAGTAGGTAACATGGAAATCAGTTTTTTTCAAGCTTGTTTATTTATTTCAAGAGAGAGAGTACATGCACGACTGAGGGAGGTGCAGAGAGAGAGAATCCCAAGCTGACAGCACAGAGCCCAACATGGGACTTGAACCCACGAACTCTGAGACCATGATCTGAGCCGAAATGAGGAGTCAGATGCTTAACTGACTGAGCCATCCAGGAGCCCCAGAAATCAATTTTTATTCAAATAAGAATACAGACTTCAAAGTTTAACTCCCACCTAGCTAATCTGTTAGTCTTGTTATTTCTCCCTAAGGAAAATTGAGGAATATTCTATAATAAGACAGAATAATCTACAGAATACTCATCCACCCTTTTCATCCTCTGTCAGGACCGTGCCACTGCTCTCCTGCGGTCATTGTCCCACAGTGGGCAGTCAGTCACTCATAGTCTCCCCACACTGGAAATGTTTGGTCACTTGTAGTCTCTAATATTTTCATTACTTCATTTCTAGTCTATCACCGATTATGCTTGGTTTGCTCACTGAAATATTCTTCCTATTGGCCTTTCACATCCTAATCTAAGCACCTAAGCTCCTCCTCTCTGGCCACTCCTCTGTCTGCCCAACACATTTATGCCAGGTTAAAATATCTAGCATTTCTCTCCTGCTTACAGACCTCTCTTAAGGCCCTCCTCTGGTTAATATCAATAAGCATAGTTCACAACTCCTTGGGGATCCCAGTCTCACTCCCCTACTGCCAGAAGTCTGTCTCTACTGCCTTGTCTTACTCCATTTGGGTTTCTCTCTCCTTCCTGAGGTTCTTCCATTTCTTCTCTTGAGCTTGCTGAACCATCCTCAAATTAAGCTGTAGTCTTTAATGAATTATCAGATATTCTAGTTCAGGCCACCATCATTTTCTCTAATATCCCATACATTTAAGAGCCTTTGTGATAATGTGTGGGCTGTGTGTCTGTGTGTACACATGTTGGCATTTAAACCTAGCTCTAGATCCACCATAAAACAGGAAGAAAGATCTGGTATTAACAAGATTTGCAGGTGGCTTTGTAGTCTTAAGTTATGGAATTTGCATTTGATTTTACAGCAGTGCAGGAGTAGATGAGAGGAAAATGAGGAACATTTTCAATTGGTGGGCTTAGAAAGGCAGCACAGGATGGAAAGGCAAAAATAACAAATGGTTAATGGTACGGGCGCCAGGGTGGCTCAGTTGGGTAAGCATTCAACTTCATCTCAGGTCATGATCTCGCTGTCTGTGGGTTTGAGCCTTGCTTCGGGATTTGCTGACAGCTCAGAGCCTGGAGCCTGCTTTGGATTCTGTGTCTCCGTCTCACTCTGCCCCTCCCCTGCTCATGCTTGGTCTCTTTCCATCGCAAAAATAAATAAACATTAAAAAAATAATTAAAAAATAGTTAATCGTAACCTTTATTTTTTTTTTAATTTTTTTTATTAAGAGCAGAGTTAAATTAACCTACCTCTCTATATCTCTGTCCCTACCCGTTCATCTTCAAAGTGGTGGGTTGCCATGTATTATAAGATGTTACATGGCTTCCTGAGGACCACTGTTAAAATCTCTAGAATTGAGAAGTGTTTTCAGTTAACTTCTTGTTTCTCCCTTCTTTAGATTCTTGAAAGTATTTAATAAGCTCTCTCTAGTTCTATTTGATCTCATTATAATCTCCAGATGTAGTGTTCATTTTACGAAGAAAATGGGGCTAAGAATTTGGTGCCAAGTTTTCGTATTTTTTCTCAATGAATTGGGTAGCAGAGATTGTTAAACCTCTCATACCGCGGCTTCCAACAATTAACTGTTTTGTTTTTCCTGATAATTTACTGGTAGCTTGTTCTATATGGGGTGTGAGCAAAGTGAACTTTTTTTTTCCCAAATAAAATCTACACTAAGATTTCTGGCATTATATTCGTTTCCCTTTAGGAAACAAAACTTTTAGCCATCTTGAATTTTTCAAGATCGTTTAAGGCTGTGAAGAGTGATAGATAAGCTAAGTTGGGAAGAGATGGGGCAGGGAGAATGAAGGCTGTTGGGAGAAGTTGACGGAACTTAATTTAGCTGTGTAGATAAATGTACAGAAAGAGTCCTGGCATACTGGATGGCAAAAGCAGAATCCATTTCTCCAGGGGCCCAAGGAACAACAGATGCAAAGACATGATAAATTTCATTGCAGCAGAGGGAAAAATGCTTCTAGATTCTCTGACCATAAAGAAATAGGCTTTTCAGCGCTTCCTAGTCAAATGGCTTTAATTGTGCTGCCTGTCATAAAGTTAATGGCATCTGTTGAAGACATCACTATAAAATTTGCAACCTTAAGTTAATTGAAAAATTTCAGTAGAGGTGTAACCAGTCCAGAAGTCCTCAAGGTAACACTAAATGTACCCTCTTTAATGGGTTAGTCTGTTCTTTCCGCACACAGGTTATAAATTGTTTACCACTAGGCACTGACTTGAACATACAATCTCGTATGCCTCACACCTAACAGCAGTTGTCACTTCCGTTATAAAATCAGTAATATAGGAACTGGCTGGCTGTTAAGGACTAAGCACATCATCCTGATTTATTTTCCATGTTTCAAGATCACACAAGCTTAGTGTGCAGCCTTCGCTCCCCTCCTTATTTAAATCCGCTATGTACAATTTCATCCGGTCCTCAGATAATTCTGCCAGTCTAATTAAACATGCAGAGGGAAGCCGGGTGGTCTGGAGTGTCCCGAACTGCCCCTCACCAGCTGCCTGCCAAGCTTTCTCAATGATCAGCAGCAGGTTGAGTGTTCTGATGGAGAAAGTAACAAGCCCCCAAGGAGCTGCTCTCCTTACAGTGAGCCGTCTGTGCTCCCCCCACCTCGGAAGGATTTGAGAACATCCCCTGTCAGCCTTTGTGTGGGAGTCCCTTTTAAAGCCTGGCTGGCCAGTCACAGCCCAGTTGCTTAGAAGCAGGAGGACTGTTGGAAAAAAATATATTGATAAGGGCTAATCCTGCTGGGCCGCTAGGGCCATGCTGAGATCGAGCTGGGTCATTTGGCAGGCGAGATTTCTACCACTGAACTACCCGTGCACCGAGCTGGGCCATTTGGGAAATAGTTCCAAACTGCTGGGATTTTCCCAGTATTTCATGACCAGTTCTGACATTTCTGCCTTTAAAATATGGACCCTGGAATACAAGGATTTATGTTTCAGAACTCAGACATGTACTCAGTTTCTGTTAATAAAAAAAGTACTAAGGCTGCTTTCTCTAAAGTACAGAGCCTCCCCCCCACACACACAAGTTGATGCATATACTTCCACATTCATCTCCTGTTTAAAACGTTAACATCTGCAAGACTAAGAGACAAGACGCTTGTATATACGTTTTTCTGCAGGACTGAAATATGGAGGTTATTAGTCTATGGAAGACTGCTGCTTGGTGATAGGTGAATGTACTTATTTATATACCTTGCATACTTGGAACGCTGTGCTGGGACTCAAGCCCATTTGCTCTCCCGCCCCTGCACACACCACACCACCACCCCCTCCCCTCCCCTCCCGCCCCCCCCCCCGCCCTGCTGCCAGAAAAACTAAAGCATTTTTAGAGATGGACATTTGACGAAAATGTACAGAAATGTGTTACTAAAAAGAAGATGATTCTGGATGTGAGATAAGGATCATGTTGTGATTTCCCCCCCCTCTTTCTCTTTCCAGGAAACAGCCCTCAAGATAGTCCAAGAAATTTCTCCCCCAGTGCCTCAGCCCATTTCTCATTTGCACGGAGGTAAGGACTTCCTTTGAGTTGAAGAGGTCAGTGTTGTGTAGAGGATCCTGTCTACCAAAGCCAGCACTTCCTCATTCCACTCTGCTCCATCCTGCACCCCTGCCTTCTCCCTGTGAGATCCTACCCGTCATCATATATGGCCTTCTCTGAAGCTCCTGCCCAAAGATAGCTTTAGACTATTGGACCACATGAGCCTCTCTTGGTCCTTCCCTACATGGTGGACTGCCAGTGAGGGCAAGAAACGACTGTTTCCATTTTTATCTCTCATCTAGTGCAATGCCTTGGGCATGCTTGATGTTCAACAGATTATTACTGAATTATCTGAGCTTACATTATAACGACTTGATCGAGCTACATGTCCTGGTGCAACTGTTTCTGTTATTGCTGAAATACTTTTTTTTTTTATGACCTTTCTTGGGGTTGCAGGGTATAAACTCTAAGATGCCTCTTTACTTGACAGCACAAAGCCACCAATCCTGGGCATATGACGTAATCTCAGACCTTTTGGTTCTGGATCTTCTACTGGAAAAACACACAGAAAGCAAAATGCCCCTTCGGCTATAAGGGCCCTTCAGGTCTGAATGTCCTGCATATTTGCTCGTTTTTCTCGGAGACCTAACTATACCATCAAGTAGATGACGTAGCACTTAATAAAGACACGTATGTAGGTTAAGGAAAAAAATGATTTGTTTTAACACATGTTACTAACCAGCAAAACCTGGAGAGTACTCACTGTCAGCACAAATGCACTTACATTATTAAATCCAGAGAAAAGGATCTGTTGGCAGTATTTTCACCATTCTCTATAACGAAGATTCCCTTGTAAATGTTACACATTTCTCACTATGTGGTATATGCCTGTGTGTGTAAAGTTCCAGTCCCCCACTGTGGGCAGGACACAAGAGTAACAAAACATGCTCTCTAAGCAACTTGAGACTCCCCCTTCCCAACCCTGACTCTTCACCGTGTTCCGGTTTTCTTCTTTAGCGGCTTGTTTTAAGCATTAAAAAGAAAATGTAAAAGTTAACAGGTCCTCCGAAGCCTGTGTTTGCCTAGTGAATTTTAATTCATGATAATGCTACTTCTCTAAGTGGAAAAAAAATTCTCTTAAGAATTAATAAACAAGAACCCACCATGGTCCTTAAAACACAATTCTTAAAAGAATGCATTTCAACCATGTTAAGTGAACTGCAAATCTCATTACAACGTGCATTTAAACATGCAGATATGGTCTCTTCATCCTGCCCTATTTATAAAAATGAAGAGAACCTGATAATTAAGTGGATGACTGGATGACAGATCGATTTGGGGTCTGTGCTATTTAACAAAACACACAAACCCTCAGGCATGCTATTTCTTGACCAACAACCCATACACCATGACAGAAGATTATCACAGGAGACCTCTAGTTCATTTCGCGTGAGTTTCTAGATGGGACTCCCTCCACACTCTTCAAAAAGTATTAATTTGGATTTGGACGTGAGTGATCATCTTTTTCAACATGTATTCAAGTAAACAGAACCCTGCATTTGCTATAAAAACTCCAGTTGGTGGTTTTTATTTAACCTCTGGTATCTCTGTCTCTTCCATTTTAAAGTTGACTTTTATTAAGGAAACATGAACGCACCACTGATAGGTCTCCATTTCCTTTCATTTGGAATGCATTTTTGAGGCTGTAAGAAGTAATACCATTTTTGAGAGTCTCCCATTTTATTGTTTTGTATATTTAGTTCACCAGAGAAGAGATTGCCCCGTTTTTAAAATTATTCTTGAGTGAAGGGATAAATATCAGCCTTATTAATGTTTTCTCATCTTATGTATATAATAATAATCCACCAGTAGGCATTCCCTGAAATGTAATAGTTTAATTTCAGGCTGGAAAATATGATGGCACTCACTTGCTTTCTACATTATCTAACACATTTATAAAAGGTAAAATTCTCATGCTGATTTTTTTTTTTTTTTTTAGCCACTGAGTTAAAAGGCTGAAAATGAACATTGTAGTATAGTAAATTTGTCTGGAGCAAGGAAATGTATTTTTACTTTGCTAATAACTGTGATACTGATTTACAATCCATCTGATTATGGAATTGACAGTTTTTTTCCTGGGTGAGAAGATGGAGGTGATAACATTGTTCTGCCTTTCCCAGAAGTCGTGGGACTTTACGCATTTTGAACTGCTTTTACTTAGGTTGGAAATATGGAGCCCTGAATACATACCTCGGGGTTTTGTAGTTGCCTCGTTGGTACTTAACCAGGGAAAATTTCAGGGTAAATTTCCCCAAGCAAATTACTAGAACAGACTCGCCTGCCGAGTTCAGGTCATAAGACGGTTGTTGGGTGCTGGCTCAGTTCAGCTTGTTCCAGGATCAGCCAGAACGTCAAGTGTGTCACTCCAGGTGACGTCTAACAATTAAATAAGTAAATCTTCCTCCTCTTCATACAATTAGAATAGACGGGTCGATCCTGGGATTTTTCATTCTTTCCTTATTGTACACTATATTAATTTTTTATATTTTTATGAGTCGTGTAGGAATGCTGGGTTTCTTTGCCAATCTTTTTGTTCCCATTCAATGTTTTTCGCTTCTTTTTCACTTAGTTTAACATTGAGCGATTTTCACCCACACATACACACACACAATCACTCTTCAAAAAAAGCCTTGTTGCTTTGGCAAGGATGTAGTCTGTCTCCCGACAACATTTTATTGGTAGCTACTGCAAAGAAAAGACAACACTGTTAGCAGGATCCAAATTGCACTTGTGTGATAGCTTTCTTGAAAAAAAGAGGGCATGCTCTCTCTTAAGTACTGTACGTAGCATATATAGTAACAGTTGATGTGCGGTTGTCATGGTAATGAAAACGCAGTGGTCTTTTGTGCTCCATTTGAGTAAATAGACACAGAGAACTTGGGGAACTTCATGAGACATAAATTATTTCTGGTCCGTGGCTGCACAGAGTAGTAAACCCAGTCTTGTTTAAACATCTTTTAGTTGTGTATTTTCCAGAGTAAGCAAAGGTAATTTATGTTTCAAAACTAATAAGAACATGTCTTTTCTTGGAAATGTTCATTCATGTGAAATATGCTCATTGATACCTGAGGGAAAGGAGAGTTAATGAATCACAAAACACAATCATGGTGGGGGAAATTGTGTCCCTCGCTCTTTCAGAGACTAGTTTCTGATAATTGCTATTAAATGGACTGAATAATTCTTTTAAAAATCATATCCTTTTTTACTTTTAAAAATTGGAGGTATTTAAAATATAAAGTACAGCATGGATTTTTAAGTCTTCAATAAGTAGCCAAATAAAATAGGACTCACCTGTGTCCATTTAATCGATAGATCTCTTGAGAAATATTTTGAAACAACGTATGACTTACTTGTTCCCGTTCCTTGTATCTGATATATTTACAAATACTTTTATTTTGCTTCCTTTTTTTTTTTTTTTTAAAAACATACTTGATTCATTTGTACACCAATCATGGTCACAGAAATGACAGGTAAATTTCATTAAAATTTTAACATTGTCATATTTCTGTGATTCGTCCACTTGAATTTCTCCATTTTGTCTTTGTGGACCATTTGCATTTATTGGAAGCAACATCCATGGTAGCCTGTGATTATATTTTCCCTTGAATGTAATTTAGTCTCAGATGTCAGTTTTTTTACATAAACATCTAACTGTGACATTTCTCAAATTCAAGTCTAGTGCTGTTGAATCCCCTTGACTTCAACTTACTGTGAATCGTGTCTGTGGTGAATTTGGTCTACTCTTACCTCCCATTTGGTAAATTGATATAGTCATGCATTACAGAGGCCGACATATGATACTCCATCTAAAGAATGTAATTTGGCTCTTTATAATGTGTGCTTTTCATGTTTTTCCCTTGGCAAATGCCCATGTGTTTGTTTTCACAATGGTATATGGTTTTGAAGTCACAGTGTTACTCAGAATAAATAATAAAGTAATGATTCCAGAAAGCAGAGATTTCAGAAAGTTTGCTTTCTGATGTTCCCTTGCAATAGTATTGTCTCATTAACTCATCTGACACCCTTGCAGTGACCCTCACTCATAACTAGAATCTACCCCAAAGGCTACCCTCTGACCATTTGGAGAGAAAAGTCACTCTCTTCAAGGACTCCTGACCATTTTGTCTCTATGACAGGGCCACAGTTCTACTCTGTGCATTAGGTTCTATCATTAGTGGAGAAGTTTCGTTCTGTCCCTGCTGTCACTGGCCAGAATGGGGCTGCATACTCGAAACCTGTGCACTGGGCTTTTGTTACAACACTTTATGAAGCCAGGTCATGCCAGAAGGCACCAACTCTTAAGAGAATCTGAATATAGGGTCAGTCCCTTTTTTAGTGTGAACGTTATTTGCTACTTAAGGCTTGAACCAGCCCAGAGCCCCACTAATCCCTTCCCTGGATGTGATGAATAGGACAGTTCCCTTAAAAATAAGTTGAGCTTCTTTAGGATGTAATGGAAGTCCTCACAGGCTCTTGTACTTTGCTGGAATTCAGGTACAAATTCCGAAGATCCATGGCCTCAGTTATCAGTTTCCAGCTACGAGCATTTTTCCTCCTCCCTTTCTGTTTTTATTCATTTGAATCTGCTGAGTCTAACCATTGTAATTATCCTGGTATTCATTTTGTCAAAGTGCGTTAGCAAGAGATCAATAATATGGATCAACCCATTCACTTTCTCCTTGTTGGGGTGTATTGATTCAGTTTAAATAAAAGTCAACCTGCTGTATAATGTTTGTTTACCCTGGCCCTTGCCGAACATTTCCTCATCCTCACTGACTGTATTTGTGTCATTTGTTTGACTGAAAATACTTGGTTTCCCTGCGGTTCCCGTGGAACGGTACTCCACTGTTGTCCAAAGCTAATCTCCCTTTCTCACTAGGACTGATGGACGCCGCTGGTCTTTGGCTTCTCTCCCTTCCTCTGGCTATGGGACAAACACACCCAGCTCCACAGTCTCTGTAAGTGCCTCACTTTTCTCGTCCTCCACGCAGCCACACGGCTCTGTTACTCTCTTACACGGGAGAGGTTTCCTGGAAGGAGGGAGAAGATAAATTCTGCATGTCTGCAGCTCTGAATGGGTTACTCCTCACATGATGAGCTGACAAATATAAAAAGGACATATACCCTTTGCTACAAGCTTTTAAACTATGGTGCATAAATTGAGTTAAGTCAGTCCCAGGATCACAAGTTTGGAGGAGATTGGGAGCTTTTGTTTTAATACCATTTGGTGTAGTTTGGGGGTGGAAATGCAATCTGGTTTTATTGCTTTGATTCCATGCCAGCGATGTCAGTACTGAAAATGCCATTAAACTTTGATGGCCTTTGTTTTTCCTTGTGTGCCTTAGATGCAGGGATGTTTTTGTTTGTTTATTTTTGTTGTTTAGTTTCTTTGTTTTTCTCCTTCAAGAGAAAAAAATGGAAAGCCTTAAATTTGTACCTTCTAGGTAAGATTCTTTTTAAGGGGAGATTAAAAGAATTTAGTAGTAAGTTAAGACAAGGAGTCAAAATGAAACCATGAGAATAGAATAGAGGAAGAAAGATACTCTTGCCCCAAACTGTAACATTTCAAGACCTTGCAATGAATGGAAACGATTCAGTAAGTTAGATAGATACTTTCTCAGTTTGAATTAGTGGTGTTGTGGGCTATTTAGAAGCTGGTGGTCATTTACAAAGGCCAGGTATGTTGTAGGTATTCATTGAATACCTAATGGTGGTCTGAGTGCCCTCGAACCAGCCGAAATATGGACTTGATAATTTTAGATTTCCTTCGGATACATTTCCATCTTCGTTTTGTCAAAATCCATGGTTTATTGTGTCCAGGTTTCATCTGTTATTTTGTTGTGGTGGTGGGCTGGCTTTTCACAGACCCCAGCACTGTGCTAAGCATATAGATTCAGCCACTTACTAGTACTTGCATTGAAAAGACACTACAGTTAAGCTTGTAAGCTAACTGGTATCACCACTGCCTTATATTATGTGTTTCCAGGGTTCCAGATGTAGTATAATGTGAGTTTTCAAGAGCTCCTTTAATAGTGCCTTGTTAGAATCTGTTGGATTATTTTTACCATCTCCTTGGTAATTTTTTGAGGAGAGGTAATTTATTTTCCTGTCCTCTATTCCTCTTTGCTGTGGTATGTGAGTTTATTGTCCATTTAGATAATTTTGGTGAAATGCCCTGACAGTCTTGAGTGTTTCAGTGACAAAGAATGCTTGCATCAAGAAAATAGGCTTTACATTTGTAAATGGCATCAGTGGATAAAACTGTCACTAAAAAACAGTAAAGTCACCCTTGGCTGCTGTGTCTGCAACCATCAATTTTTTTAAGGTTTATTTTATGTATCTTGAGAGAGAGAGAGAGAGAGCCCAAGAGCAGTGGAGGGGCAGAGAGAGAGAGAGGAAGAGAGAGAATCTCAAGCAGGCTCCATCCTGTCAGCACAGAGTCCAATGCGAGGCTCAATATGATGAACCATGAGATCATGACCTAAGCTGATGAAATTAAGTCAGATGCTCAACCAGCTGAGCTACTCAGGTGCTCCTGGTTATTGATTACTTTAGAGGTTAAAAACATGGATAACTCTAATGTGAAAATGAATGCTAAGACTGATGAACCAAAAAGGAAAAAAAAAAGGTAATTTTCTGAATTTTAAGTATTGTTCTTCTACAGACTTATGGGGAAGTCTCTTGTCTCCAAATTCTTCATTTCAGCTCTATGACCTTGCTTTGCCCTTCAGTCAAGTTTTATTGTGGTTTGGATACAGAAATTTGTTTCCTGCAAGAAAAATAGGGAAGGGTGCAAGATCTTTCATCTTTCCATCTCTCGTAAATCATACACCATTATAAAAAAGCAAATCTCTTTATAAAGGGGCGAGTTAACATAGAAATGGCCCTTGTTTGGTACAAATAATTTTTAAAAATCCACTTGTTTTATAAACACTTACTATGTTCTGGGCACTATTCTAACTACTTGGAATGCATTATAATCCTTGTTTAGTCCCAGCAACAGACCCTGTCATTTAGTTGCTATTGTTCTGTTCATTTTATGGGTCAGAAACGTAAGGCACAAAGAATGAATTGGGGGCTTTTCCCAACCTCCTTGTTTATTAGTAAGAGTACACAGTCTAGACTCCGGTTTCATGGCTCTTTTGAAGGAATTTACATGGTATTTCTTAAAATAAACCTTTTGATTAATGAACATGACCTGGCCATCTGTCACAAAGGAGTTATCACCATCTTTGACTTCCATATATACTCCAAAGAAGAAGACACCTGAGATAGTTGGTTCTCTCTCTCTCACTCTCTCTCACTCTCTCTCTCTCTTTTTCACACACACACGCACGCACGCACGTACACTTTCTGTTTCTGACCGATAGCTTCCAATCAGAAGTAAGACAGCTTTGCTTTTACATATGTATTAAAGAAGGTACATAGAATTGTTAACCTCAAATTTCCACATTTTCCTTCAAGATAAAATTTTAGCTTTCACAATTATTTTTGCCCAGAAACATAAGGAACTGTTAAATCTGTGATGTGTAGGTTTTGCACACTTACAGAAGTTCAGTTGTCTCTTCTTCTTATTGTTGATGAAAATAATGAGTGAAGATTTGAAAAGCTCCTTCTTATTGCCCTCATTTGTGGGGATTCTTGTCTTTTAAATTTGGGGACAAAAATTGTGCAAAACTGCTTAGTAGTTATATTTTGTTTTTGTTTTTTTAATATGTATTTTACTTTATTTTTAAGTAATCTGTGTACCCATTGTGAGGCTGGAACTCACAGCCCTGGGATAAAGAGTTACATACTCTACTGTATGTAACTCTTGATTAAAGGTACTATCAAGAAGGTGCCCCTCTTCTCTTGTAAATCTGATCTGAGTCTCTCTCAGATTTTCACTTTCTGGGTTAACTGTAAGTCATTTAGCTAATCAGAAATGCATTTTAGTGGGGCACATGGGTGGCTCATTCGGTTGAGCGTCCGACTTCGACTCAGGTCATGATCTCACGGTTCGTGGGTTCTAGTCCCACATCGGACTCTGTGCTGACAGCTCGCTCAGAGCCTGGAGCCTGTTTCAGATTCTGTGTCTCCCTTTCTCTCTGACCCTCCTCTGCTCATGCTGTCTCTCTCTCAGAAATAAATAAAACATTAACAAAAAAATTTAAAAAAAAAAGAAATGCATTTTAGCTATTGTTTTGAATAAAAAGATAGGAGACAAATTTACAAACACTTGGAATACATAGCTTCAGTTTGACAGATAATGGTGGTGTTAACTGAATTCCAGAACTACTTACTCTGAAATGTAAACATCAAATCTTTATCCTCTGGGCATTATGATAACTGTAAAATTGGCTACTGTTAAAAATGCTGTATTCTGAAATTGAAAAGATTTGGTCATAGGAAGTTAATCAGCCCTTCCAGAAAATATTTAGTATTGCAAGTTCTTTTAACTTCAAATTTTGCCATTAAAATTAATTTGTGGAACTTTTCCAAGATAATATTCAGATCATAATTTTTAATTTTAAAATAAGTACTATGGAACCGCAGCAGTAGGAAGACATTTCCCCGTATATTTAACAGATAAATTATTTTTGCGGAAGGGAAAGAATGGAAATAAGAATATAAATACCTCTAAATGTATGAGGTATGACTGTAAAATGATAGTACCTTTAATCAATAACAAGTTAAAAATGATGCATGCTTCTGAATACTGTCCTTTGCAAAAATGGTTGTCTGGGGAGACGAAAAGATAGCACTATTCAGACCATTATGGAGGAAGTCTTCTGCAGCTCTTCAATGTAACTCTTTACTCTTTGAAAGTAGATTTGAACTAGGGCACTATTAAAAGTCAGACGCAAACTAGTTGGGGGATGAGTCCCACTGATAGCACATTTAGAGAATACGCTAAAAATATAAAGTAATGAGATATACTTTATTGAGAAACCCCCAAGCGAATTCTTGAAGCTCTCAGCAAAGCGGTGCCCCAGGTTGTTTAGATCACTGGAGGTGTCTTCTCAATAAAGTGAGCAGTCTTGAGTCCGGTGCCTGCGTCTCTGCTGTCCTGCAGCTCTCACGGACTGAAAGTTCTCCACTGACTGAGTCCCTGAGCTCTGCTGAAACCTAACTTCAGCCTTCTCTGTTGTCCAGTATCAATTCCCCTTCTGGGCTCTGTTAGGTACCTTTGGAACCCCTGGGGCCATTTTGCTGGCGTACACTTGTCCCCACAGCTGTAAATCCATCCCGTGTCACTTGGATTTGGTGTTATCCTCATCCCATTTGTACATTGCTGTTCCAACTGAGATGAAAGAGGCTTTCTTCCCAGAGGCGTTCCTTGCCTCCTTGCTCCTTCAGTAGTGTCAAGGTTATAACACTTTGTCACGCCACTGTTATCATTCACTTTGCCGTATTCGGTAAACCCGGGGCCCACAGCTTACAGAGTTCACTTCCCTGCTGGGTATGTGGTATAACCACAAAATTTTCCTCCTCAGAGTCAGCACTTGTTAACAGTTTGTTACATTTGCTATGGCTATTTTTAAAATAAATTGTTGTTTTGTTTAATAAATGTTAAAAACATACAAGAAAAGCCTTTCCTATCCGATTCCTTTCTCCTCCTTACCTCCACAGAGAGAACTGACCCTCCTGAATGTACTTTGTGTGGTTTGCATGCAAGTACAGGTCCTGGATACTTTAGTTGAAACTCTAGAGCCCAGTGTGTTTTGGAATTAATTTTCATGTTTTAGAAAGGCAACCTGACCCCTGTATTGTACACAACAGCCCCACAGCAACTGGGCCGGCAGCACATAATCAAATCTGTTAATATTTCTGCCTGAATCAACAGTCACACTTAGTGGCTTTAAATAGCTTCCCAATCAGTTGAATTGATGCCATGCCACCAAAAGGATTACCTGTAAACTTACGAATAACCTTCAGGGTTTTAGGGCTTTGAAATCTTGGATACGGAATTGTGGATATTGATTTACCTCTGAGACCTAGGTATAGATTGTTAATTCTGTTTTCTTATTTGCTAATTTCCTTACCTTCACGTTTATGACTAGTGTGTCTCCCCTGCTTGCCATGATTGTATAATTCTCGTTCTGATTGCTTGAGTTGACTTGGTTTGTGTTTTGTTTATTCCTCCTGAAAAGTGTTTAACACTGTGCCTGTACTTTCTGAGTGGAGATTTGGTGTCTCTCATAACTCTTTCTAGTAGCGTTCCTATTTTTATGGCTTATAAAACAATCTCATTACATTATAAAAATTCCTCTTTGTCTCAGTATGTACTTATAAGGTGTTTTATAATTTCAAGGTACGAGGGTATTCTTAAGCTTTAGTCATTAATTTCTAGGGTTGCTTCATTGTGATGCTTCAGTGTTTATGAAGTGTATTAACCTAATGACAGGTTTAAAAAAAAAACCTTCTAGAACTGAGATTTCAAATGAGTGTTACCTTTACAAATACACTTATTCTAATAATGATTCTTTTGGTCAAAAACTTCTCCATTTTTTTGTGAGAAGGGCTTGTAGAGTTTACCTCCCAGGAAAAAATAAAAAGAAAAGTCTGTTTGCCTTAGAATTAAAATTCTCAGATTGATTAAAAACAGTGTTATTTAGCTATTCACTTTGTCTACATTACCTTGTCCTAACTACTGAGCAACACTCTTCAAAAAGTAAATCTGTATGCAAGGGATTAAAAAACTCACCACTACTGAAGCTGCTTAAAAAAACAATGTTAGCCAAAGAAAAAAAGGAGGAAAAAAATCCAATTTTTAAAACAATGATATTAGTGAGAAAAGTACATTCTTCACCTCTTCCCCTTTTTACACAGGGCACATAGTGATGCGTCAGAGGGCAGCATGCTTTGTAAAGAAAGGTCTCTTCTTGCTTTATTTGTGATCACACATCCTAAAATTCATTTTATGTTACTCACCTGAAAGTCACAGTGTTTGATTGTGAGCGGTGGTAGGGACGAGGGTACCATACTCACTTGAGAACTAATCTGTCATTTCATGCACCCAGATTCTCCGGTTGTCACTTTCTTACATTGGCTTTGAGTGGATCCTGCCCATTTTCAGAGCCTGAGTTTTCTACAAGAGAGGATACTGTCTTCTGGGAGATGGTCTTATAGACAACTGAGATGAAATATGGAAGGCATTTTGACCTCTCAGAGAAAGCAGCAAGGGTGCACATTTAGACACTAATTTTTGTAGTTCTAACATGAAAAGGCAACAGTATGAAATGGTGATGTCACGTAGGTTCACTGCTTTGTTCGTCGCAGATTCACTTCAAGTGTTTCTTTCCGACATGATCCGCTAACCTCCTTGTGGTTTCTTGTAGTCCTCCTCTTCCTCCCAGGAGAAGCTGCATCAGTTACCATACCAACCAACACCAGATGAATTGCACTTCCTATCAAAACATTTTTGTACTACTGAAAGCATTGCCACGGAAAACAGGTGCAGGAACACGCCCATGCGACCCCGTTCCCGAAGTCTGAGGTATGTGGACCTGATTCAAAAATGTCATTTAATTGGATTATCTGTTTTAACCATTTCAAGGGAAGCCTTTGGGTCCTCCCATTCATCTCTGTATTAATTTCTGAATTCCTCTAAATTGAGAGTGATTTTTCCCATCTCTACATGATATTGTTAATTACCACTGAAAGGCATCTTACTGTTTTTCTTTTAATTTCTCTCAACTTGCTAATTGCTATATTAGCAATAATCATGATGGACCACAGGGACCTCCTATAAAGCCTTCTTGCCATTGGAAATTCCAAGATAAGCTAATTGTGGTCTAGGAGCCTTTCATGCTCTTACTTTAAGAGAGTTAAGCTTGGTTAAAAAGGAAGGACACCAAAAATAGAAGGATTTTCATGCAGATCCCACATTTTAAAAGTTCACTCCATATTTTTCATTCTTTCTTCTTATTATGAGTTTTACTTTCTCCAGAGCAGACTCTGAAACAGATTTGTGTTCAGGCTGTTTATTAGGGAGTGCTCAGGATTTATGCTTCTAGAAAGAAGGCAAGCAAGCAAAATGGGGCAGAGGCAAATGAAGCTGCCATACAGCTGACTCCACAGGGGGCTCTGGGGATGGCCTGACCCATCAGAGTTGTGCCTCTGAGCCAAATGACCCTTACTTTTTTTATCCCTACCTCCATCCGTGGGTGGGGTACCCTGGCAAGCACGTGGCTTGGGTGGGGTGGCTGCAGCTGAGGCCATCTTTGAAGGGCCTGATGGCTGAAGGCTTCTGCAGTCCCAGAAGCCGGGGTGGCAGGTCTCTGCAGGATGATCACGGCAGTCCATCTCCACAGTATGACATCTTGATGCTGTAGAATCAGTATAACTTTCCTGTTTAAGCTTTAATTATAAAAGTAGTTTGTCAAGTGTTACACTAAACATCAAAGTTTCCTGAGAAGGGTTTTCCCCTTTGTTTTTTGTTTTTTTTGTTTTTTTATTTTTTTAAGTAGACTCTACATCCAACATGGATGGGGCTCAAACTCACAACCCAAGAGTCCCATGCTCTGTTGACTGAGCCAGCCAGGTACCCCGCCTTTGTGCTTTTTTATTTAGTGTCATAAACTGATAGTGAATGTAGCCCCACTGAATAATTTGGGAATGAGTTATTATTTTGAGTTAGGGAACTAAAAGACCAATTTTATGAATTCATGTAGAGGCATTGTATTTTACCACACGGGTGCCCATTTTTTGGTGTCATGAGAGGAGTTCTTCAGGTATCTAGTGGAGGCTGTATTCTCCCTGGAATGTAAATACTCACACTGACATTGCACAGCCATATACCATGGGGAAGAAGCATGAACCTGCCATTGAAATAACGAAAGCGCTTTTCATATTGTCCAAAGTGCTGACCTCAGCATCCCAAATAGATATTTGCCAGGCCAGAAAATGGATTTCAGTGGTGACAGCTGTGCCACGGAAGACTCTTAGACCTCTTCAGTGGTACGTGGCAGAGCACAGGTGTACGACAAAAGTGTGAAATTCTGCTGTTCGATGTGTCCTAGATGTTGCTGTTCTTAATGAGCCTATTTTGTTTTTTATTGCGATTCATTAATTGCTTTCCAGAACTACACGAATGCATCCTACATACTGAATATAAGCTCAATTGAAGAGCGTTTCTGAACTAGTTTTATACCATAGCTATAATTATTTTGTGGCGTTCCATTTCTTAGGCTTCCTTTCTGATGTCCTCTCCAGGGTGTCACCGTGTGTGGGCATGTATGTATGTACTAATGACCGATTTTGTAGTTTATCGCCAAATATACTTCTCTGACGAAGGTTGTATAGTACTTTTGATGCAACCAATTGTTTATAAATAAAAAGCATACTTTCATTTCATGCTGAGGCAAGCTTAAAAGGGTAATTTGCTTTGCTTGCAGCCCTGGACGTTCTCCCGCCTGCTGTGACCATGAAATAATTATGATGAACCATGTCTACAAAGAAAGGTTCCCAAAGGTAATGAATTAAATTGAAGATGCCTAGCGTCACCGCACAGGCAACCTGGGTGTAGCGTGTGTAAGGTGGTTTTGTTATGGGAGGTAATGGTCCAGTCCAGTAGTAATGAGCTTGGCTTGTGTAAAAATAGCACCATAGCTTCTGTAAAAGGTAAAATCACTCAACATTTTTTAACAATGGCTGAGGACTAGCCATTGTCACTGTGTGCTGAACTGGCTCAAAAATGAATCCTGCTGCTTGTCCCACCCACAGGGTGGGCCTCATGAGGTGTCCCAGGCAGAGTGAGCCTCCAGCCCCTCATGTTCCCTCCTCCCTGTTCTGGACCCTGCTGCTGTATTGTCAAGCAGCAGCTAGTTTCCTTCTTTAGAAACCTATAGAGTGGTATGTGGTGAATGTCTTTTGTTTATTTATTTGTTTTGAGAGAGAGAGAGAGAGAGAAAGAATCCCCACAGAGCCTGATGTGGGGCTGGAGCCCATGAGCCACGAGATCATGATCAAGAGTCCGACGCTTAACCGACTGAGCCATGGAGGCACCCCATTTTTTTTTCTATGACTTCCTATCTCTTTAGCAAGCATGTGTCTCCCCCCATTAATTAAGAAGGGAAGGTACAGTTGCAGTGTTCCCCATTAGACTTGCAAAAGGAATCCAAATTGAGCCAGGGAGGACTTGCTGAAGAGTTATGCCTGGCGCCCTGGCTGCAAAAACCTGCTGTTTGATCGTTTCTGTCACCTAGCTTCCGCGGCCTTTCCACTAGCATTCCTGCCCAGCTGGGAGAAGACAGTCTTTCCATTGTGTTCCTGTTCCTCCCCCACTACTTGAGCAGCCGTAGGCAAGAAAATGAAAGGAAATCTCTGGTTTCATAAATCAGTAGCAAAGTGCTTATTATTTGCAATGAACTCGACATTGATGTCATTGATTAAAGCTGTCTTAGCTATTAATTACATGTCACTTGTTCCCCAGGGAAATAGGTCCTGACTCTCCGTAGTTAATGCTGGTTCGGATTTTAAAGGGGAGCAGGAGGCCAAGAGGAACCTCCCTACCTCCTCATAGACAATTAATATAAGCAAAGGATACTGATTAGCCAGTAGGGTGTCATAGGATGAAATGAAAGTTGGAAGGAAATTATTTATGTTACCAAGGGAATCTCCTTGGCCTTTTGCGTGTGATACAGCTTTTTGAGAGAAGGATAATGATATTATAAGATACTTGTTCCTGGTACTTTAAAACCTACTGAACAAAACAACTCTTGGCCCACCCTGTAGAATTCTAGTGTTGAGTTTTGAATGGGTAAAAACATACCCTGATATTTTTGAGCATTCATCTGAAAGAAATAGCCTAAAAAGGCTTCCTAAAAAGGAAAGCATAACAATTCACAGTATTGTTTGACTTACTTGAAGAAGCTTTCACAGACCATCTTATATTTGATGGGACAGAAAAAGATAATTATCACCCTAGGATAGTCCGTTTCCCTTGTATATACCTCAAATCTTCTTCCATGTGATAAGGCTGCTGTTGCTGCTTTATAAAAAATAGACTTCATCTTTCAGAGCACCTTTAGGGTCACATCAAAATGGGACAGAAAGTCCAGAGAGTTCCTGTATCCTCTGATGGCCCCCAGCCCCTGCCCTGACACACACACCCTCCTCCCTTCAGCATCCCTAACAGTTGATGAACCTGCGTTGACACATCATAATCAGCCAAAGTCCTTAGTTAACATTAAGGTTCACTCCCAGGGGTGCATATTATGTGGGTTTTGACAAGTAGGTGATGACCTTATGTATACACAGCTAGTTTCTAGAAACTAATATGAAGGTGCTCGATAAACGTGATGATTGAATTGTCCCCTTGTGTTTTGTCATCTTACATCTGTGTGTGCATGTCTTCTCTAAACAGGCCACGGCTCAGATGGAAGAACGTCTGAAGGAAATTATCACCAGCTACTCTCCTGACCATGTTCTGCCTCTAGCAGATGGGGTGCTCAGTTTCACTCACCATCAGATTATTGAACTGGCTCGAGATTGCTTGGATAAATCCCACCAGGGTCTCATCACCTCGCGATACTTCCTTGAATTACAGCACAAATTAGATAAATTGCTACAAGAGGTATGAACCGCTGTAGAAAGTTTTCCAGTTTGGTTTGCTTTTCCCCTGAAAAAAGAAGAATTTCATGAGTGCATTTGCCTACACGTTGTAACCATGAGATAGAGTTCATATTCCAGAGAAGCAAAGGAGAAAAAACTGATGGCTACTTGCTATAAATTGATTCTCATCATCATTTATAGTAATAGAAAGTTAATGTAATAACCTTTACAGGAACCTTGGGACCCAACAATCTATGGCTCTGGGATAAGTGGATTGTAAAGGATTTTCAGACAGTGATTTTCCCCCCACCCCCAACCATAAAGTTATAAATTGCCTGAGTGCATGTGTGTTATTTGATGATGCTATCTAGTTCTAATATCAGGAAAAGCCAAATGGAAAATTGCTGGCTTCTTCCAGGCCATGTGTCCTATTAATTAACCTGCACATGGTATTGGGTAGTAAATGGCAACTTATATTTTCATTAGTGTCAGTTCCTCTTCTAACAAAATATCCAATTTCCAAAAGACAGATAAACACAGGTACCTGTCTAGGCCTAATACTTGAATGCGTAGCTCCTGATAACACCCCAGGCAGGAAGGAATGTGTATGGTAGAATGGAATTAGTGCACATATTGCTCTTGTGACTGAAATTGATCAGCCACAGCCTACAAGTAAAACCTATTTAGTCTCTATATTTGGATATATTGTATTTCTCTACCTCATATGGCATAAGTTATGCCCATGTCAGCAAAAACCGTAGATTGTTTTTTCTAAGCATGAATATGTAAATAATGGCATGGAGGAAAAATATTAGCATCCTAGTTTTCTGGAAATTCATCTGTATTTGCCCCTACTGAATTGAGTTCTGGCAAGATGAAAAGATGCCTCTCTTGACTAGCCATCACTATTTTTCTTTCCCATCCAGACATCCCAACAGAGCTTTCTGTACCCTGTGCCCATTTCTCACATTTGGAACCTATCGTAGTTCATGAAGGCAGTGTTTCTCAGAGTGTTTTGGGAGGACTTAATACATTGTTTTTGTTTTTCTTTGTTAATTTCTGATTTGGCTTGCACTAATTCTCCTATAAATAAAAATACATTTATAGGAACATGATCATTTACAAGAAATGTAAAAATGTAAGAGTCACTAAATGCTTGCACTCAGTTTTTGGACCCATGTCATCACATACTGGTAAGAGCTCAGGGACTGGTACCAGCATAGGTGTCTGTGTAAGCAGGGATTTTGTCTGTTCATCTAGGATGGTGTCTAGCATACAGAAGAACTCTTGAATGAATGGCTTCTGGCTTCCTCTCACTAAACTCACTGAAGTCCACTGACCTCCTTTACTGTCATATTCCCTGGACATTTTACTGGGGCAGGTCTCTTTCACTGGAATATTACTATATTCAGCAATATTACAATCTTCCTTTTCTCTCTTCGTAATGCCCCTGCTTTTAAGATACTCTTGTTGTTGATGATGATGTATTTTGAGAGAGAGAGAGAGAGAAAGAGAAAGGGGCAGTGAGAGGGAGAGAGAATCTCAAGTAGGCTCCATGCTGTCAGCACAGAACCTGAGCCGAAATCAAGAGTTAGAAGCTTAACTGAATGAGCCATCCAGGATTCCCAAGGTATTTTTAGTGCCTGTATTTCTTATCTTCTTCCAAGAGCTCTTCTAACTTCTGTTTTCTGAAAGTTAGTTTTTCCGTCATCTGATGTGTGGCCCACTGCTCTTCCCCTCTGTCCTGGTGATTTTGTTGGCTCTCTTAGATTAAAGACCTATGGACTCTGATGGCTTCTGCTCTGTAGCTAAGACCAGCATCTCTTAGATTTCAAATTCATGTGTCTGCCTGGCTAATGAATATCTTTCCACCTGGACAGTTTACTGAGGCAGTAGTCCTGAATCCCAAATCCTTACTTCTGTGTGGCTGTAAGAACATTTATCTAATAACATTCCTCACTGGCTACATTCTGCCTGTAAGTAAAAACCCTAATATGGCCCATTGACCATAGTGCAGCTTCATGATCTGTTTTGGGGTTTCATTCCACCAGTGGAAGAGGGCTCTTTGAAGGCCAGGGACCACATCCCAGTTGTCTTCCATGCCCTGGTGCCTCGCACTATGGCTGATACTGGAAGGAAGGGAAGGAGGGAAGGAGAAAGAAGATACGTATATATGCGTGCCAAAATGCTTGATTTATTACCATTTATCATCAAGTAATTCACTCCTGCCATTCCTTTTAATCAAACAGCTCCCGAAAAAATGCTGGAAACACAATGCATAGTACTTGCTATGAGATTATCTTGAAAACAATATTTGTTAAATGGTGCATTTTTAAACAGAAGAGGCTTTTAAGAGAGTAACTGTAGTTAGCTTCTGTGAGATACTCCTTCCTTAATTCCATAGTTCTGGCCCAGGATGTTACCGTAATTACTAGCTTAGTCCTGTGTTTTCCCACCCCCCCCCTTCGGACGCTTTTCCTGAAAGGTTTAAAATCAGTATCTATAGCCATTTCCATTGAAATCCTATCGCCCCCCCCACACACACACATTTAATTTTATTTCTAATAGACAAATTGTTTCATGACAATTACAAAAAACAAAAAAATCTTAGCTTTCAAAAATCATCTGAATATGCCATATAACAGATAAAAATTGTTGATATTTAAAGAAATTTGTCTTTTAAGCTGAGAAACATGTTTACTTGGGGTATAAAGAATATTGGGTATGAATGAGAATGTTTTCTTATTTATCTTCACAGATAAACATTTTCTTCAGTCCTTTTGTGAAAATTGAAACTATCTTCAGAGTCCTATTGACAGTGTCCTTCCGGACTCTGGAGCTAAAGAGTCACAGGGGAACCTGTGCCTTTTAGATGGAGCCTTTATTGTGGGAATTTCCTTTACCTGCCCCAGGATGCAATTGTTGTCAGTTCCCAGCGGTGACATTGTGTGGCTGCTGTGACACTGTGTGACTAGTATCTCCTGGCCACTTTCCCCATTGTCAATCCTTTGCAGACCCAGGCATGGTCCCCCTGGGGCTTGGAGCAGTTTGATTTAACTCATGCCTTTTCAAAGTCCTGAAGTCGAGGTCTGTTCCGGATGAAATGCTTTGTGCCTCCATTTGTTTTCTCACTTAGGTGTATTTAGCCAAAGAAAATAATATCCAAAGGAAACTATAATCTCCTTTCAAATATGGGCCTCAGTATTTTTTGTAGTGGCCATCACTTAAAATATAAACACAGGGGATCCGTTAGTCTTGGTGCTTGCTCTTGGCAGCCTGGAAACTCTCTTCTCATGTTTTCTGTGTGGTTTTGTTTGGTGGTGTCTTAACAAAACTCCTCTCTCCCCAGTAATGTTAGTAGATAAAATAATATTTGAGTTAACGCAACCCATTGTATGTTCTGGCTTTTGTTACAGCTGATGATTCTTAGAGGAAAGAAGTAGGAATGAGCCAATTATTTTTACAGTTTTTAAAGTAGAATTTGTGTAATCTAAACCAATTATTTAAAAGTTTTTTAAGATCCAGGTTTTTGTTTCCCTTTGAAGAGGTCAGCCAAACCTGTTCAGGCTTTTAGATTGTCTTTATATTCCTGAATTTATAAAGCAGTAATTATTACAGTAAGAGAAAATACCATATCTAACCCAGGTTGTCAGTCAAGAAGTTAGGTGGCTCTTTGCTTCATCTTAAAGGTTATCTCTTTAGTTTTGATTAAAGATAAGCTATAAAGAAGGCATGTAACCATACTTTGTAGCATTCATTGTATCTTCCAAAATCTGTTTTTTGGGGTGCCCGGGTGACTTATTCAGTTAAGCATCCAACTTCGGCTTAGGTCACGATCTCACAGTTCATGGGTTCGAGCCCCGCATTGGGCTCTGTGCTGACAGCTCAGAGCCTGGAGCCTGTTTCAGATTCTGTGTCTCCTTTCTCTGACCCTTCCCTGCTCACGCTGTCTCTCTCTCTCTCTCTCTCTCTCTCTCTCTCTCAGAAATAAATAAAACATTAAAATTTTTTTAAAAAATCTGTTTTTGTTGTAAAACAGAAGTTGCAAAGAAAACTTAAAGATAGTTTCAATGTTATGTATACCTACTTATCTATGTTCTGTAACACCCCAACTGGTTGCTGCGACCTACAGTTGTAGTGGGTTTTCTTTGGACACATTCTGTTCCACAATTATTCATCATTGGTCATTATCCCTGTTTTTTTCTTTGAAATGTTGGCTGTTTTGCCTTTTTTTTTTTTTTTTTTTTTTTCTTTTTTTTTTTTTTTTTTTTTACTTTTTTTTTTTTTTTTTTTTTTTTTTTTTTTAAAATCTGTAGACATATTACTACTAAGTACAATAATTTTTCATGGATTTGGTCAGCCAGTTCCTTTCATGGGAGGGCTGGCTCTTAGAATAAAGCCNTGCTGCGACCTACAGTTGTAGTGGGTTTTCTTTGGACACATTCTGTTCCACAATTATTCATCATTGGTCATTATCCCTGTTTTTTTCTTTGAAATTTTTGCTTTTTTTCTTTTTTTTTTTTTTTTTTTTTTGCCTGTTATTTGTTTCTGTACCTACATTTTGGAAATTTCCTTTGATTTGATGGCTAAAAATCTGTAGACATATTACTACTAAGTACAATAATTTTTCATGGATTTGGTCAGCCAGTTCCTTTCATGGGAGGGCTGGCTCTTAGAATAAAGCCCTTTCAAGAATGATTTTAAATGTTTATTAATATGTCTGTGAAATTATATTCTATTGCACCAGCATCTTCCTGATATTTTTTTTAATCCTTAGTGGAAAGTAGATCATACCACTATAAAAATTACAACAGCCTTAAAGTGAACATGCATATAAGCTGACATTCATACTTTTAAAACTTAGGTTCTATGTCTGCCTTGATACAAATTTAGCTCATTTCTTCAAGAGAACATCACTGAAGATTAAAATGACTCTTTTTTTTTAATGTTTATTTTTGAGTGAAAGAGCGAGAGAGAGCTCATGCGCAATTGAGGGAGGGGCAGATAGAGAGCAGACCAAGGATCCAGTTGGCTCTATGCAGATGGCAGAACCTTAACGGACTGAGTTGCCTAAGCAGCCCGAAAATTAAACTTACTCTTAAACTGAGTTTTATTCTCAGGATGTCTTTTTGTGCTTGAGTAGGCAACATATAACATAAAATTTTAAAATATTCAGTTACTTTCTTTTACTTTTTTACTTTCTAGAGAGAGTGCATGAGGGGGAGAGAAGAACAGGGTGGGGGAGAGAGAATCTTTTTTTTTTTTATGTTTATTTATTTTGAGAGAGAATGTATGCGGATGCACACATGCATGAGTGGGGATTCCAAGCAGGCTCCACACTGTCAGCACAGAACCCAGTGCAGGGCCTGATCCCACAGACCATGAGATCATGACCTCAGCAGAAACCAAGAGTTGGCCACTCAACGGCTGAGCCACCCAGGCTCCCCAAGAGAGAATCTTAGGCAGGCTCCACACTCAGTGCAAAGCCCACGCAGGGCTCAGTCTCACAATGCTGGGATCATGACCTGAGACAAAATCAAGAGTCAAATGCTCAACCAACTGAGCCCCCCCCAAGGCGGTGCACCATAACATAAAATTTAAAAAGATTTAAGTCAGTTAAATTTTACTGAGTTGAGTGCCTAGGCGTCATTTATTCAGTATGTGAAATCAAATTGGTATGAAAATATCCAGGTATAAACATTACCCCCCTCGCATTTGAAATCAGCAGTGCACACTTCCTACATGTTGTAAAAAAAAAAAAACATTTATAGGCTAATCATGGTGCACGTGTAAAGTGTATTTCATGACTGTGTTAGATGTCCAGGATAACAAAAGCAGCCCTTCACTGTGTTAGCCATTTCATACTTAAAGTTGCTGTATCTGGTAAATCAGGGTTCCTTATCAGCCTCCCACTCCACTTGTACCATATATGTATTATAATTTCTTAATCTCTCCATTGTTCATGGTTCATGTGAAGAGTTTGAGCGTTTGATTTTTAACACCGAATAAATCAAAGTTAGGCAATTGAAATTTAGCTAATAGAGCCGTTTTGTAGATAAAGAAGTTTAATGGTGTCCATTTATGAAGAGATAATGTCCGCTTATCAGTCTTTGAAAGGTATTTTCTAAATCACTTAATTTTCGGAGATTTTTAATTATCTAATTAGCTTGCTTTGCTGATTTTCTTTTCCACTGAATAGAGCGACTCTATATCATCTTTCTTCTCATTGTCTTCTTGTAGGCTCATGATCGTTCAGAAAGTGGAGAATTGGCATTTATTAAACAACTGGTTCGAAAGATCCTAATTGTTATTGCCCGCCCAGCTCGATTATTAGAGTGTCTGGTAAGTCACGCCTGGATGTGACTCCGTGGGAAAGCGGTAACCATCAGAAACTTCCAGTTTCTTTTGGCTTCAAAGACCAGAGTTAAATGGAAAGAGTCAACAGGAAGTACAACTTGTGAATGTTTATGAGGGACATCCTGATGTGATTTTTGTTTTCTGGTTTTAAGTAAGAGTTGTAGGACTCGTGCTGTATTAAGTGATAATCACATCACATTCTGCTCAGATGTGAAAGACAGTCGTGAAGTAATGTGCTTATTAACCAACTGTGATAGCTAATTTAAAACACTTGCTGAGCCTCACTTTCTCTGTGTTGGCAAGATGTAAAGAGAGGGACATATATCATAACCTATAGTTATTATTATTTGTTTTTAAAATGTGGCATGCTAGAAATAAATGCTAGGCAGCATCCAGCTTGGGCAAGTACATTAGAGTCTCGTATAGGCCGCAAGAAGGGAGACTTTCAGAGATTAGTTCATTTTGTCAATCCTTTTCCTACTTAAAAATTTTTGTTTTGTGTAACTTTAGTTGAAATGTCAGTCTACACTATGAACACATATGAAGCTTTGAACCTAAGAATAGTTTTAAGGGGCTTAGCACTGTATGGACACTCACTTTTAAGTTCTGCTGATCACTAAAGTATTTGTAACACTTCAGAATTTGTACAATTTAAAAATATTTGTTTTTATTTTAAAAAAAAAATTTAATGTTTTATTTATTTCTAGGAGAGAGAGAGAGAGAGACAGCGTGAGCAGGGGAGGGTCAGAGAGAGAGGGAGTCACAGACTGAAACAGGCTCCAGGCTCTGAGCTGGCAGTCAGCACAGAGCCCGATGCGGGGCTCGAACCCACGAACCGCGAGATCATGACCTAAGTGAAAGTCGGATGCTTAACCGACTAAGCCACCTAGGCGCCCCTTCAATTTAAAAATATTTGTAACGTGGAGTACAGCTTTGCAGAATTATCCACACACACATATGCAAATAGGGTGGGATTGCTAGGGTTTTACCCTTATTTTGATTAACATTCATAACTTTTTTATAATAGTGAAACGTTCACAGCCCCCTAATTGTAGAGCAGTGGGTTGTGAGTCATGGGAGAGGGGAAATCTGGAGGAGACAGGGCCGGGCATGGTAGGGTAGGTCTTTGCATCAGCAGCCAGGACCCGTAGAACCGCAGAATCGAAAGCACCGTTTGGCTTTGTCTCTGGAAGGAGAAAGGGGGGAAAGTACTCTGGATGCTTCTGGGAGGAGAACTGTGTGACTGGCAAATGCCAGCCAAAGGAAGTCTGATTTCGTACTACGTCTCCCATTGTATTTTTTGAATTACGACCCACATGCGTGTACTTCCTGCATTTGTTTCATTTGGGGGGAAATAGCATTTAGCATTCAAACCTGTTTCTCTGCACAGTGGCAGATACGCTAAGAAGATCTTGCCTTAAAAGAGGAAATACATTTTTTCAGTCATCCTTCCACACCAGAAGAGGAAAAGTAAAAGTATAGCCTCTCAGAGATAGAAACAAGTGAACTCAGAAGTAGAGTTGAAAATGTTGCTGCCTTCAGCATTATTTAAAGCCAGTTGAAACTGGAGCTTCTGAGTTTTAGGGGACATTTCCCAACCAGTGGTCTTACACTTACCAACCGGCGTGTGTTCTGAGTCATTGTAGGTTTGCAGAAGGGGCACGAGTGTGTACATTGGTTTGACTTTACTCCATTTGCAGTGAGCTTTCTTTATACATGGCCTTTAGAAACTCTTGAGTAATTCAGGCGAAAGAAATGCTGATATTCTAAAGTTGCCTATTTGGGGCATTAATCAAAATGGGTAAGATCCTGGGGGGATAACATTTAGGAAATACAACTAAAAGTAGCAACTGTGATTTAAATCCATAAACATAATTGCTTATGACACATAAACCCGTGGCATCCGTCTAGAGTGATGGAATCCTAAACATTTTTATTACATCCTAGAAGTAACAGCCAGAGAGAGTAAAAAATGTGAATAAAATGTGCTACCAAATTTTTAAAATAGGCGCTGGTAATCAGAAACATTAATTTTATATTTTTCTTTCTTCATCTTCACACTATGTGAGTATTAATTTTAGGATAGACTGATAAAAGTGGAATATTGAGATTTTTAAAAATATTTTTGGACACCTCTGTAGTAATGGGGTTTCCTGCAATACCTTTGAGAATATATATTTTAGCATTACTCTCTTTGTGGCTGTTTATGGAGAAAGAGAAACTGAGCCTTCTGAATGAAATTTCTGGATTTTATTCATTTTTTAATTTTTTAAATTTATTTTGAGAGAGAAAGAGAGAGAGTGCGTGCAAGTAAGCAGGGGAGAGGCAGAGAGAGAATTCCACGCAGGCTCTGTGATGTTAGCGTGGAGCCTGATGCAGGGCTTGAACTCATGAACCTTGAGATAATGATCTGAGCTGAAATCAGGAGTTGAACCACTGTTCAACTGAACCACCCCACTGAACCACCGGGGCACCCTGTGGGTTTTAAACTTTTACCCAAAGGCATAATTTAAATGTTAGAGTTGTTCATTTTCCATGAGATAGATATCTTAAAGGGAACATATGTAGTACCTTCAAAGTTGCATTACAAGGAATTTGGAAGTGGTCATTCTGTGAGTTACCAAGGACTTAAATGTATTGCCTCAGAATATGAATGGCTTCAAATACAAAGTGAGAATTATATACTTTTTAAAAGTCATTTGCTTCCTTTCTGCATAAACCACAACCATGTATATCCAGCAGATGTTATTGTGAAAGGAATTGATGTAACGTAACCTCAGAGATTTTTGACTCAAGTAAGTTTCCGTCTGTGTTTGTCTTCTGCTAGGAATTTGATCCCGAAGAATTTTACTACCTGTTGGAAGCAGCAGAAGGCCATGCAAAAGAAGGACAGGGTATTAAAACCGACATTCCCAGGTACATCATTAGCCAGCTGGGGCTCAATAAGGATCCTTTGGAAGGTGAGTCCCTCAGTTGGGCTGGCCTTTTACTTGCATATGCACTGTGACTTCATACGAGAACGTAGCACGTCTTTACTTTTTCCGCATGAAAAGGTGAACATGACCTCTTTTGTGTCGTACCTAGAATATGGGGATGACCTTGAAACCATAGAGGCCTGACAGCCTGACAATGCCACAGTGTCCTGAAAGGGTTTCGATTTCAATTCAGTCTTCTCTATTTTTTTCGCTGCCAGAGCTCAGTTGGGTTCTCCTCAAGTGCACTTGTACTTTTGAAGATGTTGCTAAAGAAATTAATTAGAATTAAACGAAAAGTGACATTTAAAGTAAATGGGGAGTAATGCAACTGATGATGGATTTAGATCAGGTGCAGTGTTGGTCGATCTATTTTTGCATGTAAGAAGAAAATTATGAAAAAAACGATAATATACAGGAATGTCTGGTGTGGGGCGGGGGTGGGTGTGTTTTTTAAAGCTTAGGAAAGAAAGCATTTCTGGTTGGTTCAGATGAACAAAATACATCCGATGCCATTAAATACACGGAAGACTAAGCACCCTGTTAGTGGTTTTTAAAAAAAATCTAATACTGGTAAACTAACCCACCAGCCCCCTCCCTTTTCCTGCTCGTTACTGTTGGAATGGTCATTTAAAACACTCAAGTTACATACTGCCTAAAAAGAGTCAGAAACATAGACTCCTCCATTCAAAATCGGCGTCCTGGTTCATTACTTTGAATTTGCAAACAGTGTTTATCTTGCTAAATTGTTTGTAATGATAGTAACTGTTGGCACAGATATTTTCCCATCTAAAGCCCGAGAACCTGCTGCTCTCTGCCCTGCTCTCCTATCTCCCCTGCTTTGTTTGCTCTTACGGCCGTCCGATCTTTGCTTCCAGGGAAATGATGCATGCATTACCGGGAGATAATGCCAGATAAATTTATACTGTACTGAAAGCAATACCACAACAGATTCATCACTTATCAGAGTCTGGTGGCTGCTTTTCTGAAAAGTTCCCTGGGGAGAGATTTTTCCCCATGGCTTTTAAATTACCATCTTTACCTTTTTGAATCATGAGTCTTCAGAAATGGTTTAAATCAATGAAATAAAAAGGGCAGATGTTTAATGGTATTTAGATGAGTTTTAAAAATCTCTTCAGGCATTACAAAATGATGCCTTAGCTTCCTGCTTCAAAAGCTGACTCTTGGTTCCATTCCATTACTACCCACGGCTTGCAAATAATATGTATTTCCCAGATAATAGTTATTTAGCAGAAATCCTATTTAAAACAGACCATCTTTTAATTTGGTTTTTTATGAAAATAATTGGAGTGGGGAGGCTGTCAAAGTATATTATAGTGACTGTTCACGCTGGTGGAGTTAAGGTTGTTTCAGCTCTTGAATTGTAGAGCGAGTGAGCTCTTCACACTTTTCTTACCTGGCAGGAAATAACACTCTAGGCTGAACTTTGGTGGGTGAATACTCTGAGGCCTGTTTGCCTACCTTTATAGAGACTAAATAAAAAGTAATAGTGATCTTGGACCAGTTTTGAGGTTAGTAATACTGGTTTATCACCAGGAGTTGTGTTCTTAACTCTTGACACTTCAGTTTCTTGATTCAGATCTGAAGATAGTTTTTCATCTATTTATTATCATTTAACATGCTGTTACTACAAATTCTGATTTACATTTGTGTCCCTTCTTGTCAACATCTGCACTAACAGTCCTACAGCCTGACCTTTGAAAGTGTGGAGTGAGGGTGTGGAGTGGGAATGCCTGGGTGTGCCCCCTGGCAACAGCCCTGCAGTCTGTGACCTTGACCATGCTGTTGATGAGCCTTTTTGCACTGCAGTGTTCTTTCCGTAAAACCAGGGCAGTAGTACCTATTCATAGAGTTGTTTTTAGAATCATATGAGTTATCACTCTAACCAAGATGCAGTAATGCTGAATAAATGTTAGCTGCTGTTGCCTTTTTATTTAAACAGTATTAAAATCGGTCTTTTCCTTGAGAGTCCCTGCAACTGAACACATTTTAGTTCACCTACCAATCCACCAATCCAAAGGGCTAGTCATAGAGGATATTGACATCACTGGAGTGACACCAAGGAAGCACATAGTTAGTCCTGAGCTCACTTTTGTTCTTGAATTTCCACTACTGGTAAACTGGGAAGTTAGTGACAGTCTTCACTTATTTTAGATTCTGGAGTTTGTTCATTTTTATCTAGAGACAACACTCCATTGTTGTTTTGCTTCATATCTTTTATGTGTAATCTCTCCCAAAAAAGATGATTATAAGAATATGAATACATGAAATGAGAGCCTAAGGACTACTTGTAGATGCATACAAAAATAGGTAACTGAAAACTATAATTTACATATAAGTTATTATATATGTAACTTAGCATACATACTCAATTTTGAAAAATTAGAAAATGCAGGTTACCTGTGGTCAGCGATAACTACCTATCAAAGTTTTGGAGGGAATTCCTTCATGTTTTGTTTCTTTTTAATTAAACATCTTTGTCTAAGTATAGAAATTAAAATGAACATAAAATGAATTAGGTTTCTTCATTTACTTAGGTAGACTCAGATGTGTTCCATTGTTAGTTGAGTGGGTAAATGGCTTTGTCTTTTGTTTGTTTGTTTCTGTTTTTCTTTTTTGTTTTTGTCTCTTTCAGCCAGACCATCAAGGTCGTACTTTGTCAGGCATGTGGCATCCAGCCCATGATTGACTGCTTCACATGATGTAATTAATAATAATAACACTCAGTATTCAGCGAACACTTAATTTTTGTTAGTCAACATGCAAAGAGCCCTACACAAATATCTTCTATCATACTTACGAGAAACTTGTAAGAGATAAATACATTGTTTTCATCTTACAGAGGAAAAGCCTGAGGTTAAAAGGTCTTTAGTAAGTGCTGATTGTAGTGGTGACCCAAGTCTTCTCATTGTCAGCCTCTCTTAACAACTATTACTTCATTTGTGACAAACTGCAAATTCTTAAGTGTACCAGGTGGGGGATATCGCTCAGTGGATGTGAAAGAATGGAATAAGGAATGCTTAGCCACGAGTTGGGAATCATCTTTGAGCTGTGATCAGTGCATCTTTGATGCCTTTCAGAGCCTGGGAAGACTTGCCGCTCTTGAGAATCCTATTATAAATACAGTTGTTGACACACATCTACCCCCAGCCCCACATTGGAGTGATTTTGTCGGCTAGTGAATCCCACTAGCTGAAGCAGAGACCCAGCTCTCAAGTGCCTGTGTCTAGGTGTTCATAAGAAATGGGGTCCTAGGGAAGGGCACATAATGAACAGTTTCAAAAATGGCAGCTGGTGGCTTTTACCATTTTTGAATTAAGATTTTCGCACGGGCATATAGAAGTATAGAGTCAGTTTTTTTAATGTCAAAGAAATTACTTCTTATCTAGTCTTAATTGTTGTATTTTTCTTAAACTTTGCTTTCTTTTTTCTTTTTTTCTTTTTAACTTAGAAATGGCTCAGTTGGGAAACTATGACAGTGGGACAGCAGAAACCCCAGAAACAGATGAATCAGTGAGTGTAAGTGTCTTTCCTGATGAAATGTTGGTTTTCTGTTTATCAACATCTGGAGATTTGGAGTGTGTTAATTTCTTCACTAAACATATATTGTGCCTCTGTGTACAAGGCAATAAGCATATACGTTAGTCCATTTTTTCAAAGAGAAACAAATTAATAAATAATTTGTTTTATTTATAATATATTTTTATTTATAAATACAATAAATTTATAAATTATAAAATTATAAATATTTATAAATTATAAAATTATAAATATATAAATTTATTTTTATAAATTTTATAAAATTTTTATAAATTTTATAATTTAATTAATAATTTATTATAAATAACTAAATAAGTAAATTATAAAATATATGAATATATAAAATATATAAATTTATAATTTATAAATTTATAAATATTTATAAATAAATAAAAAGAAATCCTGGATGAAAAAATAAACATGAATATAAGATCGATGAAAAAAAAGGACCATGTGCTCCTAAACATACAGAAATTGACCTAGTCTTGCCAGTTCAATAACATCTCCCAGGGAAATGACACAGGAGAAGTGGCATGAGAAGTTATTGGGATGAGAAGGGGAAGAGGGAACCTTCCAGGCCCAGGGAATCCCTGGGCAAAGACTCTGCCACAAGGGAGCAGCAGCTGAGAGTAAGGACAAGGAGACCACAAAGGTTGGAGAGCTTGGGTAAACACCTTGTTGCTCATCTTTGTCAAATCTTGTCTTTCAAGGAACAGTGGGGAGCTCTTGAACTTTAGAGGAAATGGATGTGTTTGTGGGGTGGAGGCAGGTGGACAGGAAGATGACCAGTCAGAGTCATGGCTTACAGTCTTCTGACTACAGTCCAGACAGTAGATGGGGTGACGGGAGCACGCGGGTGACCATGGGGAAGCCACTCAGGAGGCTGTACAGTGACACAGGGGACACTTGCAGGATGCTGTCATCCCTAATGGTGAACGCCAGAGGGGAACCATCCTGGAGCGAGTTGGGGGTTTCAGGAAAGACAGGCAGCTGTGTAGCCTGGGGGCTAAGAACACAGACTCTGAAGTAACATTACCTGAATTTGAAAGCTGGCTGTACCTGTTGCTAGCTGTGGGAATCTCTGTGCCTTAGTTTCCTCTCTGTAAAATAAAGATAAAATATTAAATGAGATCATTTCTGTTAGACGGTTAGGTCAGCAGCACTACTAAATGCTAAATAAACGATAGTTGGGTTTTGTTTGTTTGTTTGTTTTTGAGAGACAGAAAGTGCATACGAGCTGGGGACAGAGGGTAAGAGACAGAGACAGAGACAGAGACAGAGAGAATCCTAAACTGGTTCCATGCTGAGTGTGGAGACCTATGCAGGGCTTCATCTTGCAAGCGTGAGATCATGACTTGAGCCAAAATCAACAGTCAAAAGCTCAACCATCTAAGCCACCCATCCATCCCAGTAGCTGTTTTTGTTAACTTTATCATAGTTATTACAATTTTGAATATGTTTAGATTTAAGTTTTTTGGGGGGGACATTCAAGGAGTGCCATGAAACTGACAACTATGTACATTGTGTGGGATCTTCTGGTGCTCAGAAGGAGAGTTTCTGGTGGAGTTCTGAGTGACATAGGAATCATCTCTGGGCATGAATGAGGTCACCTGGGTGGGGAAGAGTTAGTGAAACAGGTGGGCTTTGAACAGGATCTTTCAGCCCAAAGCTGTGGGGACCCATCAGAGTGGACTAGTGGAACAAGTGCATGGTCCTTGTTTTGAATTACATTTTCTGTGATGGGGTGTTAGCAATCATGGCTGGACCCAAGGCCTGTGGCCAGAGGCCATGAGGAAACAGAGGAGAGAAAGAGTTGTTTGGTTGAGCAACTGAAGTAGCCCAGAGGCCAAGGTGTTGGGTGAGTTACCTACATGGACACTGAAGTTATCCAGGATGGTGAGAGAACTGGAACAGAGAGGAAGGTGGGAAGCTGGGTACCTAAGTCTTCAAGAGATGAATGGGACAGCATGTTAGCACATGACAACATTGTTTGGGGAAGGTGACACACACGTTAGACTCAGGGTTTCTTCCAAAATAATACAAAAGGAATTCTGGGCTCTCCAGGGGGCATAAAGGGACTGTCACTGCTCACCCTCTCAATGCTAAGATACGTGGAGTATGAGAGAATTCAAAACAAAACATTTTGCTTATTATTTTCCTTTGAGCTCAACTTTTTATTTTTTTTCCAAAAGTTTATTAATTTATTTTGAGAGACACAGAGAGAGAGGGAGAGGGAATCCCAAGCAGGCTCCACACTGACAGTGCAGAGCCCCTAGTGGGGTTTGAACCCACAAACGATGAGATCATGACCTGAGCTGAAATCAAGAGTTAGATGCTTAACTGACTGAGCCACCCAGAAGCCCCTGAACTCAACTTTTTAAAGAGCTATCTTATTGAAAATAGATACCTAAGCATCATTAACAGTAATGATACGGAAGTAAGGAAAGGCACGTATTATCTGTTCGAGTGCCCCTTTGTTGAAACAAGAAAAGTTACCACAGGAAGAACACAGGCATCCTCTGGTCGAGGTCAGACCAGAGCTCATGTATCCATCATCTCTACAACAGCCCATTCTTTATTGGCTGACTGCAACCTGAATTAGGTTTGACATTTTGGACTTAAGTCTCAAAACATGAAAACACTAGGGTGAGGCTAACAAGAATAGTTTACAAAGGTAAATTAAACTTGGAAATTTGCAAAAGCTTGGTGCCTTCATCTCCCGGAAATGGGAGTTCACTTACATGAGACCGAGGCTCTGTTGTGAGAAATAGTGTATCAGCACTGCTGTGTGAAATTGATCTTTAACGTTGTCTCTCGGGTTCCTTTGGCTGAAATACTGCACTTCAGTGTATTAAACACCAGAGTATATCATGCAAATATTATTTATACTGCTGTTAAAATCATTTTCTTGAGTTTCAACTATTTTCTAACTTCCATATTTTGTTTCCAAGAGCTCTAACGCTTCCCTGAAACTTCAAAGGAAACCTCGAGAAAGTGATTTTGAAACGATTAAATTGATTAGCAATGGAGCCTATGGGTGAGTAATTCAAGAAAACTCTCTATTGTATTTTAACACACCTGAGTAATATATTCTTTACATTTCTCTTAGGCCAAATAGATGTCATTAGGGACTTGAATTTTCAAGTCACCGCTCCTTCACTGGTGGGTAGAATGTGTAGCTAAAATTGTTTTTCATTTGGCTACTCCATCAAGAAAACATATCAAATGACCTGGAGTTATTTTAGAGATAGGGAGAAGAAGCGTTATAAAGTAAAGAAAAATTTTTATATATATACCTATTTCTGCCTCCTTTATTCCACTGTTTGGGGTGCAGAAATACCTGACTCTTGGCCGTAAATAAGCAAACACACACATCTACATCTGGATGTTATAATCTATCTCTATCTCTAAACATATGGACATTCATATATAGCATCATTACTACTTAAAAATTAGCCAGTACTTTTCAGCCTGACCACCAGTCAATGTTGTGAGAGAAGGACTTCAGTAAGTTGGCTGCTTGAAACCTTACAGCCGTTCATTTCCTTTAGTCTTTATGTCACACCAAGATTTTTTTTCAGTTGATGTCTATGCTCTCATCTGATCACATTAGTGGTGACCCCCGCCCCCTATTTTTAATTGAGAAAGAGAGAGAGAGCAAAGGAGGGGCAGAGAGAGAAAGGAAGAGAGAGAATTCCAAGCATACTCCACACTGTCAGCGCAGAGCCTGATTTGGGGCTTGAACTTACGAACTATGAGATCTTGACCTGACTGAAACCTAGAGTCAGACACTAAACCAACTGAGCCACCCAGGCACCCCAGTGTTGCCCCTTTCTTGATTCATTTTCATAGATATAAGCTTCTCTTCTCACAGCATAGGGTCAGTGGTGACAAGATCCTTCTGAGTTACTAAGAAACAGTTAGGAAGGGTAATTAATACACATACTGTGTCCTGATCCATTTCAGACAGCCCAAGAGCTCTAGTTTAATTAAGTATTAATCTCAATTCCATCTGTATATGGAGAGCTATAAACAATCCCATAGACATTTATTGCCATTTATCACACATATGAGCAGATGAGATAAAAGCCATTTCTGTTATGCCACAAGGGATAGTTCTCCTTATGATTTTTTTTTACCTAATATTTTCCACACCATTAACTTAGTGAAGAACTTAAATATTTGTGGGTCCTTCCTGTGCTTCCTTGATTTATTTTCAGGATGATTTCAAACGGTGTGTTTTCCTGATGTAGCTTATAAATGTTTTCTGATATTTTAGGTTTAGAATATTTTACTTTGTTCAAGGGCCTCATCGAAACTTCTCCCCAACAGGAAATTATTTTGGCATACAGTTGTTTGTGAGTTTTGTTTGGTTGTTATCTGGTTTTAGTTCATTTTAGTTTTCAACATCATCTGAGGATTTCTTCCTTCGTTAGGGAAAAAACTGAACTTTGATTTAATGAGTCTCTGGGTTTGAGGCCTGATGGACTTTATTGGCAGTGGGATTCTAGAATAAGATGATCTGTGAAGCACCACTTGTATAAAATTTGGGCATATATCTTAGCAGTATTTGGAGTTCTAATTGGTTGAGTAAACTCATTTGTAGTGCAATGAAACTACTGTATAGTAGATGAGGTATATCACACTTCAGGGAATGGCTGGGAATACACAAGAAGTTAAACAAGCTGTGAATCACTAAACGCCCAGGATGCAGGCCAAGCCATTAATGGACTTATAAGCTGCCTGTGGGAGCTTCTACCCATCAGCCAAAACGTGTTTTGTTTTGTTTTTTCCTTTTGCTCTTCTCAGATTTACTCTCTCATTACGTCTCTGACAGATTTCTCCTTCATTTCAATTATTTTTAATTCAAAATTTGAATGGGGCTCTACCCATTGATCTGCCCAGCCAGGAAGCTGATTGCAGGCTTCTATGTTCCAGTGGAACACATGGATGCTTCTCTGGGTAGATGAACTGGGGGCAGGTGGAGGTTTCCTTGGCATCTGTGTATCAGTCTGCCACTCACATCTGTAGCTCAGAGTGACCCTGATTCCGTGACTTTGTGAAAATCGCCTGGGCTGGGAACTAACCCTCTCATTAGAAGTAGCTCTAACGCATCAGGGTTTTCTCAACATCATACTTAGTGACAGTTCATGTAATAAAGCCAACCTGCTAATTTGATATCATCCAATTTTCTTCTCTTCTCATAGTGTGTTTTGGATCCCTGACTGGAAGCTAGATGTCCCTTGATGCCAACTTAGCACTTTGTAGAGAGTTAATACTTGTTGTGTGCCAGGCACCGTGCTGGTTTATATACGGTGACTTCTCACAAGAGCCCTGGGTGGTGTTGATATTATTTCCACTTAGGTGAGAGGCTTGGATGCATGGATGGCCACAGGTGCACTCAGTTTTCTAAGCAGTGCTCTTTCCTTCTCTCAGTGTTCATGTTACAGCTTGTAGCCATGTTCATTGGGTATAGAAGGCCTTATTCTCTTGATTCCACCTAGACTTTTCAATTACGGCACTTTTCAATTATGGCTTTGAATGTTTTCAAAGTGAAAGAATAAAATTGACACAAAAGATGTTTTAAAATGAGGCACCCGGGTGGCTCAGTCAGTTAAATGTTCGACTTCAGCTCAGATCATGATCTTGAGGTCCATGGGTTCGAGCCCCGTGTTGGGCTCTGTGCTGATAGCTCGGAGCCTGGACCCTGCTTCAGATTCTCTGTCTTCCTCTCTCTCTGTCCCTCCCCTGCTCGTGCTCTCTCTCAAAAATAAATCATTAAAAAAATGTTTTAAAGATTTTTTAAAAAGTAAATTCAAAAGGCATGACTTCTCTGTCCCACTTTGCTCTGTCCCACTTGCTAGCTTTGCTGGACATCAATCTCTTACTCCTCAGAAGATGGGACCATTTACCTGAGAGAGCCATGAGACCCATGTGTGTGGTTGATGGCCACCCTTCTCTCCTCGTAGACTTTTTTCTAACACATGCAGTCTTGTTCCCACAGACAGATTTGCTTGCACAGATTCACATATTGGCTCTCAGACTTATGCATAATTTTATACGCATTAGACATTCACACTCCCTAAAGGACTGATTCATTCTGCTCTAGATCCCATCAGCTTCTGACTCCATTTCTCCCCACCCTCCCAGTCCTGAGTTGTGCACGGATAGAGTGAGTAAAGTTTGGCTCACAGAAGACAGATGCCTTTCTCTGTATCACCTCATCCCCTTGGGTTTTCCTGTTTTACAAGCAGGTCAGTGTAGGAAAAGAGACACAGAAGCAGCCTTTTCAAAGAAAGCAGAGAAATGTGGGGCTCAATCAGTTCAGTCCAGTTTTATAATTTGGATGGTTTACACCTGTGCTTAGCAGCATGTGCTTTCTGTCTGTCATCTGGCTGCTGTTTGTTTCGATCTCTTTCTCTCTCTGCTGACTTAAGTGGATTTGGAACATGAATTTACAGGAAAAGAGAAAAGGTATATGATATGAGAGACAACGGTTATTACTAAACTGTTGTTTAGATTTACAGATTTCACCATTAAGAGTGATATTCCTAAAGCAGCACAGTACTGTAAAAACTGAATAATATGACAAGCAGCGATCCAGCTCTAACAAATTCTAATTAAGAAGTCTATGATTTGCAGCTTGATCAAGACACATGTGTCCTGAGGCAGTGATGTCTCAAGCTATGTATAGGATTAATTTCACCTGATGTAGGTAAATTTCCCTAGGGATTAGCTGATAGGTTTAAGTACATCATAGCAAGGAAAAGATCAAGTTTTGCAAATTGCAAATCTGATAATAAATATATGAGTCCTTTTTCACAGAGGGCCTCTGAGAAACCTGGTCTGGATGCTGGTCAAATTAGACCTGAGGCATCTTTCTTCTTTGTTCTTTCATTAAATCGTGGACAGTTCTGTTTTTCCTTCTCCACTTCCTGTTATTCTCAAACATATTGCTGAGCAGTTGTTTATGTAAGAAATGGTGATGGTTGACTAAAAATCAAACGTCAGTTGTCTGATGATCTAAAGTGAAGTTCATAGTATCATGTCTGAGGACCTCAGAACTATAGCTACTCAAGGGTAAATATTCAGAAAAGAAAGGGAAAAAGTAAGCTGTATTCCAGTTGATTCTCACTCATAGGCAAGTGCTTATATAAACATACTGTTTGTTTCAACGTTTCACATTCTAAATTTTATTTTAAAAAGTAAATTCTCTGTTTCAGAAGTTCCTCTTCATAACAATATGTGTTCACCAATGCTTGCCTTATATTTCTGAGGAAGCCAGGTTATTTTCTGTGTTCCCATTGTATACCTGTCCGCCAGCTTCTCATTAGGAGAAGCTCAAGATTTTAGGGGGATCTTGATTTTATCCAATCAGTGTTGGAATGAGAAAAATACTGTAAAAGTCTTTAATCTGATCCAGAAAGAATGAGTATTTGGTTGGTTAATTAAGAAGTCAGTCAAAGTAGGAAGTCATTTTAAAAAGATGCAGACTCAAGGGACACCTGGGTGGCTCAGTCAGTTAAGCGTCCGACTTCAGCTCAGGTCGTGATCTTGCGGTCCGTGAGTTCGAGCCTCCACGTTGGGCTCTTTGCTGACAGCTCAGAGCCTGGAGCCTGCTTTGGATTCTGTGTCTCCTTCTCTGTGTACCCTTCGTCCTCACCCACACTCTGTCTCTCTCTGTCTCAAAAATAAACATTAAAAAATTAAAAAGATATACACGGTAAACATTTTAATTTAATGTAATCTCAATATATATATAAATTTACTAGTCTTTTTTTAAATTTTAGAGTGTGTGCATACAAGTAGGAGGGGCAGAAGGAGAGAAAGAACTTTTTTTAATGTTTCCTTATTTATTTTTGAGAGAGAGAGAGAGAGAGAGAGAGTGCACAAGTGGTGGAGGGGCAGAGGGGAGGGGGGGAGACACAGAATCCAAAGCAAGCCCCAGGTTCCAAGCTATCAGCAGGGCTCAAACTCATGAACTGTGAGATCATGACCTGTGCCGAAGTCAGATGCTTAATCAACTGAGCCACCCAAGTGCTCCGAGAGAGGGAGGGAGAGGGAGAGAGAATCTTAAGCAGGCTCCACACTCAGCATGGAGCCCAACACAGGGCTTGTTCCATGACCCTGGGAACATGACCTGAGCTGAAATCAAGAGTCAAACACTCAACCACCTGAGCCCCCCAGACATCCCTACTCATCTTCTGTATAAGGCCTTTTTAAGACAGCCTGTATAGACCATACTTGATAATACATAGGTTTTCCACTTTTCACTACTTTTAAAGGTGAAGCCAGAACTTGAAGCAGTGTGAATGTAGTCATGTAGATTTGTATTATTTTGTCAACTTTTGAAAACCTTCTCACCCATACCAAAATGGGAATTTTATTTGGTAACTCACATTTAACACATTTATCAGTACGTCCAAAGCATTCCACTTGCATGTTTTTTTTTTTTAATAAACAACAAAGCGTTTCCTTTTCACACTCATGTTTCATCGGTTTAAATATTTGTTGAAATTAGTTAATCCTGGTATCAGTCCTCACCAGAAAAACAGGTGTGGAGATAAACCCAGCTGGTGGGAGCCCCAGGATTTGGCATCCTAAAGAAGATCCCTGGCCCCAGCTGAAGCTGTCGGCCTCTAGGTTCCCTGTCAGTTTGTGGTACAGTAGGAATAAGAGCACTAGATTGTTCCTTGAGTTGGTTATCTGAAGTGCAGATAAAGGATATTTTCTCTATACAACAAAGGAAGGAAGAGAAGACCAAAGAAATGAGGGGCAGGGGGTCGGGGGAAGTAAAGCAAAAAAAAAAAAGTTTTGTAAAGAGACAAAAACAATTTGTAATTTTGCAAGTGAGGGAGAAAGATGGAAACAATGAGAAGACAAAGATACACATACACATACTTGAAAGAAGAACAATTTACTAATTGAGCACTTGAGCAGAACATGTGAATACCAGTTAAACTGAGATTGAATATAGTAAAATTTACAGAAGTGGATTACCCTGACATACTGGTTCAGCAGGGAATTAGCGTGTTCTAGTCACCATTACAATCATTTTTTAGGAACAGTGAAAATAACTAGCAGAAAACACATCTCAGATTAGAATAACCCCTTGTTTTAGGAGGCATGCATTGGATATATTTTACTGTGAATGGTGGCTGTTTAGGTAAATTGTTACTTATTTGAGCATTTCCTAATGGAGTTCAAATCTCTTCTCCCACAATAATGATAAGTGAGGAGTAACCTAAGAGAAAATGAGCCAATCCAAGACATTTTCTGTGTGCTTATCATTTCCAGGTAAGGTTTTAAGCCTACTCCTCTCTTCTTACTTCCTTGTTCCACATCAGGTTTTAGGGGGTCCGTTGTCTTTCCCCAGCCAGGAGTGTTCTCTAGAATATGTGAATGAGTCTTTGCAGCAGAAATTCAGTGCAACCTCCTCATTGTACTGTAAAGTTGGCTGTCACCTTGGCCATGGGTCAGATGGAGTGGAAATGGGGTGTATTATTGGTCCCCTTTTATGTTGGAAAAGGGATTTTCTGTTGAAACAGGCATAGGTGTAAATCATGCTGAGGTCTCTTGATTGTTGGACTACCTCATATGACCTGTTACACACTTATCATTTATCTGGAAATGCCATGGGGAGTAAATTACCTTCAAGTTGGAAACCACCTACCCCAAGGACATTGGTCCTTTTTGCATATCTCATGTGTATCATATAGAAAATTACTGTTTTAGTCAGTCATATAGTCAGTGGCATATATCTAACACCAAAAAGGATGTAGCTCATGATATGTATGTACTTGGGTTAATTCTTTTCCTATTCTTACTTAAATACTGAATTTTGTTATGTGGGAAAACTGAAAACATCAGCTGCCTAATTTCCATCCTTGCCATTAAGATGAATTTGATGCCTTATGTACAACCGATGACCTTTATTGAAAGATTAAGAAATAAATAAACCTAGCCGTAAGGTTTTGCCTTAGAATGGGATGGATGTAGTCACTAGGATAACTTGCTTGAGCTGAATTTCAGCTGCCCTCTGAATGTAAAAAAAAAAAAAAAAGTTGACCATCACGTGGTTTACTGTACCCAGAAGCATCCTCACTTCCTTTAAAGTCCAACTCTTGTCTCCTTTTCAGGGCAGTCTACTTTGTTCGGCATAAGGAATCCCGGCAGAGGTTTGCCATGAAGAAGATCAATAAACAGAACCTCATCCTCCGAAACCAGATCCAGCAGGCCTTTGTGGAACGGGATATCCTGACTTTTGCAGAGAATCCCTTTGTTGTCAGCATGTACTGCTCCTTTGAAACAAGGCGCCACCTTTGCATGGTCATGGAATACGTGGAAGGTAAGTCAGCCTTAGACGCCGAGAACACGACCCCCATATCCAGAAGCCGCTTGCTCCTTTGTGTGGCTGAGGCTCTCCCCGTTGTGCCACACACTGGTTGTATCCTCCTAGGAACTGAAGCCAGGCAATGAGATGGCTGTCTTCCCAGTCATTATCTTCTGATAATTGCTTGTAAAGTGCCTGCTCTACTATAACAAAGGGAAAATTAGTGCTCTTTGGAAAATGCTTGTTTTTCTTTTTTAATAGCTTTTAATACTAACTACCTACTCTCAATTGGTCTTTAAAGTTAGGATATAGGTGATGGGATTTTTCCTACTTAATTTCATCACATATCCTAAAACCATCATGACACTGAGCTTCTTAAAGAATGAATTAAAAATGCATTCTTTTTGGTCTACAGTGTAAAATTAAAAATGAGGTTGGGGAAAAGGAGATACAAGTCAAGAAAATGTAACGCTTCTTTTTTTTTTTTTTTTTTACATTTATGGTTTACCTTTTAAATGTTCTATTTCCATCAGTTTTACATTCAATTTCTACATGTTTGGCCATGACTTATTGAGATAAACAAGTTAATAAAAGGAATAAATTAGGAAAGGCCAAAACAGTCTTCAAAAGCATCTCATTTAAGCTCCTGTAATTGTTTGAGCAGAGTCCCAAACCTATAAAACTAAAAGAAACATTAAATATCATCTAGTTCGACCTTTTCATTTTGTGGATGAGTGAACTGAAGCCCAAGAAGAGGGGAGACTTACTAGATGCTTTACTAGTAGACACAAGACAGAAGCATAGCGTGCCTGATTTCCACCTGCTTCCCGACCCCATGCCAGTGCTCGGCTTTATTAACCTTGGTGGTGATTACAATAACTAACATTTATCACACATTTAATAAGTGTTGGTAATGTCCTAAATTTGTTGCATATATCACCTCATGTCATCTACGTAATAATCTTGAATGACAGTCTTACTTTCATGATATTAGAGGAAGGAGCCAGTACTAGCTTGCCTAAGATCTCTCCACCTGTAAGAGTCAGACCCAGGATTTGAACTCAGGCAGCCTGATTCCTGAACCTATGCTTGATAGTGCTGTATTTTGTTCTTCAAATTTCAGTTCAGCTTTGAAGCCAGATCTCTCTTAGGAGAACTGCTGCTTTAAAATGTGTGTGTGTGTGTGTGTGTGTGTGTGTGTATTTTTGTGGATGTGTGTGTCTGTATGGATGTGGATGTGTATATATATACACATGTTTACATATATACACGTAGATACGTATACACACACACACATATATACATACATTATATATATATGTGTGTATGCATATGTATTTGTACATTTTTTCCATACTGCATCTTAGTTAAAAATGGGACTACTCTGCACAGTCCCAACTTACAAATTTGGTATGCTGTGTCTGTGGGCAGAGGCCATCTGTAGTCTGACTGATGGTCTTCACTCCTAGCTGATACTATACTTGCTAAGTCTTCTGCCTGTGTTTTCTAGGAGGTGACTGTGCTACCTTGATGAAGAACATGGGTCCTCTCCCTGTTGACATGGCCAGGATGTACTTTGCTGAGACAGTCTTGGCCTTGGAATATCTACATAATTATGGAATTGTACACAGGGATTTGAAACCAGACAAGTATGCATACTGAGGAAACATCTTTTTTTTCACACCATGCAAAAAGTTTTCTTAGGTCTATAAAAATGTTGTCTTTTAATGCTACTTTGTGCATTTCAAAATTGTCCTATAATGTTCCCAAATGAGTTTCTTTGGCAGTATATATGGTAATGTTTATATCGTACTTTAAGCCTTGCTCTGATGTTTATAATAATAGCTTATAAGAAACAAAACTGATTATAAAGCCAGGGTTAGTTAATTTTTTTTAAGTTTGTTTTTTAGTATGTTATCTTTTGAATCATAGAATGCTACTAGTTGCTTTCTGGATGGTTTTTACATTTGATATTATATACTTAGATAACCCTTCCCTACTCTAAGATGATATACTTGATATTATATTCTATCTCACCGCTTAATGTAGAAGTTTTTAACCCATTTGAAGTTCATTTTACTGTCTTATTTGAGATACAAATAGACTTTTTTCCCTCAAATGACTTTGACACCATTTATTAAAATTTTTATGCTTTCTCCACTAATTTCAGACAGCCCTATAAGCATTACATGTTAATATGTAAAGATTTTAAGCGTGCTGAGAATTATATAAAATTAACTCATGCTCATTCCAGGAAATTTGGAAGTACAGAAAAAGATTTTTAAAAATTCATTCATGAGGTGCCTGGATGGCTCAGTAGGTTAAGCGTCTGACTCTTGATCTTGGCTCAGGTCATGATCTCACAGTTCATGGGCTCAAGCCCCACATCGGGTTTGTGCTGACAGTACAGAGTCTGTTTGGAGTTCTCTTTCCCCCTTCCTCGCCCCTATCCCACTCATGCTCATTCTCAAAGTAAATAAAAATAATTTTTAAGTAAAAGTTAAAAATTCATTCACAACATTAGCACACAAAGACAACTATTAGAACTTTGGAATATATCTTTCCAGTAGCTGTTCTTTCTCTTTTCACTTCCTCTATTTCTTTAGTTTTTTTAAATTAATTATAATTTTGGCTTTTCCCCTTAAAATGAAGTTTTTTAAATTTAAATTCATAAAGCCGCCAAATGTGAATTATTTGCATATATAAGAAATTTACATTTTGTGCTTAGTAAGTAGAAGTGAGAATTGGAGCCATAAGTTGATATCTTCAACAATAGTACGTTTTTCTGTCCAAGTTCTGTATCTTATGTCTCACTTAAATCATGGACAGATTGATGTGGGATTATTGGTAATCAGTCCTTTACTATTATTCTGAAAATAGAAAGATGTCAGAGTCCCACACTAGAATTTTTCTCAGAGTTCAAACCTATAAAGGAAACTGTATGTGGCCATTCCAGCGAAGATTAGCTGGGCCCAGTGTCTGGCCCTCCCTTGTGAATTACACTTCTAAGCCAGATACCCCGATACCCCTGTGTAATATGTTCCTATGATTTCATCTCTTCCCAGGCTGGGTTTTATATTCAGATTGATACCTCTATGCCAAATAGACTTATGAATTAAGGAAAAGGAGAAAGCTAAGAAAAGAAAAGAAAAGAATGTCAAAGCAAGTGTTAAAATATGTGTCCTTCTGTTTCATAGTTTGTTGGTCACCTCCATGGGGCATATAAAGCTGACAGATTTTGGATTATCCAAGGTGGGACTAATGAGCATGACTACCAATCTTTATGAAGGTCATATCGAGAAGGATGCTCGAGAGTTCCTGGACAAACAGGTGAGCTTGCACGCTGCTCAGTTCTGGAGGGAAATACAAAGTACGATATTGCCAGTGACATTCAGAATCGACTTGTAGAAGCCAGCTTCACATTAGTACTGGGCGTCTAGATGTCTGTATAAGCCATACGTTTAATAAAGTGCAAATTGCTTCCATTTTTCTCCCTGGGCTTCTTTGAACTGTCCGTTCCTCCACATTCCTCCCCCAGCATTATGGTCTATTAGCAAGACGAACGATGTAATTGCACACAAGTGAGAAAGTGAGAGAGACAAATGGAAAACTGTTTTTGTAAGGAATTCAGGAGTCTCAGTAGACTACTCATGAAACTCATGATGCATTGTACAATCCCGGGTGCTACAATCCGAGCCATGGCCCATTTCCCTTTAAGCATGCCTCATTACCATGTGCCCACAATCTGTTCATTGTAAAGTTACTTAAGGTAAACACATCTCAACTGTCATGCTTTTATAAAGTAACCAGGATGTGAATATATTTTGGTCACATAAATACTAAAACGATCTCTGTTAGCAACAGATTAAGAATGCATCGTTCTTTTAAGGATTTAAAATGTTTTTGATATTGTGAAATAAGTAGAACCACCAAACAGGGTCAAACCTTCAATTTGAAATTGCACGTTACACATAGTTTAACATTAAAGTGGCCTTTTAAATTTCCCTTTTTTGCTATTTAAATATTTCGTTGCCTTTGGGGTTATGGATGCTGATTTATAATTGCTCTTCTTAAGTTCTCTGCCCATGAGGTTCCATGTGGTTGAGCAGGTGCACTCCGGGCAACATAATTGGTGTTTAGCCATCATGCTCGTTTTAATTCATGTCTGATATTCCAGTTATTCTAATATTGCAATCATCTTTTAGGTCTGTGGCACACCTGAATATATTGCACCAGAAGTGATTCTGAGGCAGGGCTATGGGAAACCGGTGGACTGGTGGGCCATGGGGATTATCCTCTATGAATTTCTGGTTGGATGCGTGCCATTCTTTGGGGATACTCCAGAAGAGCTATTTGGACAAGTCATCAGTGGTAAATATCATCAGGAGTTATCTTCAAGTGACTGTTGGAAAGCAGCTGTTTAATGTAATTCTGTGGAGTATTGCCGTTTGTACTACTGAAATGTTAACCTTTATCAAACAGTTTAGCCAACAAATTAAAAGAACTCACTCATCATAGCGCATAACTGACTCACAAATCTCAGGAGATCAATTTGTGTTGAAAATTGATCTGAGGAAGTTTTGTTAACATGGAATTTGGAAATGTCCTAGCAATATAACCAATTTTTATGGTGTGCTTTTTCTGCAAAAGAAATTCACGTGGGATTTGCAAATTGTTTCATTGCCGTCTATTCTTCCTTTCCATAATAGGAACGTGGCACCAGGGAAGAAAAGGTTAATCTGGGTAACGTTTACATAAATGGGGGAAAATAGCTAATGGCACAATGAAGAAATTAACAAAAATGTAATAAACCCTAAAACAAATGTCTACCAAATAATAAATAATGAGAATGGGAAGGAAGCAAATTTAATCCACAGATTGTTAATGATTTCATTGGTGGTTGTTATGGTGTAATGTTATTTCTGTAACAGCTGTTCATCTTTCATGTAAAATTCAATAACCTTTAGATCTTAACCTGCAAGCTGACCCTCACTATTGTTACGTGGCTTGTGGCAAAACTAAATGATAATTAAATAGGCTCTATTAGTACCCTACCTGCTGTTTTTATAAATTTCCCCGAAGCATATCAAAAAGGCCTCTCCTCCGCAGAGTTTATCAGTCATCACCGACACCTCCACCACCCACTCGGATACCGTCTGGACTGTGCTACGGGGCCCACCAGCGGAAAGAGAGGGAAAATGCGTTTTCGAGGAATCCCTTAATCACAGCATTATTCTCTTATCGTTGACTTTGCAAGCCAGGCATATTTGTAAACTTTAACAAAGTAGATTTGTGAGTTGCCTGCAGTGTATAACCCTTTTCCACAATATCTGAGCTGTTTATGGGTTTATAACTAGGCTGTTTTCTGATATACCGAGGCCCAAATGGCAAGAGGAATCAACTGTTTAATTAACACAAGCAGCAAATGCTGGCTTTGTTCTCGATGCCTTACGGCTCCGATGCATATTCATGTTTTATTTTCCAAATCAGATTTAAACTGCAGCTGAGGAAGCTGGAGGCAGGCACACACAGAAATAACTCATGTTTTTATTGCATTTCCATACACACAAGCACACACACACCTTATCTTCAGGCAAACTCCTGTGGAATGTAGAACATGTTCTAATATTTATGGCAGATTTCGAATTCTGCCATTCCTATGATTACTTTGGATTCTTTTTGTGTTCAGCTTAACACTTTGGCCTTTCATTTGTCTCTGGAAATAGTTATTTTTGCAAAATTAATTTGTGCTTCTCGAGGCTGAAGAACTCTATGGCTGTGGCCAAATTCTCATTTGAGGACAGGAGGAGAGAAAAATCTTAGTCTCTTGATTCCCTGGATGGCCACCCACCGAAACAGAGGTGCTTAGGGTTTCCCCCATATTAAGTCCTCTTAGTAATTAGAAAAAACAATTTGTTGTGAGCCAGTTCTGCCCCAAAGGAACAAACATACAAAGAGTCAAAAAAGCAAATGGAAGGTACTGCTTATTGAAATACTCTCTCCCCGTCTTGTTGACTGCTGTACTCCTTTCTTCTTGTGAAATGTGAAACGATACTTCTCAAACTTTCCCGGGCCCGGGAAGCAACTGGTAATCCCATTAAAATGTAGATTCTGATTCATTCTGGAATGAAATGTTATCTTTCTCACGAACTCCCAGGCCATGTCCAGGCTGTAGAGACCTGGACTGCCATTTGAGCAATAAAGTTGTAAACTGTGTGTCTCCTTTCTAGATGAGATCAACTGGCCGGAAAAGGATGAGGCACCACCCCCCGATGCCCAGGATCTGATTACCTTGCTTCTTCGGCAGAATCCCCTGGAGAGACTGGGAACAGGTTAGAGCACATATGTTTTAATTTTGCTAATATGCAAGAAATAATGTCTTTGTGGAACATTAAGAGGTTCTTGTTGGTGTTTTGGATTTTTTTTGCCGAGGAAACATCTGTTGGTTGATGTGGGACACGACTACAACACATTATAACAATCATGTTTTGGGTTTGGTTTTTATTTTCCTGATTCAGAGCAGCATGTACACTCGAAGGGTTGGGTTGGTGGTTGTATGTCTGTGATCTTTTTTTCCTGTTTTTGCAAAGCAAAAGTTACTCTTATTTTCAATAAATAAAAGTTGTCTGGAAGAAAACCTCAAGAGCACATGTAACTCTTCTGTCCTGAAAAGCATGTATCTTAAATAATTTAAAACAGATGACTTGAGGTGAAGAGCTTTTTTTGTTTAAAACATATATTCCTAGAAGGATTTGACCCAGCACGTTCCGTCTATAGGCTTTAAAATGGGTTATCAGTCCTTGAACTAATTACTTTCTGGAAATGAGTGTCTGAGGTTGAACCATGTTGTCTCATCATGGTGATCAGCACCAGACTCAAGAAAGAGGATTAAAACCATTGACTTTCAACATTAAGGAGATAATAGATTTGTTTCTTGCCAATTATTTTTTCCCAACTGTTCTCCATACAGGTTTTGTTTCTGCCCCTCATTTTCCTTTTCTTCCTAATATTCTGAGTGGACAGTGATCCCAGAATAGAATCCAAACCTTCCCCAGTATGTGAATCTATCTAGATGGGACTCAATATTAAATATAAGTACAAAACACACACAGTAGACAGTCTCCATAATTTTTTGAAAATTTTTGACTTGATGGGTTTTTTGCCCTGAGCTGTTTCATTCTACCTCATTGTAACTGAAATATCAGAAAATACTAAAGAAATCATTATTTCCTTCAATTTTTCCAAGGCAAAAATAATTTGCAGCAGCTCCAAATACTTGTCTTCTATTATTTCCCATTTCTGTCCACAGTTTGCCCAGTTGGAGGGCTCCATTCTTACTTAAATATGCTGTCTGCTAGAGTTTAAGATACTGCATTGAAACCCATAGGCCATATTTTTGTCTTATAAATAAAGTTTTATTGAAACACAGTAGTGCCATTCACATGCATTATCTATGGCTGCCTTCATGGTACAGTAACAGAGTTGAATCATCAAATCTGCCCACAAAGCCTAAAGTATTTACTGTTTGGCTTTTTGCAAAAAAATCTCTCATTGACTGCATTAGAGATTCGAACTACAGGCTCACTTGGGAAAACTTTGAGTTGAGCTCTTACTGGAGGAACATGTGCGTTTTTGCCTTTTGCGCTGGATCAGTTGGCCTTTGAGTAGGAAAGACAATATAAATGGAAGGGCACAAACTCCACAGTTAGATTGCCTGAGTTTAAATCTCTGCTGTGTGACTGTGGGCAGGATGTTTCCCTTTCTGTGCCTCATTAACTCATCTGTAAAATGGAGCTTAGAGAAGTACCCACCTTTTCATGAGGATAATAGATTCCCCCACTGTGGCTCCTAAAACCAGGTGTGACACTGCTGCTGCTGGTATTGTCATTTTAATTTTCTGCCTGTATAATCTCACCCTTTCTCCCTTTGGACATACAAGATACAGAAATGGTGGTGGTGCCCCTATCTTTGAGCTTATTGAACTCTTTGAACAGAGTACTTTATATTTCTTCCAACCCTGTTTGATTTTCCTTTTGTCTGAAGTGACAGGCAAACTTGTTGTTGCCTGACCTCTGTGACCTCCAGTCAGATTTGCTTTCCGGCTTCAGAGATACGAGTAGCTGTCAAAGAATTGGTGTCAAGGCCCTGTGCAGGACAGAGTTCTGAGGAGTGAGTTTCAATCACTTGAGCCAAATAGAGGAAGCGACCGCATTGTCAGCTGTCCCGGGGAAGCATTGTCCTGAGATACGTCTAAAGATAACATTAGAATCGGCACTCCCCTTCCAAAGAGCCTACTTCTCTTTGGTGTTCTTGGGTCTGTGTGGAGAGTTTTCCCATGGAGTCTTTGCCCTGCTTTCCTCCTCTAAGAATACTTGGAAACTTGACTGGCCTTTATTTAACAAAACAGTCACAGTGATGGTCAGTGCATCCATGTTTACACATCGTACGCTGTTCATTATATCTCTGCGCATTTTTCTCCCTGACTGCTGCTTGAGTTCTTTTTAGGATTTGACAGTTGGAGAAACGAATCTCCTAGCGGAAGCTTGAAAGAGACATTTGCAAGACCCTGCCCAAACTCTTAGTATTGTTGAGAAGTACTTGCCAGGCAGGCGGGTCCAACGTGACAGATCCCAGTAGGGCCCGAAGAACAAGGCTGAGAATCCCACAGGCCTGCCATGCTGCTTCCAATGACAGCATTTTGGATTTAATGCATATTTAGCGGGCAAAATAATGCACCGTGAAAATGTGCGAATTCACATTTGCCCGAGAGACTAGAGAGCCTGAGAAAAGGAGTGTGAAGAACATAATGGATGTTTAAGAAACTTCCATGAAAGGAGAGAAAAACTCAAGGGAGAACATGAGGGCAAAGCATAACTTGCAATTGAGAATCTTGTCCTACTTGAACTAGACTTTTGAACTTGTGAAGTACTGAATGGCAGCCTGGTTTGTCAGACTTTATAGCTGCTCACATGTGACTGATTCTCACCCACATACCAGCTGGGAGGTCTTGGGTAGTTTCTTATTTACTTGGGTCACAACTTCCTAATCGAGAAGGTGGGCATACGATACACCTCACAGGATTAGTGTGAGGACTGAATGCCAGGATGTTCATGAAGACACCAAGTACATTAACGTAGTACCTAATAGAAGCTCCAGATATAATCAGTCCCCTTTCCTTCCCTGCCTGGTGATTCTTACAATGAGTGCTGTCCATTCCATGACTTCCTGTGCCCGATCATCTGTATTGGGCTCATAAAGCCATCATCCATAGTGTTCAACAGTAGAGCCCAGAGGTCCTTTTTTCCCCAGTGTATCCTTTTAATTCTTTTGTTCCCCATCTCTGCACAAGTACATGAGACACAGGACCCCACGGTAAGGGAACCTCTTCTGAGGGGGGCACAAAAGCCAAAGGGTGAGAGATGTGAGCTGGGTCGCCAGTGGGCTGTGACTCTGTGGGGAGGGCCCAATTGTCGTCACCCATAGAGACGAAGTGAATGTTCTCACTGACTTGGGTTCCAAAGAGTGGCAGGCAGGGAAATGAAAAACACGAACCCTCTCAGTAGGGTCCAGAAGTGCCCCCTAAGCCCTTGCCTCTGCAGAGCTGTGCTTTTCTGAGTCCAGCCGAGCAACCTTAGAGTATCAGCTGTCATTGGTTATGTCCCCATGAGTAGCAGCTGATGTGCTAGTCATTGCATTGTAGTGTGTGGTTTGCCACTAAGTAGGGCTTGACTCTTTGGACCTCAGGGCTGTTGGCACAGTGAGGGAGTTGGATAGATATTTAAGATCATTTAGTTTCTCTGAGATAAGAACACTAGAGAAGAGCATGTTTGGCAGCTCTGTTTGGAGGCGTTGACATTATGACACCGAGGATGGACCGGGGTGTTTTTTAGACAGACCCCTCCTCCGCCTTTCTAAACATTGCTTAATGGACAATCATGGTCCAATATGCTTTGTTGCTTATCCTCACTTTCTCCAGCCAAACATGGAGTTGATGCAATGCCTGCTTTGCGGGGTTGCTTTCAGTGATTTAATTAAAGAGAGCTAGATGCCTCTAGCATCTCGTGCATTACTTATCCAAGTCAGCCCTCCTCTCCGCGCGCTGCCAGTTCTCTGGCTGTTGTGGTCAGCATCAGACTATTGTGCTGGAAACACAGAGAATGCCCGTGTAGCATCCTGGATAAAGATTCCAATCAAATGCTTAGCAAAGAAGAATCTATTCTCCATTTTCGGGGGTGACTTTCCCACTTTGCTCTTCCCCTGGCTGGGTTCGGGGCTCCAGGCTGCACCCTCTGCTGCAGTAGCCTGATGGGCACAGAGCCACATCTCTGAACCACAAAGAGAGGTCCTCCACCCCAATACCCAGGACCATTTTCAAACTTCAGTTTGCATTTCTCATCCTGTTCTGTTCTGTTTTGGGGTTTTTTTGGTACCGCACTGAGGACAGGGAGAGAAGCATTTATGTCACAGCTACAGGGCATCTCCCAGCACGGAGGTGGGAGGTGATGAGAGCCTGCATTAGTCTTGTGAGAAATCTCCCTTCCTGGTGTTTTTTTGGGATTGATTCTTCATTATCTCCCTCTTCCCCCCCCCCCTCTCTCTCTCTGTGTGTGTGTGTGTGTGTGTGGCAGGGCAGAGGTTTGATTCCCACACTGTGATTGTCTAACACATGTACCTGCTTCCCTTTACCTGGGATACGGTATATTTTGATGGGGCTTGCCCTTCAAATACTGTCAATAAAATCATGAACTAAATTAGGGACATCTAGGTGGCTCATTTGATTAAGCATCTGACTCTTGACTTCGGCTCAGGTCATGATGCCATGGTTCGTGAGTTTAAGCCCCACGTCAGGCTCTATACTGACAGCGTGGAGCTTGCTTCGGATTCTCTCTCTGCCCCTCCACAACTCATGCATGCACTCGCTCTCCCAGAAAATAAATGAATAAAAACTTAAATAAAAATAAAATCATGAACTAAATAACTACGCTGATTGGCTAAAGAAAAGCCTAAAACTTAGGAATTGACTGATTTTCATCACATGCTTTATAAATCTAACAGGTTTGCCAGTTTCTTACCTAAAAATCTGTGATCCACAAAATCGAAGTTCTCCTGATGTTAATGAGCAATCCAATAAAATTGAATGGAAGCCATTATATGCTATTTAGGAAAAATTCATCTTTATTAACATTATCTCCAGAGGAAATGTTGCTGTGAACACATTTTGTTCCTTGTTAGAATTTCTTTGTTGCTGGGTTTTTTTGGTAATGAGCGAGTCTACTTTGGGCCATCATGCCCTGGGCCATCCCCAGGTTCAGCATTATGTGAGTTTAAGTGGCCTTATCATTAACCTTTGAAAAATGGAGTAAGTCATGGAAAAGTTAACAGAGGAAAACTGTGCCCTGGCAACTGCTATTAGCAAAATGAAATACTCTTCTGGCAAATTATGGGAAAATTAGGGTTGGAAGGGGTTGTTGTTAGATGAAAACGTAAGATTTCCGTGTCTCTTTAATTTATTTCTTTATTGATAGATTTGAAGTGTGGGGGTCGGAGGTGTTCGCAAAAGCTTTGCTCAGTGGGTAGCTTAATATTTTCCCCTCTCCTCTTTCCCTCCCCTCCCCACCCCAAGGTGGCGCCTATGAAGTCAAACAGCATCGATTCTTCCGTTCCTTAGACTGGAACAGTTTGCTGAGACAGAAGGCAGAATTTATTCCCCAACTGGAATCCGAGGATGACACAAGTTATTTCGATAGTACGTGAATTATCTGACATAAAACACTGTGTGGCCTTTACTTCGTAGAAAATTACCCCTGCTTGCGATAGAAGCTTCCAGTCTTGAACCCCTGAGTTCTTAAACATGATGCTGCTTTGATATAGAAACTCCTACTAATATATCTAAATTGAAAGGTGAAATTCTGAATGATTGAACTGTTCTCAAACATTCCTCTGCAGCCCGATCAGAGAAATATCATCACATGGAGACGGAGGAAGAAGATGACACAAATGACGAAGACTTTAATGTGGAAATAAGACAGTTTTCCTCCTGTTCGCACAGGTTTTCAAAAGTAAGTGAAATATGGCATAAACGTACAGAGTCTTTTTGGAGAATCTCCGTGAGGCCAGATAGTTGGCATTTCTAAACAGCTGAACAAGATTGTAAAATCTACCTTTAGTGTTTTGGTGCTTGGGGTCTCCTGTGCTTATAAATCCTTTTGTAATTCCCAAAGGTGACCCCCCCCATCTTGATAATCCAGAGTCCCTACCTGCCTCTTTCACTCTCCACAGATGAATGTCTCCAAAGATGACTGTCTTTTTTCTTGGAGACACAGACTTGCGCTCAGAGTATTATCTTTGGAGAACATGATAGCCATATACACACTGACCTCAGCCGCTAGTTCAGTGTCAGACTATGGAGGCATCCTCCCCTTTCTCTGAACCCCCCCCCTTTTTTAAGTTTATTTAGTTTTCAGAGAGAGAAAGAACATTTGCAGGGGATGGGCAGAGAGAGAGAGAGAGAGAGAGAGAGAGAGAATCCCAAACAGGCTCCATGCTGTCATTGTGCAGCCCGACGCAGGGCTCAGTCTCACAAACCATGAGATCATGACCTGAGCCAAAATCAACAGTTGGACGTTTAATCAACTGAACCACCACCTAGGCTCACTTCTCTGATATTTTAATGAAGAACATTGAGCTTGAGGTTATTGTGTGCATAGCCCTCTCCTAGTATCACACGCAATACAACACAAAGGAGCAATCTGAGTCCCTGATATCAGCTAGGACCCTTGGGGATGGTTGATGCAGAATATGAAAATCTGGTAACCAATAATAGAAAATGTGAGTTTTATGAAAAAGCCTATAGGAAGCCAAGCTAGAATTTTGAAAATAGGAGAAGGTAATAAAATTGGTATCTGAGATGGATGCTTCCTACTGATAGTGGTAAGATTAAAACACACACACACAAAATGAAAAAACCTAATAGTCCTAAGACTGGGTAAGGCCCTAGGAAAACCGAAATAAACCTAAAGGGCCCCCTGCCTCCCTTGTGATATTTTCAGTAGCTATGCATTTTCTGTTGCCATGGCATTTTGTGTGATGATTGTTCAGCTTTTTGATAACACGTAGGGTTTATAAAGTGTCCATACCTTTTTCTTTGTGGCTACCTAGATACAGCACATCTGCAGATGGGCTGGCACTGACCTCACTATTTATAGAAAGGCCATGGAGAGGTGAAGTTTCCCCGGAAGGGATGGTGTCCGGCCTACCCAGAGCCAGAACTGAAGCTTTAATCACACTGAGTACAGGCTTTCCCCAGTGACTCTTTTCTGGGCCATCCAAGCCAGGCCCTGAACTTCATTTCCTTACTGCTGTACCCTTTTGGTTAGCCACCCTGGTCCTCATCCAGGTAGACCATGGGCCATCTGAGGGTCCCTCCCATGAGAGCAGTGAGTGGCCACGTGGCGCGGTAAGGATTGCTTGCTGCACTGGGCTCCCAGCTCTGTATTTTCCCGTCTGCCTTTCCTGTGGGACCACAGAGAGCTCAGGTTTGCCTAAGCTCTGATCTCCTTCAGAAACATCAGTGCCAGTGTAGGAAGCTGCGTGTCTGTATATGTGATTTGTAAGCCAAACAGAGGCCTCTGACTCATAACCACATATATACTGCAAACCCCCACACACCTCTGGCACCAGGTAATTTATTCCTCTGTTTGCACTCAATTCCAATTCATTTTTCTCCTTCCAACACTCCTGACGAGTGGCCATTAAATCTTTTTTTCTGTGGTTTTCTTTTTCTGATAGACATCATGGTTAAAAAGCAATCTGAGGTGTGCATTGATCCCCAGGCCTAGAAACCCCAGCGCATCTATGGATTTTGTTTGCAGATACAAAGTCCATAACGAGATAGGGCAAGACAGTGATAAATTCATAGCTCCCCACTTCAAGAAGAAAAAAATACATATACTTTGACCATTCATCTCAGGACCCAAGTAAATAGTATCAGAAAGTACCTTCTGAATACATGGCCCCAACTGAAACTTTAGTCGCGCTCTCAGGCTTTACTCCCAAGGTTTGGGTTTTATTTTCTGGCGAAGTCTTTCAAGAAGATACTAATAAACACCAGTGCTTCACCTTGCAGGTTTTCAGCAGCATAGACCGAATAACGCAGAATCCCGGAGAAGAGAAGGAAGACCCTGGAGACAAAACCAAAAGCACAGCGTTGCCATCCACAGAAACATTCAGCTGGAGCTCAGAGTATTCAGAAATGTATGTGAAATGCCTGTTAAGAAGGGTCATAAGCAGTTGCTGCCAGAGCGGTGATTTGTAAGCTTGAGCGTGCATCAGAAGGTTCTGGAAGCTCTGTAAAAACCCAGGTTGCTGGGCTCATTCCGGCATGTTTGAGCGACTAGCTGTGGGATGGAGGCTTTGTAATAAGTTCCAGGTGTAATAAGTTCCAGGATGCTGGTGCTGCCGGCCTGGGGACCGCACCGTAAGAACCATTACGCTAGACATGTGTTGTTTAGGCTTATCCAAGCTCTGTTTTTGCCTAATTTCTTCCAGAATTCTCCTTGAACACCATTTCCTAGTATGTGTGTATACATGACTCTGTTTTGTTTTTAATTAAGGCAACAGTTATCCACATCCAACTCTTCAGATACTGAAAGCAACAGACATAAACTCAGTTCTGGCCCACTTCCCAAACTGGCTATTTCAACAGAGGCAGAAAAAGATGAAGGTGCTCCCTGCCCCAGAGACCTGCACGAGGAGCCAGAAAAGCCAGCCCTTCCTCCTGCAGAGAGTGCTCAGGAGGAGCCCGAGGTCACCACTCCCGCCAGTACCATCAGCAGCTCCACCCTGTCAGGTAAGCGCCAGTGCCTGCTGTCCGCACGTCACCCACCACATGGGCAGGTGATGGCTGGGGTTCTGAGTCCAGGCTGGCCTAACCAGGCCGTGACGGTGGCTGTTTTGTGCTGCTAGACTCCCTCCATGGCCGCATGTCAGGGGCTCGGGGGATCAACTCTTACAAACCAGGGTCCGATGCCTCAGACCCTTCCCTACTGCATCACCACACAGCAAAGCCTTCTTGCTTCAGTTTGACCCAAGAGACAGGCTTAGCTTTCACAGTTCAGTTTCAGTGGGATTCTTTGGCAGCCAGAACCGCACTGAGAACCACGCTCTCTGGTGTTGATGGAAAAGCAGGGCTCGCAGTATAGTGTTTAATTGAAAGTTAGGAGTAAGGAATGATATCAAATAGTGACACACTCGAATTATCCTCAGAAATGGCTTAAATCACCTTTACAGTGTAAGGCCAGCTTTCCTTCTCGTGTTAAAATGGATGGGTGTTTCTTTGATGGAGGTGGTTTTTGTTTTCGGGCCATGTTGTGCCAAATGACATACCGAATCTTCCCACTGGACTCTTAGTAAGTGCAGCAAGATGCTTATTTCGAGAGGTTCCCAGTTGCTGTCCATGCATGCAGGACTGAGAGGGGAGGAGGGAGTGAGAAGTACCAGCATCATTCCGAATGGTATTTTATGTGCATATGAGGGCTCTCCACTGTAGACATTGACCTTTCCAGTCTCTGGATGGCTAGAGTACAGAAGCTTATGAGATCTCTTTTACTGTCTGGAAGGCAGTCAGCAAGATTAGGCCTCTCCCTCTCTCTGTCTCTCTCTCTCTTTTTTTTTAAATTTTTTAATGTTTATTTTTTTGAGAGAGAGAAAAAGCACAAGCAGGGGAGGAGCAGAGAGAGAGGGAGATGCAGAATTCGAAGCAGGCTCCAGGCTTCTCCCTGTCAGCACAGAACTTGATGCGGGGCTCAAACCCACGAGCTCTGAGATCATGACCGGAGACGAAGTCAGACGCTTAACTGACTGAGCCACCCAGGTGCCTTGGGATTAGGCCTCTTTTTTGAGAGCACTTCATAATATCACTTTTGTGTAAAGTAACCTTCTTGACAGCAGTGACAGTATCTTCACAGGTTTTTTAAAAAGGCTTAATGTATTATGGATATTTTCTGTCCTTTAATCCTGGAGGTGCCCTCCTTAGATGATCCAGTCTGAATTTCCCTCAGACCAAGCCAAGTGCACTTAAAATATTACTTGGTTTATAACATTCTATGCACAGCATATCTTTCTACACAGCAATGTGCATGCATGCTTTTTTAAAAAAAAATAAAACATGGCTGTGTCTGAGGGTCGCTGTGATAAACGTTACCATTAATCTCCCATTGTTATGCTGTATTGATAATGCTGAACGATTCCAGGAATTTTTATGAACATTTTTTTTAACTAACTGCATATTCGTAGTGTAACTTCTTAAAAAATCCTTTCAAGAAAACACATTTTCCAGGCTAAGTTAATTTCAGCCTCACTGTAAAGTTTGCACAAGTTTACACACGTGCTTCTAGTGTATCATGGGGGAAAATAATGTGGGGTTTTTTCTTTCTCTCTCTTCCCCTCAGTCTTGTTGCCACGTAGGATAATTCCCCTTATCCTTACTTTTTTTTTTTAATAAAACCAAGAGAATAGCAACGTAGAAGTCATGTTGAAACAACCTAGTGGTCCAAGATCCTTAATTATTATATTCATCTTGATAAGTCAAATGGAGGTATCTTAGTATTTTATATTTCTGGTTACTCAGGTCTCTGTCTGTTTCCTAGTTTATTATCATGCTCTGAATAGAATATACCCACCTCTATTAAAAATTTTTTTCTTCATATGGTGAATCATTGGTGATCGCATAGTCTCTTTGCCCTGGTCCCCATCAGCAGTGTCAGAGGAAAATGGTATCTAAGCAGTTGATTGATTACTTTCTTAATTAAGGAAAAAAAAAACAAACACTGCTTAGGTCCTACCGTGCATTTTGATTAATTGATTCAAACCACCTTTCTGTCTCCCCCATATACACACTAAAAATAATCAAAGACCTTGGGGGCTGTACAGAATAGAGAGATGAGCTGATTTACTCATGGCCAAGGTAATTAGGAAATCTGAAAACCGTGACTGTAGTAAAATTAAATTTGTTGATTTTTATATTGCTCCGCCATCAAAAAGAAAACCCTTGACATTTACAGAACATTAAAGTGACATTATCTATCCACCATTGGCAGAACAGAAACACAACACTTCTATCCATTGCTAAGAAATGAGGTGGCTGAGGCAAGGGAGCAGGGATGCTAAGAAAGAACAGTACATATTCACACCCGGGCTTTTAGGGAAGTACGGTTTCATACCGATTTATCTTCTTTCACAACCACGTTGCATTTGAATCCGTGAAAAGTAAAAAGTCTTGAAGTCTTAGGTGTATTGCTCGAGTCAACCAATTATTCATTGTGAAGAGATTCAGCTTTTCATTTTGTACTTGTCAGGGATGCCATCCAACCAGATTAGCAAGAAAAAGAGCGTGTAACTTAGCCCAAAGTAAGCTTAAGGTTTTGGAGATGAGGTGTTTTGAGTCATGAAGCAGTTATGATCAAGTCCTAGAGCTGCTGATTTCTTGATTTAGGGGGAGTGGAGTCGATGTAGTTAAGGGGAAGTTGAGTTTGGCATTTAGGAGTAGGAACGGCTGCTGAGGATTGTCTTCCTAGGTCATGTGGACCCATAGCACCTTTCCAAGTCCCAGACTTCCCTTAGTGAGGACCCTACCTGTGGGGGTCTCTGCCACCTCCGATGCACAGAGGCCAAACTTGAGCTGTGCAGTTGACTAGTGGATTCAGCAGCAGAACAAAATTGTGAATTAAATCCAATCCAGCCTAACTCTTTCCTAGGCTTTAAAATGTGCTGGTTGATCTTTCAAAGGATTGTTTATAATGATATTAAATTCTCTGCACGGATTGTGTATCTTAAGGTGATGATAGTATTGATGGTTTTTAAAGCACACGGGGCTTGTAATAACATTTAGAAGTGAAGATGAGATGAACATCGCTTTTTCTGGATGGACAAAGCTAAACTATCAGTGATTACAAAAAGAAAGGAAACTCATAGCCTGTGAAAGAGTAGGAAAAAGCCAAAGGGAGCGTCTGTTCCCCTTTCCTCTGGGAGACTCCACATGTTACTTCTGCTCAGAAACATTACTTACTCTTGGCCTGTGCAGTCACCCAAGCAGACATCACTGATTTTCCATTTTTGCATCCTCCCACATGGTTAAATTCTCTGTGATCCTCTGCTGAGGGGAGTCCTAATTTTTTTTTAACTAAGAACAAGCAAACACACGCACACACAAAAGCCCACCTCCAGTTTCTGTTAAGGGTTAATAAACTTAAAAATAAAGAAGACATGACTGGCTTAGAGGGGAAAGGATCTTACCACTGGTCCAATAACCAGAGGGCAGATCAGGAGATGATAGACTGTCTAGAGTAAAAACCAGGAAGATACAGCGAACTGTTGAGCAATGCAGAGAGTACTATCCTTTGTCATTTTGGGAGGTTTGCAAGGAAGATTACAGCATGAGAAGTCACAGGTGACACTTCAGGCACTCTCCTGCAAGTGAGATACGTGAGCCTAGTGCAGTCTAACTAGTGCAGTCCAGGAAGATGCTAGGAGATAACCCGAGTCTACGTGAAGAAATGAGCTGATGTCCACATGTCACAAACAGCATTGTCCACATGTCCACATTATTCACAGCATTGCTAACGATGACCATGAATATCACAGGATAATCTCAGTATACAGTGGGTGGTCATGGTGTTTATAAGGTGCTGTTTGGTTCATAGCCTTCTCACACTGGAAGCAGTGGGGGAGGACATGTGGCTACAAGGGTTGTAAAATAGAGATCCTATAAAGTAATGAGTCGTATAGGTAAGTGGAGTCATTGACAATTAGCCAGCTTGGGTACAAGTAGAATGAAACCTGGATGTACACGTCTTTCATCCCCTTCTCCACATCACCTTTCTCAGACCAGTCATGTGTTTTTAATGTTTGCCTGACGCCATATGGATTCATGAGCCACATGGGAGTATATTTCCCAGTTTGTTCTTTCTTCTCTCATTCTTCCCCTCTCCCCACCTATCCTATCCCAGATCTCCCTGAACGTGTTTATCCCTTCTTCTTTGTACAGTTGGCAGTTTTTCAGAGCACTTGGATCAGATAAATGGACGAAGCGAGTGTGTGGACAGTACAGATAATTCCTCAAAGCCATCCAGTGAACCCGCTTCTCACATGGCTCGGCAGCGATTAGAAAGCACAGAAAAAAAGAAAATCTCGGGGAAAGTCACAAAGTCCCTTTCTGCCAGTGCTCTGTCCCTCATGATCCCAGGAGGTAGAGAGACATCTACTCGCATGAAATTGTGTGATTTTGTGCATGTGTCCCCCCTTCCCCAGTTTGGAATGCTGATTGAGATACAAGATTGCTAGCAGCAGTAATGGGCGGTACCCAGCACATCTCTCTGGAGTTTCTCCCTGCGGGAGCTCCGGAGCTCCCAGACAGCATGTGTCGCTGATTTCTTCTTGCTTCTTTCTGCATCAGGAGATGAAGCAGGCTTCCTTCCCACACAGCCTTATCTCTTTTATTTGTTTTCTTTGCTTTTCCGCTCCCCCCTCCTCAAATTAAGTGATAAATTTATCTCCTCTGAATCATTTTCTTCTCTAGACTATGCATCATTTATATACTTTACCGAACTATTTATAGCATATGTGTTGGAAAGCTAAGTACAGTTTTTCCTTTTCTAATTAATGAGGAAGGAGATATGGAGCGCATAAGATTTTCATTTCTGGGGATGCGGAGAGTCACAGACAGCGCTGAAATTTACAGATTTTCCCAAACCTGTCTGTTGAGCTATGCTTCCTCCTACTGGTAGTCATTTTCTCCCCTGTATTGGAAGAGGGGGCTTAATTATGGTTTTGTGGAATTGCAGTATTTTTCCACACCTGGGCTTTGCCTCTATGATTCACTAAGTCTACAGCAATCCCCCTGAAAAAGAGAAAGCATGCACCCTGTTGTTTGTGACTTAACACTCAAATGACAACACAAGAGTGGAAGTGGCAATTGAATTATATTTCAGATGACTTGCATTTGGAGGAATACAGACCATATATAAAAGGAATTGTTTGCAGTTTCAAAATTTCCTGTTTGTGCAGAAAGAAATTTGATATAAACAAATGCTCATTTCGGGCTATTGCTCACTCTACCAACACTCTGGTTTCTGGGAGACATCCCATTCAGCACCATAAAGTAACCATCTATCTCTCTAGTTTGAATGACTGTTCATAACCCCAAAGCAGCTGCAGTTGGGAAGGTAAGTTCACTTTTGAAAGCTGGTGAGAAAGCCCACATTGTGGTAAAATAGAGCATTTGTTCAGTTTGGGGCGGTAAGGGAAGCTGTCATGACAGTCGGACTGGGGACTTGGCTCTCCAGCAGTTTGGATGTGTGTGTGTTTCCACTCTGTCCGGTTCCTGCTTGCATGGTTAGAAGCTCCCTGCCCACCAGTGTGTCTCTTCACCCCGCCTTGTGATCTTTAGACAAAAGGTAGCCAGCAAAAGAGTACCAAGAATGCCACGTGCAGTGTCAAAGTGAAGGAGTGTCACTAAGGATCCATCTAGCTTTGTTCCCCTCTGGACAGACTTAAGATGCAGAAGAAATGATAGTGTGGGTACTGTCCATTTGCTGGGACCACCATGGTACTCCCTGAACCTGGTGAGTCTTCAGTAACGCTGGGCACGTGATAGCCTGGCTCCAACTGAGCTCACATTTAAACCTCAGCATCTTTTGTAGATCATTTTTTTTGCCAGACACGCAAACAATTCCACATGACTAGTTAAGGCCTGTTTAGATTCACATGGATGGATCAGTGTTAATCAACAATAAACTAAAAGTGTGTTTGCTTATAAAACAAGAAAAATAGAGTAGAATTCGTATTGCATATGAACTAAGTTTTTCATTAAACTTTCTGTATTTCACCTGCATTATCTTTCAGAATCATTGTTAGAATTGTAGGTACTATTTGAAGACGATCAGTTGTAGTCATAGCAATTAGTGATTGTTTCAGAAAGAAATTGACGTTTCAGTGCTGCCTTGATCAGAATCACTCAGTGAGTTCAGTAATACTGTAAAAAACTGGTAACTTGATGAATTGTTTTCCTGACCATGTATGTTTTAAAACGACCATTTTAAAAGTTGTTTAGGACAAGATTTGGAGCCTGAGACTCTTTTACTATAGTCTACACAGTCTTTTCTGTGCGAAAGCATACTTGAAATTTATGCGTCTCTGATTTGTTTCTTTAAGGAAAACAAAATGTACCAACTAAAGCTATCCCAGCCAAGGATAGCTCCTTGTAGGAGCTAAGTTGTGTGTGTGTTTTAATGAGTGTAGAGAATGAAGAAATTCTAACTTCAGAGAATTCATTGAAAACTTACTTGAAATACAGACACTTTTGAAGTTTTCTTAATAAGCCCCTGTTTGGAATGCCATCCTAGTTAGCAATACAAACATTTTTATATTATTTCTTTATGAGGAATGAATGGATTTGTTTCATCCCCCAGTGCCCGTCATGCAGGCCTCATGCAGTGTGGGCTGGCTGCACGGATGTTTGTGTGCTCAGCAGCGGCTTTAATGACTGGCTTCTGTGTTGCAGATATGTTTGCCGTGTCTCCATTGGGAAGTCCAATGTCCCCCCATTCCCTGTCCTCGGACCCTTCTTCTTCGCGAGATTCTTCTCCCAGCCGAGATTCTTCAGCAGCCTCTGCCAGTCCACATCAGCCCATTGTGATCCACAGTTCAGGGAAAAACTACGGTTTTACCATCCGCGCCATCCGGGTGTATGTGGGAGACAGCGACATCTATACAGTGCACCATATTGTTTGGGTAGGACCAACAGCCTCTCATCCTTGTTAGTTTTCACTCCCAGCCAAACTGGACAGTGTACAAGTTGGCAGAGGCATATTTATAAGCAAACAGTTTTTCTGCTAAGCTGGCGTTTGGGTCCTGTTTCATGCCCTTTCCCTTGTGGTGGTGGCATTGAATTGAGCAAAAACTAATAACTTCTCATAATTCTGTCCCGTTTTCATATTTTATTGTCCACTTTGCATACCAAGATGGTGGATACAGTCAAGGATTGTCACCCTTCTTTTTAATTTTTTCCTGGCCGCCTTTTGTTTAAAAAAAAAAACAAAAACAAAACTACTTCCCCACTCACCTGAAATTTTGTAAGGAATTGTCCTATTTTAGGACGATGACAGAAGAGGAATAATAACCATGCCTTATTGATTTCCTCTTAGAAGTTTAGGATCATTTATTGATTAACCCAGGATATTCTCCCAGAAGAAACAGTAGATGTTAGGGTTGCCACTTGTTGGCTGACGAATCTGTACTCTCTTCTTGAACTTCAGAATGTTGAAGAAGGAAGTCCAGCGTGCCAGGCAGGACTGAAGGCTGGGGATCTGATCACACACATCAATGGAGAACCAGTGCATGGACTTGTCCACACGGAAGTTATAGAGCTCTTGCTAAAGGTATTATCATTTTCATGTCTGTGCCATATGGATAAAGATCATCAGAAAAAACTGGTACCAAGAGTTCTCTCCATAAGTTCTAGAGTTCTTCTCTGTGATATATGCATACACACTCAGTCTTATTACTGAGGAAGTATTCAGTGGTTTAAAGTTTAATAAAAGGTGAAGAAATAGGTAATATGAATTTGCTGGCTATATATATCATGAAAAAACACGACCTTCTATCTGCATAATCACTTCCGAATGTAACTTCTTATTCTAAATTACAAATAACAAGAGTTCTCTTTACCGTATGAACCTCAAAATGTAAAATCCATTGCGAAGTCACCTATCCTAAAGATGGCTTTCTTCAGGGCCATTCAGTAAGTTTTATTCTAGTACAAAGGAAGATAAAGTGGTATGAAAGTGAGGTCAGATTTGCAGGTTCAGTCTGAGAGTTGGATTTTCTTTGAAAAAGGGAAGTATATACACACGTACACTGTAGATGACAGAAATAAGTAGCCATGGAGGAAGGAAGGGGTTCTAGCAATCATTAGGCGCTCACACAAATGATTTTGAACATAGATCGTTTTCTGTTGTGAACATAAGCTGAATAAAGCCCATGGAGTTAAGATCACAAGAAGCATGAATGTGAGTGGAGAGAGAAAATCTACATGGATTCTTCAGTTCTCTTATTTGCTGTGTCACCTGCTGACTGTAGAATATAAAGTTATAGCTCCAAATATGGCTCTTGTAAAAACAAAGACGAATTTGTACTTGATTTCAAATGTGTTCAGAAAAAGAGGTCAGTGATTAGAAATAGACTACCTGGTTATAAGATTAGTTACAAATCAGTAGATTTAGGGATGATCCTTGCTTTTTGGGCACTGAAAGGGGCTGTAAGGGACTTCTATACGGAGAGGTGTGAGCCATGGCTTCAGATAAATTACAGCCTTTTGAGAGACAGAACATAAATACATACATGCCAATTAGATAATGTACATTCAGACCCTTTTCAGAGCACCTGCTCTGAGCCCAGTGCCATAATACATGTTAGTAACACCGGAATTAAGGTACAGTCCTTGCCCTTGAGAAATGTGGGAGATATAGGAGATGTATGGAAGCAGATAAAGTTTAACTTTGTCAGGACTGTAGCAGAGGGAGGAATGTTATACTGTTGGAGAGAATGATCTAGGTGTGGGGAGAGACATCACAGAGAAATTTCCTTGAATTGAAACAGGAAAGAAAATGAGAAGTGTGGAAGGCACTACAAAAAAGTGGGTGTGCTAAGCCTTCCAAAAATAAGTGCAGTTAAATGACTTTTCTCCTTTTCTCTCAACCCCCCAGCTAGTAGGAGTATATTCTTCAAGACATTAGGTTTGGCCTAGGTTCTGAGAGTAGTAATAGCAGACGTATTCAGAGGTCCATTGTGAAGTAGCAGGTTGTAGGAAAGTGAGGGCCACTGATTAATTCACATTATTCATGAAATTGTCGTCTTAGGTTCAAAACCAAAGTCCGTAGGGGATGGCACCTGACTTTGCTGTCATCCATACCTACAGATTGTGCCCCTAACACTAACCAGCTTCCTCCCAAATGCATGCTGTTGATCACTGGAGGCATAGGACTCAATATTGAGAGAAAATCACAGCGCCCTAGGCAGTACTGGACATCAGCTTATGGTCATGATGAACATGTAGCAACCCTGACAGAGCCTTGCAGGGACAATATTTACTGCTAATGCTTGCCATGTAGTCCCAGCATTTACCCAAAACCTGGGACCTATAGGTGGGTACCCAATAAATGTTTGTGGAATTGCGGTGAACAATAGGGTTCACCTGTTTGCCTGCTTCAGATAAACTACAGCCTTTTGAGAGACAGCCTTTGCCTGCTGTCCAAAAGTTACCGTGGAAAGAGTCAAATACCACATGGCTACTTTTGTTAGGCCTTGACTCGCGTCTTCATATGCAGGCCATTCAGTTGGTCAGTCAGCATGAAAAGGCTGGGGTGAGTCTACACTTTGTACTCTGGCTACTGAATAGAAAGAGTTGACAGAGTCCGTAGGACCTGAGGTTTTCACTTTAGCTCACCATCTATCCCTGGTAATATTCTTTGTCCTCCTGGCATGGAACAACTCTCTCATAGTAAGAATTCAAGAAATGGGAGGCAGGGCATTGAGATTCCCTGGCTGTAAAAGTCGCCTGAAATGACTTGGGGCTCTGCACGACGAAATTCTGGACGGGATATAAAGACTCATGAGTCTGACCAGCAGTGTCTCTCACAGTACCTGCTCCTGTGGTCCGGGGATGCCCCATTGCTGGCTCACAGATCGACTCCTGTCCTGTTGTTGTTGTTTTAAGTTTATTCACCTATTTTGAGAGAAAATAAGGGAGGGAGAGAAAATCCCATGCTGACAACACGGAGCCTCACATGGGGCTCGAACCCACAAACAGTGAGATCATGACCTGAACCAAAACCAAGAATTGGATGCTTAGCCAACTGAGCCACCCAGGTACCCCTTGACCTTTTGTGAGTAAGAGAAGGTTGTTTTGGGGTTTTCTCTCCCTCTGTCTTCATGTCCAATATACATGCCTTTCCATTTGTTTAGGCACCTCTGAGGTAGGCAGACACAGGTGTTATTTGTCTCTAAAATGCTCCTTGATCTGTTCTAGCTCATCCTTTGTTTTAGATCGTAAGTCTGTGTTTTGTAGTGAGGTTCTCTTAGCTGTTATTCACTCTGCTAGAGCTTTTTCCCATCTTGGCATTAGCATTTAAAAGAAGGTCAAAGGATGTTCAGCTTGGCTCTCTGCCTTCTTTGTCACAGTATTATGTTACATGCACCATGGCTTCATCCACAACCTATCTTCCTAAGACTTCCTGTTTCTGTCATAAAATCAGAAAAAGAAATAATAAACTCAAATATATGTGTGTGTGTGTGTGTGTGTGTGTGTATTAAGAAAATTTGCATTTATTCTTCTTGCTGAGACATTTGGTTATTTTCATAATTTATTTTATAGAGTATTACATAGGACCCTGGATTTTAAAACCTGCTTCTGTGAAATGTGAAAGTATATTTCTCCTGAAGGTCTCTGGCAGAGTCTCATGGCCGCGTCCAATCTCCTTCATAACATTTTGTCCTCCTCTGGTTACGGAGCACCTTCGTTGCTGAATGTAGTCTGTGTGTCTCTGTAGCTGTGTCAGCATGCCGTGTCGGAGAGGCTCGGCGCCCTCCGGAGCCGTGGCGTGCTCTGTCACAGAGCCAGGCAGAGGATCCTGCCTCTGCTTCATAAAGGAAGCACTCGAGAGGAGCAACCAATGTAATGAAACAAAAAGGATACGAGGGATTTAATTATCTTCCCAGTGAACTGTGTAATCATGCAGCTTTCTTCCAAATTTAAACCGCGGTTCTTGGACAACATGTAGAGCAAGTAGGATCAACACTGGGCTTCCTCATGACATCACTCGTGGAATATGAGCTTAGTGGCTTTATTTTCGCATTCTTGAATGCTGTTTACTTGATGTTCTTTTTTTTCTTAAATTTTCTAATGTTTATTTTTTAGAGAGAGAGAGAGTGTGAGTGGCGGAGGGGCAGAGAGAGAGAGAGAGAGGGAAACAGAGAATCCGAAGCAGGCTCCAGGAGCCTGATGCGGGGCTCAAACTCACCAGCCGTGAGATTATGATCTGAGCTGAAGTTGGACACTCAACTGACAGAGCCACCCAGGCGCCCCTGTTTACTTGATGTTCTGTACTTGTGAACTACTTCATGGTACGTCATGGTGCCTTAGGAAAAAGGTGGAAGAGCCATTGCTCGAGGCTGCTGTATATCTGTTAAGAAGTACATGTACTGCACTCAAATATCTTTCGGACTGTAAACAGAGAAAGCCTTCTCCACATTTGATGTCTTCACATCTAGTCTCGTTTACTCTCACAGCTTCCAAAGAAACAGAGCTGCTGTGGGAACACTAACTTGTATCCACAGGGAAGCTTGTCCAGAGTCATTTCATGTCATAGATCCATGGAATTACAGAATCGTGTGGTTCTCCAGCTCGGTTCCCCACTGGCTCTCGTGAATCCCTTCAAGTGTGCTCCTTCAGCTTTGCCTCACACCTGTCCTGCCACGAGGAGGTCATCCCCTCCATTGGCTTTCAGGTCGCTTTTGTAAAAGTGGTGAAATCTGTGTCCACTCACAGCAGCGATGGATGGAGTCCATATTGACACACATAACACGCCCAGCTTAACCTCTCTAAGCTGGGAAACTCAGTTAAACCAGATTGCTTTTTGGGGGTAGTATTAGTTTAAGTACTCAGCGCATAAAAGCAGCCCTAAACTTCATTACCCCTGCTTCAAAAACTTCCTTTCTGTGAACTCTGGGGAGCCTTTAGATATGAAAACGCAGGCCATCAAATAGTGTCCTTATGACCGTCCTTAGCTATTCTCCAAGTCCTGAAAGCATCCAGGGCATTGTATTGGATACTGAGGGAGCAGTCACACAAGAGATGACACGTATGAATGCTTTATGTAGATGAACCCCTATAATCCTCACTTGCTGTGAAGTAGGTGCTGTAAGTAACAGTGTCCATTTTACGAATGAAGAAATTAAAGCAGCAGAAATTTAGCAAAGCAGCCCAAGGCCATCCTCTAGGAAGGAGCAGAGAGGATTTGCATCCCACAGTGTGGCATCAGAGCCCGCGCTTGGCTTGAGTCCACCAGAGTGCTCCATGCATGAAGTTCTTTCATCGCCAGTCCTGCAGTCCACTTTCACATGGAAAAGCAGTGGCGATTCCAGCCTACAGTCACAGTGTTAAACATAAGGAACCGACTGTAAATCTGGCCCACATTCGGAAGGAGAGATGGCTTTCCAGGGAGGAAGAGTCAGGGGTTACCTGTGCAGGGCTGTGAAGGCTGGGTGGAGAGTTAGTGTATGAGAAGTGAGTGCAGGGCGGGCACAGCGGAACAAAGACGGTGTGTGCAACCGCAAGGCCAAGGAAGCTCAGAGTTCTTGAGGCACGTGAATCATACTCGGGTGACTGGAGCCTGGGTTTGTATATGGGATGGAGTGTGGAGGATATGCGTCGGAGCAAAGACGGAGGCCAGCAGAAAGCGCGACATTCCCCACGTGCAGGTTGCGGAGAAAGGGATGTAAAAGTAGTCTACCCAAGGCCAACTGAGAAACTAACATGGAGCCAGACTGAAGGGAAGAGAAGCTTAGCCTCCCATTGTATTCGCTTCAGCCAGCTTAAACTAATTTCCCTTGCACCGTGCACACTTATACCACAGTAAAAGTGAGCAAATTGGACATTTAACAATCCGCGGCACCATTTCTTGTTGTTATTTTTGTAAACAAGTGCCCCAGAATTTCTCTTACAGGAGTTTGTGCCTTCAGAAGAATGTGTCGAGGAGAAATTGACCCTGTAAGACACCTTGCACTGGGCTCAGGCAGCCCTCCACGTCCCACTGGATCCAGCAGGTGGCAGGCTTTACGATTCTCACCCTTTTGTGGATTAAGTTATTTTTTTCCAGTCATTTACCACTTTCATAATCATTAATGCCCCCATTGAAATAATTTGCACTCTGCATCTTTTGTGTCTGTAGTTCCTCCTTAGGGAGGTTTTCTCGATGTGTGAGTCAAGCACACTCTGCTCTGGAACAGCCATATATGGAAACAAGAAAGAGAAAGCTGGGTTTGGTTTTTAATAGAGGAAGGGAACATTTGTACCGAACTCAGTGATGTGCTCTGATTTAAAAACCCTGGTCGTGACTTTTCTGATGAGATGTGTTCATCATTTATTTTCATTTCATACAATGTTTATGCTCCTTTTGTATGTCTTCATTTTCTTCTTGACAGTCTGACACCTTGATCATTCCCTATATTGATCCATTGCCCGGTTCCTTCACCACTACCCGCTGAGTATAAGCCATCTATCCTTCCAGGGGCAAGAGAGGTGGAGGATCAGGTCTTGCCATGCCTGTGAGGAGTGGGCATTGGGAGTGAGGGGCAGAGAGCCACGTGTGGGCTCTTAATCTGGGCTCTGCAACTTTGGGAAGGAAGGAGACTCAGCATCCCTGATTCTGTTTTCCTCATCTATAATGAAGGCTAACAATCCATTCCCACCTCACAAGGTTGTAAAAGACAAAAACAAAACCACCCTCGTGATTTGGGGGTGAAAATAAAATAAGAATATATGGGGAAAATGTTTTGTTGCTCAAAATGCCCTTTAAAAAGGCTGAGTGGCCTTGTTAGCCTTTTAAAGATAAAAGATCGGAAAGCCGCTGGTGAGTTATGCTAGAAAGGGTGGAGTTGGATTCAGGCTCAGTACTCGCGCAGTGGGGCAGCCCCAGCGGATGGACGTATGATGGCTGTCTGTGTCTACTCTGTGTTTGAATGTGGAAAGAATTTCAGTGAAAGGTGAACTGTAGCCATATTTGTTCCCCTTTTCATTCACCTACGGCCAACAAGGGAAACTGAAGTTGTAGCAGGGCTTCCCTCCTTGTGTGAAGAGATGATCCCCACACAACCTCCATTAATAGTCCTTTCCTGCTTATAAGCTGAATGCTTCATTTAAACAAGAACTAGAATCAGTCTTTACTGTCAGATAAGGGTTTATTTTTAAAGTTTTGGCATATGTATATAGAACATACAGTTTATTCTTTCAGAATTTTTTTCCTTTTCTTTCAGTTCAAATCTTATTTCTGTAAAATAATTTTTACAGTGACAACATTAGTACAGGATTACATGTTCTTAAGAATACCAAAAAAACCCTCTAAAATCATTCATAAAATACTAAACTTGCTGATACAAAAGTGGATGTAAGACACGAACAGATCATTTCCTAAAAAAATAGGAATGACCAAAATAAATGAGACAATGTCAAAGAATGAAGATTAAAACTTGCTGCAACTTACTCATATAAAATTGGTAATTTGTTTAATGTTAATACTCAGTTCTGACAAACCTGTGGTAAGAAAAGTATTTATGTGCTGCTGGCAAAAATATGCATTGACATAAACTTTCTTGAAAGTAGTGTATTAGTTAGTACTAAGAGTCTTTAAAAGGTTTAGGCTACCTGGGTGGTTCAGTCCATTGAGAGTCCGACTCTTGGTAGTAGTTCAGGGTCATGGGATTGAGCTCCCTGTGAGGCTCTGCTCTGGGTGTGTGGTGTGCAGCCTGCTTGGAATATTCTCTCTCTCTCTCCCTCCCTCCCTCCTCTCCCCCTCCCTCTCCTTCTCCCTCGCTCCCCCTCTCCCTCTCCTTCTCTCCCTCTCTCCCTGTCTCCCTCTCTCGATCTCCCTCTCTCCTCTCCCTCTTTCCCTCTCTCCTCTCCCTCTCTCCCTCTCTCCCTCTCTCGATCTCCCTCTCTCCTCTCCCTCTCTCCCTCTCTTCTCTCCCTCTCCCCCCTGCCCCTCTTCCTCTCTCATCCACTCTCTCTCAAACAAAAAATGAAAGAAGCTTAGGTAGACCCTTTGATTCACTGCATCGGCTCTCGTGTAATCTAAGGGAATTGACAGAGATTAGGACATTGATTTATGGGGAAGGATATTTGTGGCAACTCTTAAAATAATTGAAAAGTAGGAAATAATAGTATGGAAATAGTTGAATTTTGATTCACTCATCTCGAATATTATACAGCAAATAAAACTTAAGGTTTTTTAAAATTCTTTTTAATATTTTTGAGAGCGAGAGAGTAAGTGCTAATGGGGGAGGAGCATAGAGAGAGGGAGACACAAAATACAAAGCAGGCTCCTAGCTGTCAGCACAGAGCCCGACATGGGCCTCGAACCCACACATACCACAAGAACATGACCTAAGCCGAAGTCAGACTGAGCTACCCAGGCGCCCCAAAATTATGTTCTTAATGAATATTCAGTGATGTAGGAAAAATTTTCCAAGTTCTATAATGTGAAATGGAAAAACAACATAAATTAGTGACAACTAAACAACAATGGAAAAACAACTATAAAATTAGTGACAAAGTATGTATATGTGCATAATTTATACATGCTTGAAAAAAAATCAGGAAATGTACTGAAATATTACCAGTATTAGCTGGCGATAGGCTTCTCATTGATTTTTATTTTTACTCAGCAATTTCCTCTTAAAATGTCATGTATTACTTCCCATATTGGAGCAGCGGAGGGGGAGGGGTGGTGTAAATGTTAACACTGAAACAGTCAGTCCCCCGGGGGTTGGTTCCCTGACCCCACCATAGTTAACTCCCCACCGCTTAGTACCACTTAGAGCTGAATTGCTAGGTATTTTCTAGGCACAGACCTTTCCAAATACCCTTCTCCTTATACTTCTTGTCTTTTCGAGGTAATCAGGGCCATCTGTGACTTTGAAAGGACATGTTTCTCCCCTGGTTATTGAGCAATTCAAGAAGTCATTAATGCTAGAGTGAAGGGGATCAGTCCTGCCGTCCGCCCAGGCCTCTCCACAGCCTGGCTTCTGACTCCACTCTTCTATTGATCTCCAGGGCCTGCCCAGCAAGCCCTGTCCCGGCACTGAGTGAAAGTCCCAGAAATCTACCAGGAGTTCCCTCACCATGCGTGACCTGGTTAAAGAAAGCCTGTTTTATACTCGCTGGCATAAACGTCCCAGCTCTGCAAGCTGACGTGTTTTATGGTGACAGCAAAGGAATCTTTTAAAATAATTAAAAATAAAAGTCTCCTTCAGTTTTGCTAGGCTATGATCTCTAGGTCAAAGGAAAAACACAAGAAGGAGAAAAAAGAAAACTAAATCAACCAAGAACAGACAGCCCCTGGGCACATTTATACTTAATACATATGGATGAAGATCACTGTTATTTACAGAGTCCTTTCCCTGTGTCATACTTGGTGGCAAAGGCTTTACAAACTCCATGCTGGGTAATCCTCACACGAGGCCGTGTGAGATAGGTGTGATGCCACTGCTAGACCATTGAGGGATAGTGTGCATGTTTGAGGCACAGACAGGAGAAGCAGCCTGTTCAGGGCGTAGAACTTGAATTTGAACTCACGTCCGTAGAGTCCAAAGCCTACCTACCCTCTCAAAGAAACATGACGTTTTGCCTTCGTGTTGTCAGGGTGTCCCTGCTTAAAAGGCTATTTAGACATGCAAGCCTTTTGTATATATGTCCTTATGTATCTTTATTTGGTTTTGAATCTCCTGTCCCAGTTCTGATCCTGTTTGCTCCCAGATTTTTCCTTTAATACCATCCCATATTTTTCTTTTACAGAGTGGAAATAAGGTGTCAATCACTACTACCCCATTTGAAAACACGTCAATCAAAACGGGACCAGCCAGGAGAAACAGCTATAAGAGCCGGATGGTGAGGCGGAGCAAAAAATCTAAGAAGAAAGAAAGTCTAGAAAGGTTAGTTAAAGCAGTATTTTTGTGGGTTTTTAATATACCCATGTTGGAGGAAGGTTACCCCTTAATTAACACTTATGTATGAGAAAGTTTCACTTTTCTGTGAGAAATTTGGTGCTGTGGTTCAAATATTTATACATTAAAGTTCACATTCATAATAGCATTTTTCACAATGAAAAGATTCACATAGTTTCATCATAAAAGAATTCAGATTGCATTCTTTTTTTTCCTGGATGAGTACCACGAACAGTGCTTTGCTATTTCTTAAGCCTCTAGACTTGGTTTCAGGTGAGTTGGATTTGAGGCCCTGGACCTTCAGGCACTTTTTAGCATTAAATCCACATTTAATAATGTCCTTTACATTATCTGAGAACAAACAGCTGCTATTTTTTTTTTAATGCTAGTTATGCTAAAATAACTGTATCTATAACGCATCCACAGCAGCTTAAAAATAAAGGTTTTGTTTTACTGACTGCGGATGTCACTGGCTTACACATTTGCAATCTGGGAGGTGGTGTGAGTGCAAACAGTGGCAAGATGCATGTATGTGTTTCTGGTGGGGACATTGCTTGCCAGGCACATGTCTGGGTGGGCTCCCCACATACAGCACAGCAGCACCCCTCCTTTTCCCACTTGGATCTAACGTGTCTGATTGTGTGAAGAGGTTTTTGATGACAGAAATGTGGGGAAATAAGCAAATGAAAAAGGCATGCTTATTAACTCCAGGAAAGACAAAGTCCTACAGCAAAGGAAATGGCATGATGCTTTACGTGGCCCAGCTGTGAAGAGTATTTATAATAGAACAGAGAGAAAAGCCCAGCCTCTTTTCTAACTGAAAGTTTTGTTTTAGCTCTAGAGGGAGGAATAGAAAAGGGGAAGTGTGTTTGGTCAGAAGGTTCAAGGGGGTTGTGTAAGAGCATAACTCTCATCTTCTGTGCAGGGAAATCAATAGATTGTTTCTAAATCTGAAAAACGAAAACATGAAGAGATTGCTTAGCAATAGGCAAACAAATGGGAGAAGAAACAGCTGAAGGAGTAGAAAGTGGTTTCTCTGCGGAGCGGGCCAAGGACAGAGCACAGGAGTTGCTGTCTCTCATTAGGAACTTTAGGAAATGATTTCATTGTTTAACTCAAGTACACTTATTACTTAAATTCAAGTTATACACACACAAATTCTGAGATGCGGTCTTTTGTATTAATGCGTGATTTATATACTTTGCTTAATGTGTGCTTTAAGTCCTTCAAGACACACTGTTTCAAAAGGGGTAGCAGGTTTTAAACGTTTAAACTTAAGCTCACTGGGGGTGAGTGAGGCTTGCACGACAAAAAGGTGAAATAACTCTCTCCAACCACTTGCACTTCTAAGCCATCTGAAATCCCTCCGCCCCCTCTTTTTAAGATATGCTTGTTGAGCACTGAGTACATACTTGCTTCTGCTGGAGCTCTGTAGTGTCTGGTGCCCTGCTGATAGGATAAGCTTCAGTTCACCTTTCTTGCTTTTTCTCTGTAAATGAATAGCCTACATTGTCATTAGGAATATTCTAGAGCCCACAGTGGAATAAGCACAGCAAACAACCCCTCACTGATAAAGCCTCTGCTGGATGTATTGCCATTAAAGAATTCTGTATCCAAGATGATGGTTTTTCTTCCAGAGATTTACTTTGTATTACCTCTTAGTTAATTTGTGTCATTGTATCTGAGGGTTACATACTTAGAAGCTTTCAGGTAGGAAATACCCTCCTCATAACCCTGACAGATAAATAAATGAATATGTATTTCATAGGTTTTCGATTTTTCCTATTTTGTCACTTCTTAAAGTCTTTGGAATTAAGAGAGCTTCCATTGTACACTAGCAAAGACCCTTCCTTTCTGAGTCGTAAGAAGGTTTTTAAAATGGAAGTGGGAACCTATACCTTAGTGTGGGGTCTGCCACTGTGTCACTGTCCCTGACAGAGTGTGAACTGAGCACACCGGTATTGTGGGGAGACAGGAGGTGGGGGAGGGAGGGCTCTATGTAGAGTCTAATCTGTTTGCTCTTGTTTCTACTCTAGGAGGAGATCGCTTTTCAAAAAACTAGCCAAGCAGCCTTCTCCTTTACTCCACACCAGCCGAAGTTTCTCCTGTTTGAACCGGTCCCTGTCATCAGGGGAGAGCCTCCCTGGCTCCCCCACGCACAGCTTATCTCCCCGGTCCCCCACACCAAGCTATCGCTCCACCCCTGACTTCCCATCAGGTGAGTGAGTCTCCTGGCCTAAACAGCAGAGGAGAGTTGAGAGGGGGTCCGAGTCACCATCTGAGCTCCCGAGGGATTGGAGGCTTATTCCAGCCTAATGAAACAAAGTCAGGCATGTAAATGAAAGGGTGGTCATAAGATACAGCTACTTAGACCATTAGGGCAGGAAATACTGAGTTGAACCCTGATGTGGGGAAGGTTTATCTGAAAAGCAGTTACTCATTAGAGTTAGATGCCAAGACAGTTTGCTGATCTTGATCTGACCTCACCTACAACCTTTTGGGTTGGAAGCATGGAAAGAAAACGGAAGGAATCCATCACTCATGGCTTTGTGTTTTCCACCCCTAGGTACTAACTCCTCTCAGAGCAGCTCCCCGAGCTCTAGTGCCCCCAATTCCCCAGCAGGGTCAGGACACATCCGGCCCAGCACCCTACATGGTCTGGCCCCCAAACTCAGCGGACAGCGCTACCGTTCTGGAAGGCGGAAGTCGGCTGGCAGCATCCCACTCTCCCCACTGGCCCGGACCCCGTCTCCAACACCACAGCCCACCTCCCCTCAGCGGTCACCATCCCCTCTCTTGGGACACTCGCTTGGCAATTCCAAGATCGCTCAAGCCTTTCCCAGCAAAATGCACTCCCCTCCCACCATTGTCAGACATATCGTGAGGCCCAAGAGTGCAGAGCCCCCGAGGTCTCCACTGCTCAAACGTGTGCAGTCAGAGGAAAAGCTGTCTCCCTCCTATGGCAGCGACAAGAAGCACCTCTGTTCCCGCAAACACAGCCTGGAGGTGACCCAGGAGGAGGCGCCGCGGGAACAGCCTCCACGGGAAGTGACCTTGCAGAGCCTGGACGAGAATGTGTGTGACGCCCCTTCCCTGAGCCGTGCCAGGCCTGTGGAGCAAGGCTGCCTGAAGCGCCCCGTCTCGCGGAAGCTGGGGAGACAGGAGTCTGTGGATGAGCTGGACAGAGAGAAGCTCAAGGCCAAGGTGGTGGTGAAGAAGCCAGATGGTTTCCCAGAGAAACAAGAACCCCACCAGAAATCCCATGGACTTGGGAGTGATTTAGAAAACCTCTCTACGTACAGGCTGGAAGAGAGAGAGAAGAAGATCTATCCAAAGGCTTTAGAAAGGTCAAATCATTTTGATAACAAAGGGGCCTTGCAGGAGGCCACGTCCCTGGGCAGCCTGCTGAAAGGGGCTCTTCACAAGCAGGCCAGCGTTCGGGCCAGCGAGGGGGTGACCTCAGAAGGGGCAGCGGCTGGCCATGGCCCAACCCCCGGGGACCACGGCCAGGGCATCTGTGACTTCAAGCGCGCCTCTGCTCCCGGCACCCTCCAGGACACTGTGTGCCTCTCCGTTGACAGGTCCAGCTCTGGGAAGGGCGAAAACACAGAGAAGGCCTCCCAGGCTAAGGAGTGTCTCCGATGTGAAAAGTTAGATAGCAAACTGGCCAACATCGATTACCTCCGAAAGAAAATGTCGCTTGAAGACAAAGATGACAGCCTGTGCCCTGTGCTGAAGCCTAAGATGACGTCTAGTGCCCATGAAAGCCTGACTGGGAACCCAGTCCGACCCACAGGTGGACAGCAGGAGGCCCCAGCGGCCTCTGAGAGCCGAGCATTCATGAGCCCTGCCCACACGGCTCAGATCAGCGCTGTCTCCTTTGTCCCTCTCAAGGCCCTAGCTGGCCGGGTGGACAGTGGAGTAGAGAAGCCAGGCTTGGTTGCTTCTGAGTCACCTGTCCGGAAAAGCCCCTCTGAGTATAAACTGGAAGGTAGGTCTGTGTCCTGCCTGAAGCCAATTGAGGGCACTTTGGATATTGCTCTCTTGTCTGGACCTCAGGGCTCCAAGACAGAGCTGCCTTCCCCGGAGCCTGCCCAGAGCCCCAGCCCGGCCAGCGATGTGGGGCCATCTGTGCCGCCGGCTCTCCCCAGCACAGGAGCCAAGAAGGGTGAGACGGCGGCTCAGAGGGAGCCTTCCACTGCCGGCTTCAGGATGAACAAGTCCTACCTGCTGGAGCCCCGGTTTCCGCCCCCCGGCCGGGGTCTCCAGCATGCACCAGCAGCTCCCGTGCCTTGCTCTGAGCCGGAGCTAAGGCGGGACAGGAAAGCTTCCCATGCGGCCAGGAGCCCAGTGATGGTCATGGAAAGCGATCCCCAGCGGAGAGAGGGGGGCCCCAGCAGACACCAGGACCACAGCCCCGACACCAAACTCTTCCCCTCGCTGGGGCCGAATGCCCACGGCACCGACTCATCCGGGTCACGCAGCCTGCTGCTGCCTGAAGGTACCACCTCACGAGAGAAGCCGAGTGGGAGGGAATCCTCTGACAGGGGCCCTTCCACGGCCAGAAGCGAGCGGTCTGCTGTGAGGGCTGACTCCCCCAGGGACCCCTCCACGGAGTCGTATCCTCCGGAAGCTGCTAAAACCAGTGACAGTTCCAGAAATCTCCCTTCTGGGGGAAGGACCCGTCCAGATTCCTACGCACAGACCCATGCCATGGAGAAAGCATGGGGACTTTGTGGAAAGACAAACCACAGAGATGGCCGAGGTGAGGTGAGGTCGCTGGCAAGGGAGGGCTCTTGTTTGCAGTCAGCCGGGACTCCTCGCGAGAGGGAGCTGGGCAGAGGAAGAGGTGGTGTGGAACCCCAGCCAGAAGCTCCTGCCAGCGTGTGGTCACTGCACCCAATGGGCACTGAGCGTGGGAAGGAGCCCCAGCTCTCTGCTTCCCCATCTTTGCAGAAAGACGGTCCCAAGGAACCAGAAAGGAAAGAACGGCCTCTACAGAAGCACATCAGCAGTAGCTCTCAGCCCCCGCTGGTCACCAAAGAACTGCCCAGCCTGGCGGCTCGGCAGCACAGCAGTGCCCCAAGCCACGCCTCAGGCGGAGAGCCGGGGGACAAGCCGTGTGCTGCAGAGCCTGGCCTGGGCCTCCAGGGCCCTGCCAAGCCCGCCGCAGGGCACGGTGAAAGCGGCAGCCGCAAGCCCGGGCCCGGCCCCGACCCAAGCCCTGCAAAGTCCAAGCACCCTGACAGGGCCCCCTCCTCCCAGAAGCCAAGCGTTGGGCCCATGGCAGGCAGAGAGTCAGCGGCTCAGTCCCCGCTTGGCCCCAGCCGAGAGGGGAAGGGCAGTGGTAAGGGTGTGCTCGACGCGTTCCCCGCCCTCCCAGGCTGCCAGAACACAGCCACCCATGTGACTAGCCCGGGAGGAAGTGGACCCTCAGTTTCACTGCACACCCAAGGGGGTCCTCTCGATGCCAAGGTAAAACCCACTAGTGGTGGGCAGCCGCCGGAGGCGCCGGAGAAGCCCCCGCACCCGCCACAGCAAGGACACCCAGGAGAGGGTGAGCCGGGGGACCAGAAAGCGGCCCCTGCCAGTGAAAAGCAAAACCTGTCTCCAAAGCACCCCAAACCAGCCACTGTGAAAGATTGCCCCGCTCTGTGCAGACAGACAGACAGGAGTCCGACTTCACAGGCTGCCACCACCACAGATGGGAAGTCTGAGGGGAAGAAATGCACTGAAGCACTTTATGTTCCAGCAGACGATGGGAAGCTTGAGGCCAGCCTTGCTGCCCTGGCACCCGGCGAGGCCCGGCCCAAAGGCCCGGAGCGGCCGGCAGCTGCCACGGGCAGGGGCTTGCCAGAGGCCAAGGGGAAAGTGCTGAGTCCCCAGAAGCCGCTGATTGAGGCAGGCAAGCCCAGCGGCATGAAGCGGTCACCCTCAGCCACCGGACAGAGTTCTTTTCGATCCACTGCCTTCCCGGAAAAGTCTCTGAGCTCCTCCTCCAGCTTTCCTGAAGCCAGACCCGGGGCTCGAGAGGCCGCTGCAATCAGCGGTGACGTGTCTTCTGCCAGGGCGGGTGGGGCTGCGGCGAAGACCCTGCCCGGGGGCGATGGCAGAACCCATATGACAAAGAGTGACTCCCTGCCGACCTTCCGGAGCTCCACCGTCACCCTGGAACTGCACCACCCTGGCCCGCACGTGGCGGGGACAGCCGGCCCCCGGGACAGGGCCCTGTCGGTAACTGCCCCCAGCCCCACGGGAGAAACCAAAGGCAAAGAGCCTGTCGCAGCCCCGCCCTCTCAGACTAAGAAACAGAACTCGGGCAGGGAGGTGACCAAGGTATCCCCAGCTCAGAACCCTGACCGGCCCATCGCCCTTTCTTCTGAGAAGGACTTTGTGGTGCGGCAGAGGCGGGGGAAAGAGAGTTTGCGCAACAGCCCGCACAAAAAGGCCTCGTAAAGGGGCAGGCCCCAGGCCGGACTGGGGAGACCCGACCTGAATGTGTACCTGAGTCTTGACTACCTTGTGAAGCCAGCACTGTGTGGGAGCGCCCGCCAGGCAGAGCCTGGAGCCTCGAGGCAGAGGGAGAGAGGGAGAGAGAGAGAGACGGAAAGAAAGAGGGGACCTTCTTCCAATTGCCTTCCCGATTGTAACCCGTAAAACTGTTACCAGAGAGTGTTTGTACGGAAAACGAAAACAGCGACAATAAAGAAACACCGTTACAGTGGAGGTTTGTTGAGGAAAAGGATTTTCTCTGTAAATACCTAGCAATGTGTTTGGTTTGGGATGTAGAGTGATATCTTGCTGCTGATGGCATTGTTTACCACAGCTTTTTTTTTCCAGTAGGATTTTTTTCTTTACCACTTATCATCATGTAGTAATAAAGCAAAATGGTTAAACTGGGTGTATGTAAAAGTATAGATACACTCATATTCGTGTATGTATATACACATCCACCCACATGTTTTGCTCTGTGGTTTAAGAGAATATTTTAAGACTACATTTTTAAGTTAAAACATTCTAAGTAGAGTTCAAGATGAAGAAAGCCCTAAAAACAGTAGATGGTTAGTTTGTGCGTGTCTTTTTAACCTGAGATTTTGATAGTACTGTATCTGGCTATGTAGATTTCCAGATCTTAAGGCAAGAGCTACTCTAATCACTGCATTTGGAATCTTCCTCCATTAGGAATGGCCAGAGCGAGCGTAGGTAACCATTTTCATGTTACAGTCATCCCAGTGGACATTTGATCCTGGGCCCAGCTGTCAGAAAGGCCAGTTATCCTTGTCTGTGGGTATATATGTCCGGTCTTCACCCTGGGTGGCTTGGAGGCTCTAAACACACATCAGCTTTATTTCTCTCACTTTCCCTTCTTTTCACACTCTTAAACTCAGGCCTCGACGCTATGAGTCATTAGTCCAAGAAGCACACATTGTGTAGTAGTCTTGCACCAGCCCTGCTCTTGAACAAAAAAGGAAAGTTACTGGCCACACACAGATCCGATCGTACTTAAGTTGAATAATAAGCATCAGGCATTGGAAGAGGTTTTAAATTTGCATTTTTGAGGGAAAAGGGGGGGGTGGATTTTGGCATCATAGCATATATATTAATGAATAATCAGGACATCAGATACATTTTAATACATAGCTGGGGCCTTACGTTGTAGATGAAGCTTGCTGTTTTTAGCAAGTTCCTGGGTTTCACATTCATTTCTGATGCATCGAGTAGCTCCATACATTTCATAACATGATCTCTTTATTTGTATGCAAAAAAAAAAAAACTGTATTAATAAAGAGCAGCATTTTTTAACAAAAAGACTTGGTGGAGCTATTTGGTGCTTGAATGTGACTGTCCTTTTTACTTTTGCTAAGCCTTATTTAAATTTTGTATACCATGGAATATATAGACTTTGTCACATCATTTTAGTGCTGAGGGTTTTTTTTGTTTGTTTTTGTTGCAGTTGTCCTGGTGGGTTGTTTTGTATCATAAGAAGGCACTTGCTGACCTAAGTACTAAGGCACTAAGAGAAAATACACACAGATAAGTATTTATAAGATGTTTGGGATCCATGGCAGGATTTTGTTTGGTTTTTTTAAGACGGAAAAACAAGTCCCAATAAATACGAACTCAGCACCCAAACCCCTTCGGATGTCTTAGCATCTAAATTGTTCATCTAAAGCACAGCCTGTGGATTGTAAATTATTTAGCAAGGCTGTAAACTCTGCTCCAAAAACAAAGGCATCACTTAACCGACTGCTGGGTGGTTCTTCATTGTAAAATGAGTTGGCAAAACAAAACAAAAAGTACTTGCCCCCAACTTGCCCTTGTGCCCCACCCCTCCCGCCCCGTGTAGTTTTACCCATTCCCCATCACTAACATTGTGAAATTGTAGAAGCAACACATATTTTAGAAGAACTTAAATGGGTTTCCAAAGTGGTCTCAACATTTATAATTCATATCTGTGTTTGGCAGTTGTCAGAACCCAATCCTCTTACTCAAATCATGACAGGTGTGTCGGGGAGGTAGTTCATGGTTTACAGCCTTTGCTTTTTAACTGTCCAGTTTCCTTTAAAGCACAACTAGCTGCTTGTTTACAAATGATATTTTTATGTATATTTTGTATAGTGTATTATCATTTTTGCCAAATATGTTTTTTGCATTTTGGATGAGTAAAGAGTACTTAAGGTTGCATTCATGTAATCCCTGTTTGTTGTTGTAAACCTCTCCAATCAGCTGGTAGAAATTTTCCTGTGTTCTATTTGGTCAGTCTCCTGTGATTGTAAGATGTGCTCCTCGGTAGTACTCCCAGCTGTAGATTTACCAGCTTACAAGTTTGTTAGGATCTGTGCAATAAAGTGTTTGCAGTCTTATTTTCTCTAAGAAATTCCCTATGGATGTCATCATTGTTGTATATTGAACAAATATTTATACTTATGCAGTTGCATAACATTGAAATAAAAATTTAGCATGAAAAGATAATGACTAATATTTTTCTTATATCTGCACATATGTGTCTAAAATTTACTGAATATCACTGTGTATTGTGGAAAGTATGGGTTTTTTGAGGATTGCTTTTTGTTGAGTGGACTGGTTTGCTCATTTTTTTTTTTTTAGCTTACACAAACATGTTCTATTCTTGAAGATTAAGTCTTTGCCTTCCTACATTTTCTACCAAACGTATTCCTTGCCTACAGATCTTACCAGCTTCGACACCAAGGTCACTGTCTTTCTACAGTCTCTTCCTCAGTGATACCATCTCATTCAATTCTGCTATAACCTTCCTCCATCATTTATCATTGTGCCCTGTCATCTTGCATTTCCTTCTTTCCTGTGTTCTTTCTCATAGTCAAAAACCACTGAAACTGTCAGGAAGGAAAGAAGCAGCCTAGCATTTCTTTTCTACCTTATATATATAAATATGCATAGTGCTGGGCAAGATGCTTTTCATCTACCATCTCATTTGAGCCCAAACCAGATGGTAGTGGCATCCCCATTTTACAGATGAGGAAGCAGGCCCAGATAGGCTCCGTTGTGTGTTTAATACATTCCCTGTGAAGAGAATTTGGATTAGAATCCAGGTTTTTTCTGGTTCCAAAGCCCTTGACCTTTCTAAACATCACCAGGTGTCATGTAATTGAATTCAGACCTAGGCCCCTCTGTGAATGATCTTAGCCATCTCATTGTCTCTCTCTTTACATGGACAAAAATCTTATGATGCAAAATTACATGTTTGATGATTGGTGGGAAACTATAAGCCAAGGAATCTAATCATGCTCTGTAGTATAGCTCCTTTATTCATTCTAATTCATCAGCAGGCAATTTCCCATCTAGCATTTGGGGATTCACAACACAAATGTAACATGAAAAAAGGTCACTTTATTTAAACTACAAAAATTTGCTTCCTCCAGTATCAGCTAGGCATTGAAGAATTCAATGGCCAGCCATCGCTCTAAATTTAATTACCCGTCTATCGGTATGGTTTGAACTCATTCCTCAGTGATTCTTTGTGTTCCTCCTCTCTTCTGCCTCTACCCCAGTGAATATTACACACATTTTCTGTATCTACAAAAGCTAGAAGTGCCCATGGCTTTTTTGGATGTCAGCTTCATGACTTTTTGCATATGGAGAGTCAGTCATTCTGGGTCAGGTTCAAGCTCTCTGACAGTTCTGACTCCTTGGACCCGGGACTGCAATCTTAGCACCAATCCTCACAGAAAAGCAGCAGCCTCCCACTGGTTTCTTGGACTTGCATTCCAAAAAACAAGATGGTCATGGGACTCTGTCCCAACACGTGGATGCAGGCAAGCACGTCAAAGGGGGAAGCTGTTCCTAAATCTGTCGTCCCTGTGTACTCGGTGACTTGCCAGTCATGTCTGTTCAGATGGGGAAAGAAGAAAGATACATTGTCTATGGTTATTAGGTACTCCCCACACCGCTTTAGGAAAAGTCTGTTAATAGTGCAAAGCTGTAAGCCTCTCACAAATACGCATCTGCTGTTTCATTAAACACTGCCTGGAGATGGTTGTCAGTAGCTGGGAGGTGAAGAATGAAGATGTTTATGAAGCCTGAAGCAAGCATGATGCATTTACCAGGTCTTCCTATGTCAGGCTGGCATCACCATATCCTCCAGCCCTAACCTGTCTACATAAAACTCCTTTACCTGAAAATTTTTTCCCTTTGGAATACGTGCGCTATGTTACACAATGCTCGGCCGAAGTGACTTTCCCAGGCTGGAGACAGATTTACACTTTTGGGGACGAGGGCAATTCCTGCACATGCCCATTCACATCCATCGGTGTGATGCCGCTCCGGTAGTTCAAGTCCCAGCTCCTCTGCCTTCTCCATCCACATGGTCGTCCTCAGAACAGCCATGGCTCTGTGTCCTCAAGGAAAAAGAAAGACCAACTGGTAAAGCTTGGGCTTTACCGTTTGCATTTAAAAACACAAAGACTTGGTTTCAGCTCCTGTCATGAGCTCACAGTTCATAGGGTCAAGCTGCACCGCAGCACAGAGCCTGCTTAGGATTCTCTCTTTCTCTTTCTCTCGCCCCTTACCTGCTGGCACTCTCTCTCTCTCTCTCTCTCTCTCTCTTAAAATGGATAAATCAAAACGCTATTTTAATAAAATAAAAATAAAAACACAAAGCTTTAGGAAAAGGCTGCCACCTTTTACTAGTATCTGTAAATTCACACTCCCGGTGACCTCTTTATTCTTACACCTTTGTACCAAAAAGCAAAAACAGTCTTCAAAAGACAGCAGAACTTGTTTTATTGCATAGCATGGTCATTGAAGGCAAATTAGAAATACAGAAAAGAAGAAAAAGGAATCCCTGACATCCCACCAGCCACTCGTCATCCTTTGATTTATACAGGTTTTTAATTTTTTTCAAAAACCTGAAATAATAGTGGACGTGAGGTCTGCAGACCTCTTCTGTTTCATATTATATCAGAAATATATTTCAGTGTCTATAAATATACTTGAGCAATATTGTTCATAATGGCTGCGTGGCATTTCATTTTATGGGTGTGCTATATTGCTTTCATTCACGTGCACGTGCGTAGATGGCAGAGGGCCTCTGATGCAGATGATTGGGCCATCCCACCAATTCTCAGCCAGCTTATGCCTGAGTTCATTTAATTTATCCCCACACTTCCTTTCATCCCCTCCTCCCACCCTCCAGGCAGCTATGTTAATTTATGGTTTATCTTTTTGTGTTCTTACAAAATACTGGTATATTGTTTTATATGCGTGTCTGTTTAATTTATAAAAATAAGCTTGCTAATATGTCATTTTGGGTTTGTTTTTTCCCCATCAAGCTTTCTATGTTGGTTAACAAACTGGCCTCTGTACCTGAAGGGGGAGGAGAGACAGAAGACAGTAGCAGACCACCCCAGATTGGTAGGTGGCAGGTTTAATGAGCAAGGAAACTTATATATGAGGCTTGCCTTGGGTGGCCACAGGCAAGTAGATTGCTTACACCCATGTGCCAGAATCTTAAAAGTTTATATAGAGAGGCCTTAACTGTGTTCAGTCATGTGTTCCATCCCGCTCAACAGAATGTTGCTTTCTTAAGGCTGCTCCTGGAAACCAGCTCCCACTGTGGGAATGGTGGGTGGAGTGTACATTCCAAGGACAGGGGAGGGCATGAGGAGCCTGATGGCCCAGATCCAGCTCATGGGTTAACCAGTAGTCCTGTCCTCTTGATACCCTCTTTCAGCACGGTATGTTTAAGATTCAAGTATGTTGCCCTAGCTTTATCTAATCCATTGCTTCTGCCTTCTGTGTAATACCCGTGGTGGGCATCTTCCACACTTACCTACCCATCTTTCTAGTGATGAACACTCAAACTGCTTTGAACTTGCCCCTCCATAAATAATGTCGCATTAAATAGCCTTGTGGAGATGTGAAATTTTCTTGGGAAGTAGACCCTAGCAGAGTTCATGGGTCACATATTTAATTTGACCAGTTGGTGTCAGAGGGTCCTAGAATGGCTACACTCGTCTACGTCTGTAAGCCATGTCTGCAGTACCTACAAACCCACATCCCACCAACGCTCTTATCCAGCTCTTCCTTTTTTGCCAGACGAACAGAGAAACCTTTATCTCACTTTAAGTTGTATTTCTCCAATTCCTAGTGACACCAACAGGTTTCTAATGTTCTTATCCCACCCAAGAAGACAGAACATCTCCCTGTTTGTTCAGATCATTCCCTAATTAATTTGGCCATGTGTCTGTTGTTGGCTGTTTAGGTTGTTTCCAAAGACCAGATAAAGAGAAAAAGGGAGACCCAAGCTCTTTATAAAGCCCATGAATGAACATGAAGGGAGGAGTAGCCAGATGGCCACTCCAGTGGCCAGCTGTCTTTTGCTTACCTTTGTGGGCTCTAATCCCTTGTCTTGAGCAGTCAAATGCTTAGAGAATGTTACCTAAGTTTGGGGGGATGAGAGGAGGAAGTTCAATGAAGTTCACTGTTTAATCTTTCATGAACAGTAATGGCTTCTAAAAATAATAGATTCGTTCTTTCCTTTCTCCAGATCCACATTATTCAGTAAATGATTTCGTATTGTAGGTAGATGGGATGGAACAGGAGTAGGGACAGGGGGTAGGTGGGAGAGCAGAGGAGTTTAGCAGCACAGTCTTATGGCCTGGTAGTTGTGGCAAGAGACTAACAGGCTTTCTGCCCGGGATGTCTCACCGTCGAATTTGAAGACTTCTTAGAAATTTCCTCTTGTAGAAAATGGAGCAGTTCTTCAACTCATTTAATGCATGGAGCCTAATATATGACTCTGCTATTGGTTGATAACATTAAGTTTAGGGAAGGATATTTTGCATGAAATCATTTGGCTTAGAGCCCAGTGCCAACCCCAGTCTAACAGAATTCCCATATCTAGGGGTGGGGCAGGGGAATCTGTTTGGTAATGAATGCCCAGATGATTCTGGTGATAAACCAGTATCTAGGAGCCACACCTGGCTGGCCCATTCTTCTGTAGCCTTCAAGCTTACTCCCCCACTCCCCATCAGACATTCTAACTCTTTTTTTTTTTAATGTTTTTTTTTATTTATTTATTTCTAGGAGAGAGAGAGAGAGAGAGCATGAGCAGGGGAGGGTCAGAGAGAGAGGGAGTCACAGACTGAAACAGGCTCCAGGCTCTGAGCTGGCAGTCAGCACAGAGCCCGACGCGGGGCCCGAACCCATGAACCGCGAGATCATGACCTAAGCGAAAGTCGGACGCTTAACCGACTAAGCCACCCAGGCGCCCCATCTAACTCTTAACATTCTAGTTAATCTCCCAGGGTCCCCAGTTATGGCTTGCTTGGAACTAATCCATTCTTTCTTGCTGTAACTCAAGTTAATTTTGTCTTTAGCATTCAAGACAGATAGAAAACAAGGTCAGCCACCCCTTTTGCATCCGATAATAGTATACAAAAACATTTAAAAGCCTTTTATTTCATATTTCTGTAAACTTCAAAATTACAAACAACACTTATTGAAGAATTGGACAAGTGGGAATGATCTGAGGGTTTCCTGTCTTGAAATTTTACCGATAATGCCTGTGTTTGGGCCTGTCCTGTGTTCAGTTAGCAGTGACAGCTGTTGGCTCTGGGGAAAGGTATAATTTGCTACCAGATTGTGGGAGTTGCAGCTCACTCAGAAGAGTCTTCTGTGATGGAGGCCAGTCAGCTTTTATGGACTTCAATGCTATTTGCTTCAGTACACTTTGAAATGCAGGGTCAGCTCACTGAGCTACAACATGCAATAATAACACATTTTTATAGGAGTAGCTTGTCAGAGCAGTAACAACATACGATACATAAAACCAATAAACACACCATGTCTACAGATTCTATCCTAGTAACCAGGATAAAGCAATAAAATTGACAGCAGCTATCAAAAAGCTGCCTTTCTGACTTTGTAGGGTGAATTTACTGTTGCTTAAAACAGAGGAGCTGTCAAAAAGCCTTAGATCAGTGTGCAGTTATGGAATAGCAAGTTGCATTACTTGGAAGGGGCACATGCCTGATAAATGAAAGCAAGATGGGCAATTACATTTTGCTAGGGCTTAGGACCCTACCATTTTTCCTGTGTTGCAGTCTGCATCACAGATATTCTGCAGAATACTTTTGTTTTTGTTTTAACACATTAACTATTAGGGAGAACCGTGTGGCTATGGAGTGGTAAGACAGTGATTAGTATATCCTCTCTGCAGCTTAAATCCTACAGTCAGGAAAGAGCTTGAATTTGCTAGAATGGGCAGGGAACTCCGTGCACTCTGGTTCTGTCTTAGACTGGATTCATTGAGGGTCGAGTTCCATCCTGTCTGATATGGATGAAGGAAGGAAGGAAAGCATGAAACCAGTAGAGAAGGAGAAAAAAAAAAGGGAAGAAACTGCAAAGAAAGCAAAAGCAAAGAGAAAAGGGAGGGTCGGAGGAAACAGTGAACATGGTTTTTGCATCTTTGTGGTCACTACCACGAATAGTTCACAGAGTTTCCAGAGCTGATCATCTAATTTGGTACAAGCAAATGAATGAAATCAACAAAACAAATTAACTGTGTGTTCTGCTACCTTCCTACCTGAATCCTCAAAGGTGAATGGCTCTTGCATAAGAATAGACAGCCTGGGGTGTAGTCAGCAGGGATGCTCTCTCTTGACTTAGGAGGGTTGGCTGCCGGAATTTGTAAACTAGCACTGCCTTTGGGTCCCTAGAAAGAGGGGTCTTTGGTGTAGCACCAGTTAGGAAGCTGCCTGAGAGACCCCCTGCCCTGCACACTAACAAAGCCTGGCCAAGGCAGCCACACTCACTTCTGCATTAGGTCCCTTCTGAGCCCAAAACTCAGTGGAAAAAGGCCTTGGTCATTGCCAGACTCAAGGCCAATACCAACCAACACAGCAGTGGCTCAAACTGGCCTTCTCGGAATGTTGCCCCACCATCCTAGGCCCAGGAAAGGAAGAAAGGTGGATGATGGATGTGCCCCCGATATTAGTGCATATTTCTAGCACTCAATTCTTCCTTCCACACACATCTTTAAATGACTGCCTCTCCAAGCTCCCTCCGGAAAGCTGAGGAAAACTTCCTTTGCAGGTACCTGTTTTCCCGAACACTGATATTCAAGGTAATTAAAGCAACTAATTGTGTGATGTTTCATTTCATTAACAGAGTGGTGCTCTGCTTGTGCTCATTCACCAGGTTCCCTGGCCACTTTGAGCTCAAAGGGATATAGTACTCATTCACCTTTGCCCCCTCTCTTGGCTTTGAAGGAAGGATGCCTTTGAGTTGGGAGTTAACTGAAGATGGGGAACAAGGTGTAAGTTCTCGGACACTTTGACCTGCTTCCAGAAAGTAAGTGGAAAGGGAAAGGCCCTTGAGAATAACTTTGGGATAATATGCCTGCTAATAGGGCCTGGGCAAACTGTGGCTTGGGAGTTAACTGGGGTCCTTACTTCTTAGCATTTCTTACAGTGGGAATAGGTTGAGGCCAGTGAGACACCCACCTGGGGTGCTAAATTTAAGGGGCCACCAAAGAACTCAGTAATGAAGTTAATATTTTAATGCAGTATTAAGTTAAAAAAGAAAACTAAATGCAAAGTATCAACCATGAACAAAATACCGAAATGTTAAACAAAGGCAGGATCAGTATTACTGATTTTTCCTTTTGCCTCAGGCTCTAACATGATTCAGCATGGGACTATTATGGATCGTGTTGTTTTTTTTTTATTTTGTTATTTTATTTATCATGGAATTTTTTCCATTAATCTAAAGTTTTTTTAAAAAACATTGCATTAAAACATTTTTGTCTAGTTTACTGAGATTTTTTTTTTTGGTTCCCCCTTAGAGTCAAAGCAAGCTCCTCTCTTCCTTTACCTTGTGTTGTTAACCAAGAACTTCTAGAAAAACGTGGCCTCCCACTTAGTACTACACAAAAAATCCCCCAAGACTACAAGACTAGTAGAGCATTTGCAGGAGAGTTTTATGGCATTTTTTCACTGTTTCTTGTCTTTTTTGCTGTTCTTGGGGGGATACAGAAGTAAAGAGACTTTGGTCCCCAGTTTCCACTCTGTTAATATGTCCCACTGTTAGGACCTCAACATAAGGGCTAATAAATTCCGATTGGATATGAAAGTTAATTTCATGTTGATATCCAATCAGATTTTCATAGCTCGAGTTACCACTTCTAGATGAAAACTGGTTCCAGAACTTAAGGCCATATAAATGCAGCATCCTGAGTACAAGAGAGTTCAGCTTTTGTCCACCAGTGCAGACCACAGAAGATTAAGCCTTATAGGAGTGGACCCTTTAGGCCTTGCAAGACCTAAGTCCTAACACTTTCCTCTTCTCTGTCCTCTCTCAGTGTCTCTACAGTCAATGGTCTTGTCCATTCTTTCCCACTGGCACAACCATTGCTGTTACCCCCAGACTCAACAGAAGCTCATTGAGCCAGAGTATTGTGTTGTGGACAGCTAGAGCACAGTGATGCTTTCTTCCACTGGTTTCACTGCAAATGCACTATCTCGATTACTATCCCAGGTGAATAGACTTTTGAGAGCTGCCCTGGGAACCAAACCACCATTTATCTCATAGTTTCTGTGGGAAAGAAGCTTCTAAGAACCAGACATTCAGATGAGAAGAGCATTTGGACCACAGCCCATGTGTAAGGTAGGCTTTGTAATATAAGACCAAGCACACAAGATAGGTAGAAGAAACTTCCATGGTTCTGAACAATGAGGGTGGCCAATGTAGCAAAAATACTAGACCTTGAAGGATGCGGGACTTGTGGTGTGGTTTGTTTGTTTTTGTTTGTGTTTGTGTTTGTACCTATTTACACTGTAGCAGCATGGTAGAGACCTTAGAGACTTTAGGATTAAGGAGATTAATGAAGCAGATTTGGTATCACAATTCATTTCTCAGCCTCTTCTTTTAAACTCACTTGTGTATTCCCTTTCTCATTTAAAATAAGCATTGAGACTTGATCCTCAACAAGTTTTTCAAATGACCGACTTTCTTACTGAGGACTCAGAGCCAAGCACAATGCCCAAGCTGCAGGAGACAGTTTGGACTGGGGTCACCAGTGCCACTAGGTTGTGGTTGTTGATCTCCCTCTAGGATCAAGGTGGGTGCTGCTTCAGGGGTGTCCATGAGCGGAAGGGAGATAGCCTCCTTGAACATTCCTCTTCTGGCCTTTCCCTGCCCCAGGTCCTCCAACCACCTTTCATGTGAGGAAATGGCTCTGTGTCTCTCACAGCTGTTGTTTGGTCCCCTGGCCCTAGTCAGTTTACGTTGCAGGAAGGTTCATTAGCTCTGGGACTCAGAAAAGCACAGTGAGTCCCTATCCAGCTGCAGGAACCAATGTGAAAATTCTGACAGCCTGAAAAGGAACAGACAACAGTTCCTTTACTTGGGGCAATTTCACTGAACACATTTATTTGCCATCTCCGGGAACCTTCTGTACTAAATGTGCTGGTATTTCCACCTAAGGAGGAATTTAACTGAAAAAATGAGCAGAATGGCAATGAGAAGTAGAAATACTATAAGAAAGAAAATGCCCAGAGCTGTAATCCCACAGGACAGTTTGACATCATACAGCTTAACTCCCCTTAAAGATGGGGGGTTTGCACACACAGTTTCCTCCAAGCCCTCAAATTTCTCCAGGTTTTCTTTGTACCATGTTATAAAATAAATGTTGGAACAAGTACACTCCAGGGGATTGTGACTTAGGTTAATGGTGCTCTGCTGGGACAGGATGGGAATGAGATGAGGTGGGACGGTGTGGATGCTATTGGCGGCCAGATTGAGGTAGAGCCCCTGAAGATGGCTAAAAGCATCTATGCTATTGCCTGTCAGGCTGTTGTAGCTTAAGTCTACATGACTCATATTCCCAAGGCTCTGGAATGCTTGCTTGTCTATGGAAAGGAGGTCACAGGAGGATAAAATAAGAACCTCCAAGCTGCTCAAGGGCTGAAGCAGGTTGGTCTTTGAGATGCTCCCATCTGGAAAGTGATTCCCCTGTAAATTTAGATGGCGGAGATCCACCAGGCCTGCTAGAAGGTGCTGATTGCTGGTATCCAGGAGACAGTGAGAAAGATTCAGAACTTGTAGGAGATGGAGGTTTTGAAAAGGACTCTGTGGAGCCTTAACGTGCAAGTGGGTAAATGCCAAATCTAGATGTTCTAACCGAGGACATTCTTTGAATGCCTGACTCTGGAGACCAAGAGGCTCATTGTAGCTCAGATTTAGGTATTGTAAGTGGGCCAGGTTTTTGAGTTGCAGATTGCAGCAGTCGGAAGCTGCTATATCATTGTGGCTTAAATCAAGTTTCTGAAGATCTTCTAGTTTTTCCAAACACCCAGCACCAAGGTCTAGTGTCCTCACGTTGCCTTTGATAGAGAGATCTATGAGGGATGGAAAACTGGCAGCATTGATTTGACACAACTGGTCAAAATTATTTACATTGAGAACTAATTTCTTGAGAGCGTTCATACCCTCAATCCCAGAGGGTAACCCTTTCAAGTGAGTTGCTGTCAGATCCAATTCCTGGAGTTGAGTGAAGCACCGAAATGTTGTAGATGAGATATCAGAGAAATGGTGCTTCTGTAGATTGATGCTTTCAACAGACATTTCACAAAGTCCCTCAAACATGGCTGAAGTGAGGTCTTGGTCTTCAATGTCGTCAAATGTCCCCAGCCAGAGAGACTGAGTAGTAGAGTTCTGTAGACCTTTCAATATAACAGACAAGTTAAGAGTGCCTCCAAAGTTCAAACTCTGGAAGCTTTTTGAATGGAAAGCTCCAGGCTCAATGCCTCTAATGCCATTGCCATTGAAATTAAGGCTTAGGTTGGTGGCCTTCTCCAGAGCATTCATGTCTTCACTAGAGAGATAGTATATAGCGTTATTCTGAAAATCCAGGACTTTCAAATTCTGCGTTGGAAAGTTTTCTGGGAACTTAATGGAGGAAATATGGTTACTTCCAAGATGCAAACTTTCCAGCTTTTCCAGATTGTACACTGGTATAAACTGGAGATTGGATATTCCTGTTTGGACTAAGAAAAGATGCTTCAGCGATTTGGGCCCATTAAACGCTGTTTCTGCCATGAATATCAGAGGATTTCCAGTCAACACAATTGTGTCCAATTGATGCTGGTATTGAAAAGTGTCTTCATGTACCCAGTTAATCTGACACCTTAAAAAGATAATAGTATTTAACAGTAATTCCTTAGAAAAAAGAAAAACTCTGTCACAGTGACTAATTTTAACAAAGCCATCTTTTGTGTATAATAAAAACAGTATACATCGTTATATGAAGCAAAACATAAAACACTTTCTTCAGTACCAACAGATGATCTATTGAATTAATGACTAGCCTCAGTTCCGAACACTCTGATTTAGAATTTTTTTCCAGATATCTTATCCCTTTGGATTGAACCATCAAAGGTTTGTTTTTAGAATTGAGAGAACTGTTAGTGGTTTGGTTGTAGGCAAACTGGAGTTATTATTTATTGTTTTAAGTAATATATAAAATGTAGCACATCATGTATACTATAGAGCAAATGACATGTAATATATGTATTTGTGTCATCCTGGATAAGTCACAGCTTTTCTCAAACTCTTGTTATATCTATTCAAGTACAGAAATGATGAGTGCTTTAGGGAATGGCTGTTAACCAAATGGCACATAGGAAAATGTGCCATAGAAATACGGAGCAGTACAGGAGTTATCCTGGTATTGTACTTGAAAATACCGATTACACATGGATGAGCACCCCCCACACACAAATACACACGCTACAATTCCCTTCTGGTTTCTTCCCTTATTTTCTTGTAACATTTCTGCCTACTGGTTCATAAACACTGGTCCTGATTCTAAAATTAAATAATGGAACTCTTTTCTCAACTTACAGGGGAAAAAGTTAGTAGCTTGTGTGTTTCTTCTGTAAATTTTTCTTAAAATGTTATAACCCAATAGTAAACTACGCTAACATGTAGTAAAATACAGCATCTGATTGAATAAAAGATTTGTTTTCAGTTTTGTTATCAGTATTCCTTAGAGCTTCTTAAATAACAGTGTTGATGCAGTGTCTTTGAAAACAATCCAATCTTCTCTTCAGTGATTGGGTTTCTTTAATACTATATTTCACCTGAATAAAAATATTTCATGGGAAAGAGTAAACACACAGGAAACGTAGAAGGCCCTTGTGCTTCCAAAAGAAGCAGGGTGAATGCAAGTTGTGTTACTACTTAAGGAAAACTTCAACCACACACAATGAATTCAAATACATACCTGGTTAAGTCCAAAAAGATAAGATCTACGAGTCTGGTGAAAGTTGTATTTTCAATTGTAGGCAAGAGATTAAAGCCAAATTCTAAAAATTCTGTTGTGTTTGGTAGAGTCTCAGGAACTTCTGTGAGACCTAAATTTTCACAGTTATATGTTTTGTTGGCTTCTTTCTGACAAGAGAAACAATGGAAATGAATATCAGAGTTGGTAATTTGATTGATTAGCAAAGTTATGTATATCTTATCCTTTGCACAGCAATCTCACTTCTTGGAATCTTACCACATACACAGCTGCAAAGACACAAAGTGACTTGTGCATAAGATTATTTATTTTATTATATTTTTGTAATACGAAAAGGTGGGCTGTCACCAGATCATTCATCAGTGTTGGACTCGGCTGGCCTTGGGGCAAGAGGAGACTGCTCCTGTTAAAAGAGACAGCGGATAGAAGATCTTTAAGAGACATAACCAAATAATAATAGAGTAGCCCTTGTTTTGATTCTGATTCAAATGAAGCATCCGGAAAAGACCTTTTATAGACTATCAAGAAACTTTGAGGACAGGATATTAGAGGATATTATAAGAATTTTTGAATGATAACAGTAATGTTCTTATTCTCTTGAAATGCACGTTGAAGTATTTCTGGGTAAAATGTCTTGATGTTTGGGATTTCATTTAAAATACTCTGGGCATAAAGGAGGGGAGGATTGGATACATGAAATCAGTAGGCAAACTATTGGTGACTATTCAATGTCGATATATACATGGGGGTTCCTTATAACTACTTATGTAACTATTTCAAAATTCTCTGTCCTCATACTGTTGCAGACAGTCCTCCTTAGCTAGAAACAGAAGACTGAGAACATCTTCCTTTACTATGAAGCCTGATGTTTTAGACATGTCACATTTTAATTGCTTTTTGCTTGACTCCAACTTCTGCTTAGTGGTGCACATTTTTGTAGGTACAGTGAGCATGCTCACCTACAGCAAGTCACGTTTTCTTCTGTATTGTGATATTACTATCAGTGTTACTGATGAAAATGCCGTATTTTTATTTCCTTGTAATTCACTCTTCATTTTATAGACCCAAAGTCCTCCAGGCAATGCCACAAATCCACCTAATGTCCTTGAAGTTCACACTTCACATTTAAAACTCAGATTTAGCTGACCGGTGGGAAAAACACATGTTACCAGACCCCTCTTGTGTAACTTCCCCGGTAGCTGGGAAGGTCTGGAGGAGCTTTGAGAACGAATTTCCCTTTTCCGGTGTGCGCGGGCATAACAGATGTCACATATACTTGGAGAAAGGGACCCTTTCTCAGTTCGTCTTGCGCTATTCTGGTCCTATAGCAAAAGGCGCCATGCTGGCAATTCCCTCCTTCTCCTGAATATATAAGCGCCGGTGACACCTAAATTAGTCCTCTTCTTTGCTTTACTAAGCACTTTTACTGCATTAATGTAATTCAGAAAGTTGAGAATGCAGCAGGAGCTCTCTAGAGCCAGTGGCCTGAGGGAGCTTCTAGCAAATGCAGAGGCAGATAAATGAAATAGCTCAGTTTTATCCCAGTGAAAAACAGAACTAGTTGATAACATTACCAGTTCTTAATTACAGAGTATTAAGAAACCCACCATGAGCCTGTGTCATATATTAATCTGTAGTTAGGTATAAACTGCAGCAAACTCTCTGCCCTTGATTCATGGGAGAATGAGGCAAATGACAAGAATTGCAGCTTCTAAGAGAATTTAAGAAGCAAGCATATTTTGGAGAATGTCCTGAGCCCCCCCCCCCCCCCCCCCCCACAGAGCCCATCCCCTTTGGCTTTTGTATCCACAGTCACAGTCTTGTACACTCACAGTTACTGTTATGGATGGTAACACGAAGCCCCCCATGCTCTACAATCACTCAAGCAGCATTAAATTGTTTCCAGTCTGTCGAATTTTTTGAGGCAGGAAGTACACACATACACATGCACACACACTGTTCTCATTCCTTTTTTGTTGAGAGTAAATTGTAGACGACATGACCCATTACCCCTCAGTCTCCTAGAACAAGGACATCTCTCCTATAACCACAGTGCCCGTCCCTAATTCATAATATTGAACACTGATACAATATTATTATCCAATGTCCAGTTCATATTCACATTTTGGCAATTGTCTTAATATTATCATTTATAGTAATTTTGTTTTTTCTAGTCTACATTCACACATTGCATTTAGTTTTTGTGTATCTTTAGGCTCCTTTAGTCAGACAATTCCTTAGCCTTTTGTTGTATTTAATGGCATTGATGTATATATCAATAAAACACACATACGTATATATATATATATTTACTGAACCCCGATTCATATTTTACAGAATGCCCCTCACTTGGGGCATCTTTCCACATGATCTGATTCAGGTTATACATTTTTGGTAGAAATACTACATGAGTGAGGTTGTGTCTTGCTCACTGTCAGGATCCTCTCAAAACTTTTTAAGAGAAAGCTGTGATAAGAGGAGCACAGGATTCTGGGACTGCAGCATGACCACGCAACAGAGAAGGAACGGACAGGCTGCAGAGAAGGAATATAAAGCTGGGCTGGCTGCCAGGGTTCCGTTTGCAGTTGCACCTCCAGGCAGATACCCACCACTGCTTTTGCAGCCCCTGTGGTTCCTCTGAGCTCCTCATGACCACTTCCTGTAAAACCAGCTTTCATTCTCTAGCCCTCAGTGTGAGATCATGTCTAAAATCACCTTCTTCCTCTCCTACTTTTTTGCCGGTTCTGTGACAGACAGGTCCTTTCTTTATTTTTTTTTTTAAATGTTTTATTTATTTCTAGGAGAGAGAGAGAGACAGACAGACAGACAGACAGTGTGAGCAGGGGAGGGTCAGAGAGAGAGGGAGTCACAGACTGAAACAGGCTCCAGGCTCCGAGCTGGCAGTCAGCACAGAGCCCGACGTGGGGCGCGGACCCACGAACCGCGAGATCATGACCTAAGCGAAAGTCGGACGCTTAACCGACTAAGCCACCCAGGTGCCCCAGACAGGTACCTTCTCCCATCCAAGTACTAACCAGGCCCGACCCTGCTTAGTTTCCGAGATCAGACGAGATCGGGCGCGTTCAGGGTGGTATGGCCGTAGACTAGACAGGTCCCTTCTTGATGTGGACTCGTGCAGCCAGCAGGGCTGTGCAAGGCGACACGGCATTCACAACAACCCCATGCCTACCCCCGCTCCAAGTCGTGGGCCAATTACCCAGGACCCGCTGTGCACTGGGACCTGCACCAACCGCTTTGTCTCCAGCTCCGTGTCAGAGCTGTGCCTTTTCTACATAGCGGAACTCGCAAGTGTTAAATCTGTGTTTGCAATCCCTTTTCCTTCCAGGTAATTCATTTGCATTTTTTCAATCAGGATCTTATTTTGCTTCCTTCTGCTGTAACTACAACTCCCTGCTATCCCGTGGTATTTTCTCTTCTCCAAAGTGTTGAAATCGTTTTCTAATTTTGAACCTTTCGAGTTTCTCCAAGTGCCAATCCCCACCTTTCCAGTCTTTCCTCTGCACTTGGCATACACCGCAGCCAGCAACTCCATGCAGGAAGTCTGGCATGCGGAACGCTGACCCTCCCTCCAGTTTTTCACCCCTCTATCCAGAGTTAGCAGTGTGACTGCATCAGATCCCAGAGTAACAACTACTCTCTGAAAATAAAATAGTCCTGAGAGGGCACAGTCCTCAAACTTCGTTGTTGACCTGACTACTACAGGCAAACAGCATCCCAATTATATGCAGTTCATTTTCTGTATATCTTGAGTCAGATTGCTTGGGTTCAGATCCCTGCTTTCAATCACTAAACTGAGCCTTCATTTTCACCAGCTATAGACGGGGGATAACCTTCTTTGTGGGCCAACTCTGAGGATTAGTAAGATAATGTATGTTGAACACTCACAGGAGGAGTTTGTGTTTTACTGGATCATCACAATATCATGTCACTGTTTAGAGCTCTTCGGAAGCCTTTGTATCCATGAATTTGTGAACTTGGAGTTCATCTGAAAAGGACCTCTACTAGGCACTTCTCACCCCTACCTAGGACTGAAGGACTATCTCCTACCATAGGTTTGGATAGCCAAGATGAGCCCATTTGAAATGAAGGGGCATGTTTACACTCCAGAGTCATTATTCAAGAGTACATCTAAAGCATTACCATAATTCAAATCACAGAACACTGTATTTCAGTTATGCTTTGCACATCTGTCAGCCTCCAAAGACCTGGTCAGGGCTCTAATTTTGTTACTTGTACACACACATACAGAGTAAACAATAGAAAAATATAACCGAAGAAACACACGCATACAGAAGAAAACAACAGTGGAATAGAACAGTGGAAGATTCCACATGGAGTGTTTACGGATGTTCAATATATTTTTAGAACTTGCCTACATTAGAAATACTTTTCAGGGGGTGCCTGGGTGGCTCAGTCGGTTGAGCGTCCGACTTCGGCTTAGGTCATATCATGGTTTGTGGGTTCGAGCCCCACATCAGGCTCTGTGCTGACAGCTAGCTCAGAGTCTGGAGCCTGTCTTCAGATTCTGTGTCTCCCTCTCTGACCCTTCCCTGCTCATGCTGTCTCTCAAAAATAAATAAAACATTAAAAATTAAAAAAAAATATTTTTCAAACAAAAAGTTTTACTAAAAATTCATCTTGACTCCCACCTCACAATGTATGCAGAAAACAATTCCAGGTAGGCCATGGATATAAATGCGAAACCTAACAATAGAATTAAATACAAAGCAAACTTCAAGAAAACACAGGATAATACTTTCATGGTCAAAAATGTTTAAACAGGAAAGAAATGCCCTGAAAATAGAGGAATAATTATAAATCAAGCTACACTAAAAGTAGGAACTTCTTTTCATCAGAAAGTATCATTAGGGGAATGGAAAGGTAAGCCATAGAGTGGGAAAGAATGGTTGCAATGTAATGAAGGACTTGTATCTGCAATTCACAAGGAGCCCCTACAAACCAATAAAAGAAAGACAGAAAAACTAAGGGAAACTGGGCAAAAGAACTGAGAATGCACTTCTCTCTCTCTCTCTCTCTTTCTCTCAGTCATACACACACACACACACACACACACACACACACACACACACTCAGATATCGAATGGCCAACAAAGTTGAAAATGTACTCATCTAACCATCAGGAAAATAAAAATTAAATCCCAATGAAATACTACTACTCATCCATCAGAACTGTTAACATTCTTAAACCAACAATAGCAAAATTAGTGAGTAATCAGAATTCACATACATTGCCAATGAGTATAAATGGGTACTAACCCTTTGGAAAAGAGGTTGGCAATATCTACTGAAATTAAATACATGTATACACTATGACCAAATACATCCCCACCCTGGTATACACCTAGTAAAGATTTGGATATTTGTTTACTAGAGACATAGATATGAATGTCCAAAGCAGCAGCATTTATAATAGCCAAGAAATCGACAACAGTGCAAATGACCACTAACAGTAGAAAGACTAAATAGTGGTTCACTAGTACAGCAGAATACCATTCAGCAATGAAAACAAATAAATGATTGCTGTATGCAGCATTTTTGGTAAATGTCATATATTTCTGCTTTGATAATATGCCAGACACAAAAGAGTATAAACAATGTGGTCTCTGGTATATAAAATTCACAAAGAGGCAAAATCATTCTTCGATGATAGAAGTTAAGAGTACTGGGTGCCCCTGGGGGCTACTGACTGGGAATATGCATGAGGGGGCTTCTGAGTTGCTGAGAATGTACTATTTCTTTTCTTTTTTCTTTTTTTATTAAAAAAAACTTTCTTTAGTGCTTATTTATTTTTTGAGAGAGAGAGAGAGAATGTGAGTGAGGGAGGTACAGAGAGAGTGAGACACAGAATCTGAAGTAGGCTCTAGGCTCCAAGCCGTTAGCACAGAGCCTGACGTGGGGCTCGAGCCCACAAGCTGTGAGATCAGGAGATCGCCTGAGCCGAAGTCGGCTGCTTAACCGACGGAGCCACCCGGGTGCCCCAAGAATGTGCTATTTTTTGATCTGTGTGTTGGTCACATGGATGTGCTCACTTTGTTAGACTCATTAAACTGTACGCTTAGGATTGGCGAACCTTCCATATATAGGTTTTACTTCGATAAAAGGTTTACTAAACTAAAAACAAAGCAAAAAAAAAAGAAAAAACTTCTTGTTTTCAAGATAGGGCCTGATAAGTTAATGGGAGCCACCACGTGGGCACATAGACAACATTGTGGTTAATTCTGCTTCAACTGGAGGGGAGAACAAAAGAGGGAAGGGAGAGCGAAGGGGAGGCTGAGCAAACTGGGGTAATCTACGCTTGAAAAGGGGCCAGACCCTTCAACCCAAAGCTCCCTCTCCCACCACTTCCACTTGTATTCCACTTTCTGCAGCCCAGAAGTTCCTTACCTTCAGGAACAAACTCTCAGTCATCTTTGTGACCCCCAGGAAGCTCCCACTACTCACAAAGAGTGATGGATGGTAAACAGCCTGAGAATCCTGCTGCTGAGAACTTAGACACGATAGAGGATATAAATGAAAGTGTAGGTCCAAGGTTAATTCCATTGTTACCAAGGCATTTAAAATCAGTCCTTTCAGAGGGAGGACTGCAGAGAGCTTGTTCTATTGAAAGGTTTCAGTCTCCCCTGACTTTACCAAAGAGGAAAGCTCTTGCTTCCGCATAGGGACAGGCCTGGAGATCCTGGGACCCTCGGCATCACTTTTGCCACCTGAGTGTCAGAGAGACCTCGAAACAGGGAACCAAAGGACTAGGGTGTTCTCCCTGTTTGTTTCCCTTCTCCTCTGCCAAAACAGGAGCCATTTGCAAAAAGGAACTAGCAACTCTGGAACCTAGTGTCTTCAGTAGGAAATTAGACTGGTCCAGTATTTCCACGGGCTTTCCAGAACGCCCACTTGGGCTTCTAAAGCACTGCACAGACTTTGCAGCAATACAGGGATTTAAGAGTTGAAGTGGTAGGCTTCAGAGTCGGATTTTTAAAAAAGCCCAATTCCCAATAAGCTGGAATTGGATGTTAAGCATGATATTATCCTGCCTGAGGGTGCTGTCAGATGGTGGATGGCATGCCTACGTGGTCATTGAGGAGGGAGTGTTCCCACTCTTACCCTCTTATCTTGTCACCTACATGTCTGTGTGTAATTGGCCTTCTGACCTGAGTGCTGAAGAGAGAGCCCTCTGGGGTTGATATAAACCTCTTACTTGACCCCTTCTGTTGTGGTCTGATTTGTGTCATCGCCAAATTCATATCTTGAAGCCTTAACCCGAGGACTCAGAAGGTGACTTTATTTGGAAAAAAAAGAGTCTTTAAAGAGGTAATTAAGTTGAACTGAGATTGTTAGGATGGGCCCTAATACAGTATGACTGGTGTCCTCATGAGAAGAATAAATTAGGACACAGGTACAAAGAGAAGATGATGTGAAACACAGGGAGAAGATGGCCATCTACACAGGGAGAGCCAATCAATGAGGTCTCAGATGAAACTAACCTTGCTGATGCCTGATCTTAGATTTCTAGCCTCCAGAATTATGAGCAGATTCTCAGTGGGAGAAAGGTTGCAGCGTTTTAGAAGATGGCAAGAGACCCTCTCCAATAACTTCACACAAGTTGGTAAATATTGTTATGGGCCAAAACAGAAGATGCAGTTTGGCTCTGTTCTTCAGTGTTACTCCTGTGGGTCAGCAAAACAGATGGAGGGCTGTCCAATTTGAGAAGAAAGCCAGACTCATTCAGAGTGATCTGTATATGCTCTAAAACCTGGCACAGGCCATCTTTGCTAATCTCCAGGAAACCAAAAAAACTGTTTGTAGAGTAGTGGCCATATGCTGGGATGTTGGAGAAACAGCACCTCCATTCTGGAAAAACATTTGGAGGGCTGCTCTTTGCACTGAGACCCTGTTGGTATATTATGTCTCAATTAGAATCGTTTTGAGGGAATTGTTTGTAGAGGAGGCAAACTCTCATTTCTTCCAACGGATAATTTTTGAGATCATCCCCTGGCTAAGCTCTGTGGCTCCTCCCTCATTTTAAAGAAGAACCTCTCCACACCTCGTCACCCTTTTAAAGACAGTGGTTATTGGGAGGCCACATCTCAGATAGGACTGTGTGCTGAATCTCAAAATTTCCAGGCAGTTTACTCTGAATAAAGACAAACAGTCCGGACTCACCTCAGTGCACATCTGATCCGAGGAGGTGATGGCTTTACAGCTGGCAGAAAACATCACTGCCAACAGGAAGCAGCTGGCACAGGGAGCCATCACCGGAACGAGGCCGCCCCAGCTTGGTGGGCTTACTTAGTGCCTGGAGCAGAGAAATGGAATCAAACTCTAATGGCATCCGTAACTCAGCGGGCAGAGAGGTGCTCAGAAGGGTGTGATCTGGGAACAAAAAATGCTGTTGATTGCTCAGCTGGTTCTGTGCTGAAAAAAAAAAAAAAGGAGGAAGTTCCTTTTGCATACGACCAATTCTCCTTGCCAAAAATAGCTGAGAACCCAGCCTCAGAATGGCCCCAGCGTGTTTCCTGGCAAATATGAATCAGTTGAGCGCCCCTTTGGGGCTGGTCACCCAGGTGCTCAGTGGGACAGTTTCTATGGCCGTTAGGCCAGCTTCAGGAGTTTGGCTAACTCCAACAGCTTCTGGTCCCTTCGATGAGAGACACTGTAGAAGGAGGAAGCTATCCTCACAGAGGAAGCCATTTTGTTAGTTGTGCTAGGTGAGTGGCGTGGACAGGTTCAGTGGCATGCTGTGGGGGCAGATAGAAGGACTATGTTCTGCAGTGGCACCTGCTGAAATGGGTACTGGAGCAGGAGGGAACAGGGCCATCCACAAAAAGGTGGTATCCCTGCTCCTTGCATTTCTGCTGCTGCCTCGGCCACCCAGTTCATATTGCCTCTGGTCTTGGTCCAGAAGAAGGACATATCCATCCTTAGACCATGTGATTCAGGCCAGCTAAAGCAGCTGAGGTGGAGTCCCCTCTTTCTCCCTTTCAACCTAACCCAGGGAAGTAGAGGACACTGCTATATCCAGAGCATTCTGGCTGAGAGAGCAGAGTTAAGGATGTCAGCCGTGGCTCTATTTCTTCTTTGAAATAGCTTGAAGCAGGATTGCAATTGCCCTCATCATGGTGCAAGATGTGGTAGTTATTAAAGAAGGTCAAAGTACCTCACTGGGCTGAATTTAGCTACCTCAGATGTTGTTTCCTAATCTTCTGGCTTAGAGGGGCTGCTTGGCATTGCTGTTCTTCCATTTCATTTCCAAGAGCCCCATTCTTAGCATCAGAGTTCAGAATAACTTGAGATACTGTTACCACTACTGTCTGACTTCTACTAATAGAATCATTATAAGACCTACCATTTGTGGAGCACTTACTATACATCAGGCCACAGGCAGGGATTCTTTTATATGTGTTTATATCTTTATCACATGTTCTACCAGAGAGATACTAGTATTTCATCCACTTTATAGATGTAAAAACTGATGTTCAAGGACATTCAATAACTTCTCCAAGGCTATATATAAGACTAGAAAATGGTGGATGATGGCTTCAGATCCACTGTCTCGCTGTGGACACTGTACTCCTACTGTCCATAGTTTTAGAAAGAGTTTTGCCTCCTGAAGGAGTGAAGAGTGGATGAGATAAAGAAAGGTTTCAGAGCAGAGGCTCAAGACGAGAGTGGGTTGGAGAAACTATGGCCTAGGCGCTGTTCTAAGGCTCTCCTAGTCACCCCTCAAATGCCATCCTTATCAACAGAAGCAGCTCCAAAGATGCTTTTGGTAAAACACAGTTCAAACAAATGCAGGCCGATGGCAGCTCACCTTGCTTTACAGGCATGCATTGCAGTGAAAAGCTAGAGTTGGTCTTGAAACTGGGTCATTTTCAGCCTCAGGTCCATTGGTTGTCAACTGAGTGAACTTGGGCAAGTCATGTCACTTAAGTGAGTCTATTTCCCATCTGAAAAATAGAACAGGAAGTCCAGTTCCTGTTCTGCTGCTCTCACAGGGTAATTATGAGAATCAAATAGGATCATACATGTCAAAATGCTTTCTTGACCTTTAATCCCTACATAAATATGAAGAATGTCTTACTCCTCTGATTAACCAATTCCAATGTCATGTAAATATCACCATCAGGAAATTGTCTCCTGCCCTGGAGATGTTGAAAAGGTATATTACTTTTCTTTTCAAAGAGAGGTTTGATGACTCAGTTAAGGCCATAGGATTTTGTCATTTTCTGAGGCCACACTATTTGCATATGATTTGCATGTGTTTACATAATGAATTCAAAAGACTCACTGCAAGTGTATAAGAGTAAAAGAAAATAAATGAATACGAGTGACCTTCTGCCACAGCATTCAAATCAAATATTCAGGGCATAATACCCTGAAATATGAAATAGATTAAAATTTAAACTATTGCAAACAGATGGGAAGATAGGTTTTAGAGTTCAAAGGCAAGAATGAAACCCTTATTTGGGACCAGGTTGTAAAGAATCACATACTCTGAAAGGTCACCCCATCCAAATGATTTTCATGCCTGAATTCTTTCCTCCACACCCCTTGCCCCACCCCTTTCCACAGACAAAACATACATGATATTACCTTCCAGTCTCTACTTTTTTTTTTAATGTTTATTTTTGAGAGAGACAGTGTGTGAGCAGGAGAGGTGTAGGGTGGGGGCGGGGACAGAGTATCTGAAGCAGGCTTCACACTAATAGCAGTGAGCCTGATGCGAGGCTCAAACCCAGGAACCATGGGATCACGATATGAGCCAAAGTCAGACACTCAAATGAGTGAGTCACCCAGGCATCTCACTTCAAGTGTATTCTGAAAAGCTTCAAGTGACAGAAAATTTTCTGTCCCCCAAGAAATTGTTTTGGCAGATTTTAACCATATAAAACTGAAGCCCTTAAACCACCAAAGTCTTCCCACTAACTTCCCTCCAATAATCCTCCTTTCCCAGGCCAACAGAACAAGTTCCAGCCCTTAGCTATTAGACAGTAGTTTGGACGTCCCTGAATCATCCCCTTTCCAGATTAAAATTTTCTGGTTCCTCCAACAGTGATATACGTTCCTGCGTCATAAATCCCTAACAGTCTCTCTGAAAACTTTCAATTTTCCCAAGAAAGGCAGTGACTTGAATTCTAGCTCTAGCATTGCCATTAATTTGTATATCCTAATGTCCTTTTCTGTAAAATGGAGTTAAACTAGCTTATCTGTAAGGCAGTTCATCTAAAAACCCCATCTTCCTGTTGCAAAACCATGATTTCCATTTTACATACATAAGTGATTGGCTTGAACCAAAGAAACGGAGCTATACTTGCTACCTGGTGACACATTCTTCCTTTCTTACTTCAGGTGTACTTGCCCCTTCTTGGCGAACATAAAATGCAGAGAGTTTTGGCCAGAGCAATGGACATCACAATTGCAGCTAATTCACATTGCCATTAAGGGATGGAAATGCTGTCACCTATTTTAAGAACCAGTTCTAGGGCACCTGGGTGGCTCAGTCAGTTAAGTGTCTGACTCCAGCTCAGTTGATGATCTCACTGTTTGTGAGTTCGAGCCCCACATTGGGCTCCCTGCTGTCAGCACAGAGCCTGTTTCATATCTTCTGTCCCCCCTCTCTCTGCCCATCCCCCATGGGTTCTCTCCCTCTGTCTAAATAAATAAATGAATTAAAAAAAAACACACAATTCTTGCAGAGATATAGAATGAGAAAGAAGATGGTGAGAACAGGCACTAGAAACTCATTTATTTCTACTGGCCAGTGATCAGGTCAGTTGTTATGCTTTTATTCCTCATTTCCATGCTCTTCATCCATTGGGTCAGCTGCCACCCCATAAGGTAACTGATAAACCTGCCCACTTTCATGTCTGGGAGGTCCATGCCCTCACTTACCTGTGTGTCCATTTGATTATAGCCTGGGGAGGGACTTCGGGGTCCTAGGATGCCTTGCTTGGGTCTTCAAGCCATTTCTTAGCGACGACTAATAGGCTATTTTCTTTCAAGGGTTTGCAAACCCAAAGATGCTTTTGTGATCCAACTTTAGCAAAGAGCTAGATGTTTAATTTCCAGCATAGCTTATGGACACCAGGTGGTGTACAACTGTCCTTTTTCATTTTTCACTTGTACATTGAGTTTTTGTTCTGCTTTCGGGTCATGCCTGCCCTTGCCCCTGGTTGCTCTCCCACCCCCAGATGGTTGAATCTACTTGCATCTAAAATTCTACTTAAACTTGAATATTCTAATGCATTTTATGATCAATTTTATGCTTTGTTGTTATAGTTCTCCATATCTGTTTATTTATTTTGCTAAACTCTTAAGGTTTAGGGTGATAAAGGCCAGGAGTAAAGCCCTCTTTAAGTCATCCCGACCTCTCTCTCAGAGTTTGCTGGTGTGCTGCCTTGCGGGCATGTCAGAACAGAGGCCCGCTCTGTCATGCTCTACGATGCTGCCTTTCAGGTGATGGCTCTTATGAAGTCACCAGGTTGGACAGAGAAAGCTGGAGAGGAGACATAACTCTCCTTACATTCTGCTTGAGTTCAAGCTCATTTGTGTTGATGGCTTCACAATGCACCCTTGATCTTACTACTCCAGTACTGCCTATTTCTCTGTGCTGTTGTTGACGGTGCCCTCGCCATCATCACCACCACCAGTAACAAAACAGGCACAGTGTTCTCATATGGCACATGAACCTGACCTCCTGGGACATTGCTTCTCCTCCACAGAAACACCCCAGCCTTCTATACTCAGAGATAAAGAGGGAGTTCTTCTTCCCCAGTCTAGGGACAGTTTGCATTTCCTGCCCCAGAATTCACCCCTTCCTGAGATGACTGATAGCGGAAATAGCCACCCCTTGGAATTATCACTTAAACTGGTTTAAAGGTTATAACATTTTAAGTTGATAGCCATTTAAGAACTGATGTTTTCAACTGACATTTCCCTGAATCTACGTTTCGTTATTACCAGTGGTCATCTGGTTACACATGCAGTTCGTGGTTCTGGAAATATGTGTAACATATTAGAATATTTGTCAAGTTTTAGCTTCCAATTAACCATAAGGTCAGTGCCATTTCCTAAGTTTTCTTTTGTCTGGTGTATTTTATAAAGGCATAAATGTTAAAGGCATCCTTAGGGTTTTTCTCTCCAGTTTTAAATGAATATATTAACAGGCACTGGGATACAGGGACTAGAGAATAGGACTGGGAATTGGGATTCTGAGATAAACCCTTAACTCTGAAGTAAAGTGGTCTTAATAGTGATACATTAACATCAGGAATTTTAAAGCTAAAAATAAGCTTTAACGTAATCTAATCTAACCCTGTCTTTTTTTTTTTAAATCTAAGATTGTAAAAGAA